ACCACCAATGCTCAAGCAATTGCTGACGTTGCTCGCAAAAGTGAAATAAATTTGCGGGTTGCTGATGGGAACACAGTGAGTGTTACTTTTTATTGCATCAAATCAACTGCGTTTGTTTTCATGTCTTTGGATTATTGAGCTGGTTGCTTTTCAGATCACTGTTGCTTTTGATGAAACAACAACCTTGGAGGATGTTGATAACCTTTTCAAAGTTTTTTCCAATGGCAAGCATGTAAGCTTTGTTATGTATACAATGTTCATAATTGTCAATTTTATCATTACTCGTTACTAAAGGCCGTCAAAAATTACAATTAATTCATATGCAGGTATCCTTCACAGCTGCGTCTCTTGCACCAGAAGTTGAGACTGCACTTCCTTCTGGACTAATTAGGAAGAGTCCTTATCTAACACACCCTATCTTTAACATGTATATCCCGTAGAACATAAGTTGAATTCAAGCGAAATATTGTGGAAGCTTACGTGAACTCCATTTGCTCTTAAATAGGTACCACACTGAGCATGAAATGCTCAGGTACATTCATAGGCTACAGTCGAAAGATCTTTCTTTGTGCCATAGTATGATCCCGCTGGGATCTTGTACAATGAAGTTGAATGCAACCACTGAAATGATTCCTGTGACATGGCCCAACTTTGCTAACATTCACCCTTTTGCGCCAATTGAACAGGCTCAAGGTTATCAGGTATATGCAAGGTTAAATATAATAAAAGTGATTTCTATTCAGCAAAATACGGATTAAAAAAATTTCTGTGTCTAAACAAGCAAATTTGGTACCAGGAAATGTTCAAAAATTTGGGTAACATGTTGTGTACAATCACTGGGTTTGACTCCTTCTCTTTGCAACCTAATGCGGGTGCCGCTGGAGAATACGCTGGATTGATGGTTATTCGTGCATATCATTTGGTATGGTGACTTTGTTCATTATAATGAACATGTTTGCTTAAATTTTGTGTACAATGTTAGCTGCTCGACTAGTGTTACTTCTATTGTTTTTTAAGAGCACAAGGCATTGATAGTTTTTTCTGATTCACTTTTAGATATAGAAGTTCTTCGCTTGTTATTTAATTTTAAAAAGTCTATTTCATTGTTACAAATTGGGCACACTGTAGGCAAGAGGAGACCACCACCGCAATGTTTGCATTATCCCAGTCTCAGCACATGGTACAAATCCTGCCAGTGCTGCTATGTGTGGAATGGAAATTGTATCTATCGGAACTGATGCCAAGGGAAACATCAATATTGAAGAGTTAAGGAAGGCTGCGGAAACACATAAGGACAACTTATCTACACTTATGGTACAACATGCTTCCCATATTTGAATTTTACTTGCTCTGTTTGGATTAATTAGGAGTTCGAAGGAAAAGGATGGTTCCATCCTGGCCAACTTTGTTTTTAAATATTCATTTGTGTTGGTTTTCATTTAAATTATAGGTAACATATCCTTCAACACATGGTGTTTACGAAGAAGGAATTGATGAGATATGCAAGATTATTCATGATAACGGGGGACAAGTATATATGGATGGTGCTAACATGAATGCACAGGTTTGTTTTTTACTCACATCTTTGCATTCTATGTAAATATATTTAATCATATTACCAATGCAAGCTTAGGCACTGTACAAACTAGTGGTTTTTTCGTTGTTGTTGTGTATTATCATTTTGGTGTGCAATTTAATAGTTTGAGTAATTTTCACATGAGGTTAGGTATCAAGTTATATTTGGTCATTTGGTTCGTGTTTACAGGTGGGACTTACAAGCCCTGGTTGGATTGGAGCAGATGTTTGCCATCTGAATCTCCACAAGACATTTTGCATCCCTCATGGAGGAGGTGGCCCTGGCATGGGTCCTATTGGAGTAAAGAAACACTTGGCACCATTTTTACCTTCACATCCAGTGGTAATAACTTTTTTTTTGTGTGACATGCATAAGTGATTTGGATGCATACTCATTAGAAAGAACATTATACTCAGAAAAATAACTTCCATTATTCGCACACTTGAGTAACTTTGTTGTGATCAATAGTATAATTTTTTCTTTGTAATTAATGATTTGTTACATGTTTAAAGGTTCCAACTGGTGGCATTCCTGCCCCTGACAAGACACAACCAGTAGGTACCATTTCTGCAGCACCATGGGGCTCAGCTCTGATATTGCCTATCTCATACTCTTACGTAGCCATGATGGGTTCTAAAGGACTCGCCGAAGCGTCAAAAACAGCCATTTTGAAGGCAAACTATATGGCAAAACGATTGGAGGTTTGTGCAACGCCATAGATTGCATGTGTTTCTTTTTGCCTTGCAACTTACACTTCTAAGTTTTATAGAATCATTATCCTGTTCTTTTCCGTGGAGCGAATGGAACAGTTGCTCATGAATTCATTATTGACTTAAGAGGCTTTAAGGTATGCCCAGTTGATCATTGTGAATATTTTCTCAACCAATTAGAATTTTCCATTATTTACTTAATTGTAAACTATTATTATGGTAGAACTCTTCTGGGATAGAAGCTGAAGATGTTGCAAAGCGACTTATGGACTATGGCTTTCACGGACCGACAATGTCATTTCCTGTGCCTGGCACACTTATGATTGAACCCACTGAAAGTGAAAGCAAGGTATAATGACAATCTAGGAAACAAGTGGCCTTTTTTTTTCTCCTTTCTATCATGTAAATTTTTCTTCAATTCAGCTAAACTTCATTGCAGGCTGAGTTAGACAGGTTTTGTGATGCTCTTATTTTCATTCGGCAAGAAATTGCTGAGATTGAGAATGGAAAGGCTGGCATCAACAACAATGTACTAAAGGTATCAGTTTGTTTTTTGTCTCTTTAATATTCTTATAAATCACTGATTCGTATTTATTTACAGTTTCAATATAGTTAATATACTTTTGAGTGATTATCCAAAATATATATGCAGGGTGCCCCTCACCCACCATCACTGCTCATGGAAGATGCATGGACAAAACCTTACTCTCGAGAATATGCAGCATTCCCTGCTTCCTGGCTTCGTGTTTCTAAGTTCTGGCCTTCCACAGGTATGTCATCATTTTTGTAATTAACTTACCACATTATCCTTTATTGTGAGGCTATTCTCTAAAATGGTGTGCAATTTTTCTCTTTAGTTCTTAAAATTTTCACTGTATATGAGGGTACTAATTGATTCTAAATTAAACTGTATATATTAGTACTCTGTTTTTCCTAATTCTCACTTAGGGAATTTGCAGCTTCTATAATTGTGTTTGACAATTGGATAGAGTAATAAATATATATGTTGTTGGGTGTATCAGGACGTATTGATAATGTGTACGGTGACCGGAACTTGGTTTGCACCCTTTCCCCAGAATCAAAGGTTTATTGAAGAACAGGCTACGACAACAACCTAATCTTCTTCCATTGACAAAAAATTTTATTTTTAAAATGTATATAAACTCTTCCTCTCATACTACAACATACCTTTGCTTCATCATATCAGAATGGTGATTATGTAACTTTCATTAAGTAAAGCCTGGTACTCACTTTTTCCCCATGAAAAGCCCGAGCAAAACTGTTTCAAAGCTTCAATTTTAGGTTTTAGATAACTGAAGATTACAAAAAAGTTATTATTATTCAAATATATTCATTTACGAATATATATATAATTTTCTTTCTCCTGATATCGCTTTTGTTTTTTCGTTGTGAAATAACTTATACACGTTGCAGTAACTTTACATTTGAAGAATAGTTGATAATGGATTTAATTAAAAAGTCAAAGTCTACATCATTCTATTGAACATGAAAAATGAATCTTCGATTCGATGCATTTTCTTAAATTGGTATACTGAAAATTGGTAAATTTAATCACCCAATTCAACGATAAAAAGGAGAAATAATAATATGGCAGAATCACAATTATCAAAATAAATAAATAAACCCTTCGTTGCTTTTTTTTTTTTTAATGTCTTCGTTACTCTCTTTAGTTTCAACTGATAAACATATCAATAATAAATTTAACTACAGCACCCGAATAAATTAAAAGGGTCGAAAAATAATAATAAAATAACAAAACCTAGTTGAGCCAAAAACCTAAAAGTAACATCACACATCTCCATTATATAATTCACACAAAAAAAATGTCAATTTTTTGCTTTTACGCCACTTGACAAGATTTTGTGGATACCAAAGTAATCGATATCTGACAATAAATATTTACTTATATTTCAAATAATATATTAATTGTCAAAATGCGTAATAAACATGAGTACTCAGTTTACAATTTCTAAATTGTAAAAGTTGGTAAAAGTTTTTTTTTTCAATTCAGCTATTGGATTATTTATTTTTGTATTTTCATAAAATGTTATTCAGGGTCGGCTTGATATTTTAAAAAAATGGTAATAAACAGAATAAAACTAATTATTTGAGATTTAATTAAAAAAAAATCACGAGATAACACAATTAAGTAGTGGGATAGATTGACAAAAGCTTGATTTTTTTTGTATCTCAATAAATCAAGAGAAAAGTGTTTGTCCTAAGTAAACAAAAAAAAAAAACATACTCAAAAGATAAAAATATGCATTTATATTTCTTATTTAAGCTATATTTCCTATGGTGTTTCTCTGCTACCACTATTGTTACTATTACTATTATTACATTATCACTCTAAATTTCATATTATAATTAATATTAAAACTAATTATAATAAATTTCATATTGTTCTACTTGCCTATATTATTCAATTGTAACTCAAGTGTTTCTTGGTTGATCTACTTATGTTGTATCTTCACATGTATAAAAGATCATGTTCAAGTTTACACAGAACAGGGACAAACAAAGAATCCTGGCATGACAATATTAATTTATCGGCACATTATAATTTTTTTTTTCTTTCATACTTGATTTTGTTCTTAAATTTAAATAAGGCACTTTTTTTAGCGTGAGTAAGAAGTGAGAAAAAGTACATCATGCAGAGAAGTTAAGTATCACAATTAATTGTACTTCACTGGTCAACTAGAGAGGCATGAATCTGCTATCTCCAATGGCGTGGGAGTTGCAAGTTTGAGTTCTAAATCTGGGGCTGCCATCTCAACAGTGCAATTAGTCGAAGATGAAGTTGAAGGGAAAGGCCAATTCAGCACCGAATGAGGATGCGAAACCCACTTGGTTCACAAGAACAACAGTTAAATTTGTACTTTCATTGAATCAATGGAAAGTGGTGCAATTATTGAGAGAAGGAGATGGAAAAATGTTGAAATTTACTCACATGGAACAGAGTGGGACGGTGTTTTCTTTTGTTGGAGACGTTGTGAGATTGACGGAGAAAATATTTTTGTGCATGACTGGCTACTTGTATAGGTGTTCTTGTTTTCACAAAACTTTTAGATATGCCTCTCCAGTTTCCCTTCCCCAGCTTCTCAAGCCCTAAAAGAAATACTCTGTGCTCCTCCTCTGTCCATGCCACACCTGTCATCAACACTTTTTAATGGTAAGTGTTGATGATTTTAAACGAGTACGCGTGATTTTCAGTGGAGTCCATAATAAATGAATATGAAGCGAGAAAAAAAAAACCTTTTTTTGTGCCTTGGATTGTTGATATGAGGCTGGCAGCATCGAGCAGGGAAGGAGAGGAAGAGGGTAGGGACGAAGAGAACAAGTAGTTGGTGCTGAAACTTGTTTTCATGGCAGAATACAAAGGTGAAGAAAAAGAATCAGATGATGATGATGATGAAGAAGAAGAAGAAGAAGATACGTGAAGTTGCACTCCGAAGAGCTTCAGGTGTGGATGAGCGAGAGTGGTTTTACAAGTCCTTGAATTGTGACCTAAGTTACCACAGTATGAACATTTTCTGGGTATTCCCATTTGTGAAGAAGACAGAGAATATCCCTTGCATGTGAAATATAGTACCTAATTGAAACCAGAAACAGACACACACACATATATAGAGTGAGAAATAAGATATAGAAAGTATTGTGCGGTCTTTGGTGGCGCTATTGTTAACGTGCAAAGTGGGAGTAAAAAGGTGCATTGGAGTAAAAAATAGTGTGACAGAGAACATAGTTTTTCCTTGGGAGCTTTGGAACCCAAGGTTTTGCAGTTGAAACCAAAAACAGAAAGAGAATGGAAGCACCCTTTGAACTATAATTGGACAAACCCATAAAAGTTGATGCATAATGAAGCTACCTTTTCAAGTGGCAATTAGGCGTGCGGGATCAAGAGAATTATTCCTCCTTCTATTCTATGCCTGCACTACATCACCCATCACTTCCCAACAGTATTTTCCCACGTTATAATAATAATCTAATTATATTCCTTTTAATACTATTTCTCTATTTTTAATGTTATTAAGAACAGTTTTCTCAAATTAAATAAACGACTTTGGATAAGAAAAAAAAGTTATTATAGATATTTTTATCATTATTACAATGCTAAAAATAATTGTCAAATTATTATTTTCTATCTCTTTCTCCCAATTTAAGCAAATAATGACGATGTGATATCCTAATCCAACCCAGCCCATTTACATTTAGGCCTGCCCTTTCAACTCTGGGGATGACAAAATTCATACCCTAATATCATTATCAATGTATGTATGGATTTAAAACGACCATCATACTACACCAACACAACAAAACACAAATTTGTTGGGTCCAGAGTTCGTTAAAAGACCTCACTCACATGAACCGCGTATCTTCTTTTCGTAGATTGCGACCATTCTTCTGCTCTCAAAAAATAAATCTAAGTCTACTGTTTCTAGTCAATATTTAACCTCAAGACTTCAAAATATCAAGTTCAAATGGAGGGCATATGTGTCTAGAAGAAAAGGGGGAAAGATAAATAAGAGTCACGTCACGAAACGTGTCCTTGGATTTGACGTTCACTATTCATCTCGGCTTCATGAATGAATAATGTAAGAAGACGAACACGAACCTCCTTTTCCTTCATTATCACACTAGCGAAGAACGCACCACACCAAACAAACCCCAAAAACCAAATCAAAACAAACAAAACTAACCGTTGTTATGGCTTCAGAAGCACAGCTTCAGCTAGGTCTAACCCTAGAGGAATTCGCGGAACTCGAGAACATCATCAACACGCACCACAAGTTCGCGCCATCCCCCAAAATCTGCACCTCCATCATAGCGCAACGCATCCAGGCTCCGGCGAACACGGTCTGGCCCCTCATTCGAAGCTTCGAGAATCCGCAGAAGTACAAGCACTTCATCAAGAGCTGCAACATGCGCTCCGGCGACGGCGGCGTCGGCAGCATCCGGGAGGTCACCGTCGTTTCCGGCCTCCCCGCCTCCACCAGCACCGAGCGCCTCGAGATTCTCGACGACGACAACCACCTGCTCAGCTTCCGCGTCGTCGGCGGCGAACACAGGCTCCACAACTACCGCTCCGTCACGTCGGTGAACGAGTTCAACAGGGACGGTAAGGTGTACACCATTGTGTTGGAATCTTACGTTGTGGACATTCCCGAAGGAAACACTGGAGTGGATACGAAGATGTTTGTGGACACCGTCGTGAAGCTTAACCTCCAGAAACTTGGGGAGGTTGCTATGGCTACCATTCTGCACTGAGCAATCACTACCTTCACTTAATTTCTTCCTTACTTACTCCTATTAATTACTATATATTACTGTTAATTGGATAATTACTCTTGCATGCTTTGCTTGCAACTTCCAACTTTTCGATGTTAATTATATCCCTCTTCCTCATTCATATATTTTTACTTCTATTGCCTTGCAATTCCACTTTTTTTAATATATTCTGATAAATTAGTTTTTTGTTTGTCTCCCAAGTACCATAACTATGCAACATCAACAACAACAACATCTTCATGCTGGGAGTATAACTACACTTTAACTCTTTAAATAAAATCTTTAGTTCAACTTTTATGTATGAGTAAATATGATTAAAAGAAAAAACATCAACATGAATTCAAATTTATACTTAATCATTGGCACAAAATCAACTTATTGGAAATATGAAATAGTCTTTATTTTTCTTTTAACTCTTTAGGAAATATGGTCATTCAAACTTATACGATTTCTTTATATATGTTGATGTCATACAAAACTAATTTGAAGCATTAAACATGATTAAAAAGTGTACTAATATTGGTAAGGTGAGTTACGAAAGAAAATCTGTTTTTGGCATTGGTCAAATGGTTAGTTAACCATTTCCGGTTTATGATTACTACCCCCTTTTAATGGAAATAGAAAATAAAAATCAGACTAGCATCTAGTGAATTGCGTGCACTTTCAAGCTTTGTCTTTTCATTACGGTATAGCCTCCAATATCCTACACTGATTTGGTATTCCTGCTTCAAGTTTATAAAGAAAATTAGAACATAAAAAAGAAAGAAAGATTACGTTTCAGAAAAGTTCAAATATTTAAGTTTAAGATCACGATGAAGCAGAAAGAGATGAATGTTTGACATTAATTAGCATCACTTAGAAATATGATTTAACATTTGCGTGCGTTATTGGAGATGGATTGTTGCGTTGCAACTTGCGAGTTTGTTGCGGGCTTTCGTGTACTCAAAGTCTCAAATTCCAAAGAAGACTTCTAATGATTAACATTCTAAAACAAAATTGCTCAATAAAGAGATTTTTAATTCAATTTCAAACACATTCTTGTTATAATTAAAAAATGGACACAATTACGTTTGTAGTTTAAACCAATTCATATTGATGTCAACACATTTAAGGCTTATTGCAAGTATTTAAAAGAAACATTTAATATATTAATTGTATGTTTTAAATTAATTTCAGATATATTGATTATTCAATAATTGGTTTTTACTCTCTTTTTTTCCTAATCACTAAACAATATTTATCTTGTGTTTAAGAAGAATAAGAGCAACAGGTTGTTGAGGTTAAAATAAAACCTTTTTTTGAGGTTCAAATGGCAACCTGAGTTGAAGGGCAAGAACAAAAAGTTACAAAATCTTGTGATGAACGCTTGTGACAAACCTTGAGGAACATGTGACCGTTAAGGTTCATCCGCGTAAACCAGCATCGCTGGATCTTTCTTTTTTAACGTCAAACTTTCAATTATTTTATTATTTTTATATTTAAAGTTCCAGGGACGACATGAATCATTTCCATTAATGAAATTAACATTTTTTGTAGTTTTTTAACCTTCATTTAGTTCATCATTTTTTTTTCCTTCACAATTATGAAAAACGTATGAGATTTAAGCTACCACACCTTTTTTTTTATGAAATTTAAACGTTATATTCCCTCTCGTGAGCTCTATGGCCCAACAAGAAAGTTGCTAAACTGAATTCAGGATGATGTATAGCTAGTGGGCCCATTGGGTAGAAGCCTAGGCCCACAATGAGATATGGCCTTGTCATTTGTGAATAGTGGGTCACACAGAGCCCATCACGTGAGGATTCTAATCAATCAAGTACCCAATAACTTAGTTGACCACAACTCCTAAAGAGGAAATATAAGACAAATAAATAATTGTATGACATGTGCATTGCATAGGACTTCTCTTTCACAAATTCTTCGCATAATAACTAATGTGTAACACAAAAAACTTAAAATTAGTTTGTCATGTAGAAAGAGTGACAACCTAACTTAAAAATTACGAAATAAAAGCTGAAAATATTATTAATCCGAATAATGATTTTTTATTTATTTCATAAAACATGGAGAATTGATATTTTTATAAAGATTAATGTGGCGATATAATTTTAGGTCTAAAACAATTTTCGGTAAAGTATAATATAAATTCTAAAAGGGTAACGCAACAAATTAATATTTTACAAAATATACTCTCTTTTTTTAATTTCTAGCGGGGTTTAAAACCCATTCATCAAGTAAAAGAAATGCCTTAGCTACTAATATGCTAAATAAAATAATAATACAAGTTGCGTAAATACTAAATAACTTTTTTGGGGGCTTTAAAGCAAGGATTTAAAAGTCCTGTAATATCCAGGGTGGTCCTAGAATGAATGTTACTGAGATACGTGTCATTGTTATGTAAGTGTGAGAAGTGGAAGAAGAATAAAAGAAGAAAGTGTGATGAATGGAATTCTGCATGCACACAAATATCAATGGAATTCAGATAAAACTCGTTCAATTATGTGTGTCCAACAAAATCACACGGAGAAATTATTCAAAAGAGTGCAAAGATATATCTTTTAACAGGAAAAAGGAAAATGCATGTCTATTAGTGCCACATTTTGCATTTGCACAATGAGTGTAGAGCTTGTGGGTGTAGTAGAAATGGTACTTGCCCGTTATGCAAAGTAACAATTCTGTATGAAGCCATGGATTTGCTCATGCAAATATACAAATTGTTAAATAGTAGGCAGTATATAGCAGCAGCAATAAATAAAGAGTCGATTTGGTTCTGTGGTGTAATCACTTATTGGTAAGAACAATAATAAATTCATGTAGAAGTAGGTAGGATCATCATAGCTACCAAAAATTGTCGTCATTAGTTGGTTTGCTTACATCACCCCTTGAATCTCCTCTCCTGTGTCTGGCCACCACAAAACCAAGAAAGGACACTGCTATGAGGCTATAACAACAGTGTTTCTCTTTCTCTGTCCCTCTCATTTCATTTGCCTTGTGCGTTTAGTTGTTACATTCTGAAGGAAAAGCTTGCAACCCCTTTTCTTTATTTACTCTCCTTTCTCGTCACATTAGCCTTCTTGTTTTAAAATAGCTAAAAAGCAAAGGGCTTTCTCTGAAAATGTTTCTGATGGTACCTGCCATGAACAGAAGTTTGAACAGAGAGAATCCAGATATTTTGATTATGATGATTGCAGGGAAGCAGATAATAAGGGATGTTGAGGAGGACAAAAGCGATCAGAGAGAGAGGGAATACATGGGCCCAGTAAAGCCTGCAACACAAATGAGTGCCACTGCACCAAACACTAATGTGTTCCCTCTTCCCCTCCCTCCCCTTCTCCTTTCGTGTTTTACTCTTTTCTGCCTCTTTTACCTTTCCCTCCTGATTTATGGCTTTTTCTATTTTCCATTCATCTTCAACAGTCCCACTTCCTTTTTTATTCTCTTTCCGACTTTGACACACTTTCTTCCTTTTCATGCTCGTCTTCTTCTTCAACTCTTCGTCTTTAATGTGCAAGACTAGAGGAAAACCTGATGGGGTCTAAGAAAATTATACTCTTGTTCTGGTGTTTGGATGCTTGAAGAAAAAGATGTTTCTTTACATGCAAAAGAAACCAACACAACTTTGGTGTTGGTCTTTTATTTGGCATTGTGTAAGCAAGTTTGGAGTGGCTTGCTTCTTTTCCTTGCTTTTGAACATAAAACCTTGTTATTTGACATTGCAGTTCTTTTCATTTTCCTTTCGTATTCTTATATGTTCTCCAAGGACCACATATATTGGCAAGGAGTTGTTACATGTTACTCCTTTGCTGATTAAGTGAAGGTCGGTTGTGATAGCTCGCATCATTTTGGTTTGATGGTAGAGTTCATCTGTCTGTTGAGTTTTCATAACCAATCTAAAAGCATTCTTTGATTAATTTTCTCTTTACTTCTTTCTGCGAAGAATCTATTTTGAATTTGTAAAGGAGGTTCAGTTAAGTCACATCCTGCATTATTATTTATCCATTTCCTCTTTTCCTCCTATCATATTTGTTTTCTAGTTTATGGTGGGGATGTTTCTTTTTGTGTAGGTCTATTCTCTATTCTCTCTTCGGATGACTAGATTTTATTGTGGGATCATATCGCCCTTGAAGTAAAGCTTTTTCTGGAAGACCATTGCTAAATCAACAGCCTCATTTATTCATTATTGCGTATGTGATGGAGAGAAATATGTACATTGCTCCACTGAACATTTCTTCCAGAGGTGCTACACTGATAGATGAAATTTCCCATCATTCCACCTCAAATCCTCTCAGTCAATGCTACTCACTTGACCTTAATAACCAATCCCACATCATAAATGGAATTTCAATGCTTTCTGGAGAGCAAGGTGAACCCATAAGTAAAGCCCATGCCGATGCTTGCTTCATTAATCCATCAATTATTGCTGACTCTAGTCCATTAGTTACATCACAAGGAAAGACTATTGCGGGAGATACCTCAAATCCCATGGAGAACACTGAGTTTCAAGAGCATTTAGTTGGAGGAATGCCACTCACTCCTGCTTCGCTTGCTGCAATTCTTGCTGCTGGAATAGGTCTTGAAGATAATTTGGAGAATTCGGCAGCCCTGCCTCCTTCAATCAGCTCAATGGGGGCACTGGGGGCATTCTTCAACAATTTGCAAGGTACTTCAAACCCTTTTTCTGGAAATTTTGAGGACTGTGGTTACAATGAAGTTCCTAGTAAATGGGATGCTAACAAATTTCATAAAGCTCCAGAGATTGATGGAACTTGTCAGCCTTGTTCTTCTATATCTAACTTGGATCTAAATGAATGGGCAACATCTAACGTTGCAAGCATGGCAAATAATGCTTACCATGCCTCTAACTTCAGTAAGGAACTTTCTCTAAGTCTTGCAACATCTACAACCGGAGGACAGTGCTCGGAGATGAGTTGCTCTAACATGACCCCATGCATGAATGGAACCATTTCCTGCAGCAGCAGCAGCAGCAGCAGGAGTAGGGAACTTGCTATGAATTTGGGTGGTAATAAATATTTACAGTTTTCACCAGAAGTATTGGAATCGAGATACCTTGTTGGGATTCAAGAGATACTAGATCAAATTGCAAGATATTCATTTGAAAATCTAGAACAGTTAAATTATTCAGCACCTGGTTATAGAGCAGGTGGAAACAAATCAGCACCCAAGAGAAATATCTTGAGAGATCACAATGCAAATTCTATGTACGAATCTCCTGCAGAGTCTCCATTGCAAAGGCATGCTGCTGAATCAAAGAAAGCTCAACTGCTGACACTTCTACAACTGGTATGACACTATATCTTAAATTAATTCTTTTGATGTTCATATCAATTATGATCATATGAACAGAATCATGTTAGCATTGCATTGCACTTGTCCACATTCTAATTCATGGATGGTAAATAAATTGCTAAAATTGGTTCATAATAGTCTGAGAAACGGATTAGTAGAGAAGTTTAAGAGTAGTACATGAAAGTTTTCATCATGAAGTCTTGTCATACAACTAACTAACAATCTATTTCTTAATCAGGTGGACAATCGATACAGCCAGTGTTTGGATGAGATACATACTGTTGTATCTGCATTCCATGCCGCTACAGAGCTGGACCCGCAAATACATGCACATTTTGCTCTTCAAACCATCTCTGTTCTTTACAAGGAATTACGAGAGAGAATTAGCAACTACATTCTTTCCATGGGATCAAATTTCAAAAAATCGTGCTCAGAAGAGAATGAATGGTCTGTTGAAACTTCATTCCTTCAAAAGCAATGGGCTCTCCAGCAGCTGAAAAGAAAAGATCAGCTGTGGAGGCCCCAGAGAGGCTTGCCAGAAAGATCTGTCTCAGTTCTACGGGCTTGGATGTTTCAGAATTTCCTTCACCCGTGAGTAACCTTGCAATATACCTCTTTCTTGGACTGGCTTTATACTTTAATCATCAGAGTTTAATGAATTTAAAGAATACGTATAAAGAAATTGTTTATTTATTATTTGATGGATTTCAGGTATCCTAAAGATGCAGAGAAACATTTACTTGCAGTAAAAAGTGGGTTGACTAGAAGCCAGGTATATTGATCTACTACTCTTTGTGTGTTTGTTACTTTGTGTAAAGATGAACAATCTGATATACTTGCTTGGTCGTGTCTTCATACGCAGGTATCCAATTGGTTTATAAATGCTCGTGTTCGGCTGTGGAAACCTATGATTGAAGAGATGTATGCTGAAATGAACAAAAGAAAGGCTTGTCGAAATGAAGAAGGAATACAGAGTAACCATGGAAACAGGATAAGCATGAGTAATCAAAGGTTTAATGTTAACTAAAGGTGTACAAAGTCGCATGACGATATAATGCACTCTTCTCTTATTTCAAATAGAAAATAGAACTGAAGCCAAAATCTGCGCATATTGCTTTGCATGGTAGGTTGGGGGTATATCATTGATGAGGATGTCCATGAGAAAAATATAATCTTAGTATATAACACGACGTTTATTTGCCTGTACATGCTTCAAGTTTTGTTTAGGCTTTGATTTCTTTTTCTTCCAAGCGATGCACTAGTAAAGGAGCGAATGAGGCTCATGTTAAGCCAAAGTAAAACGATAAACTTAACAAAGATGAATCCACGTCAGATAAAAGTACCAGGTTGACGACACATCAGTCATGTCATGGTGGTTTTTGGATATTCTTGCAAGAAAAAACGATTACAAATACTTTCTCTGCTTTTACCAATTAATTTTCATAACTGCGTTAACCGGTAAAAAATTCCCAACGTTGCTTTCATTATTTCACTTCAGCCTTTCAGGGTCAGGAATCTCTAGACGACAAATAAACTATAAAAGTATTAACAGGAAGAAAGATATCGACATGAAAAGAAAATGAGTGTAAGATTACATCGTGTGCCCACCGTGTTAGCTTTACAGTTGTAACAAAAACTTTCATTTATTTATTTATTCATCCAAAAATAACAATTTAGCAACTATTCATACTCGCTAACTTATGTCTATGATTACAAATGAAAGAATGACTATAGCTGCTTTCAACTATACTCTTCCCCTTTTTCTTTCCTCTGTTGATTTCTTCCTCGTCTCCCTCTATCTACAATGTTATGACATCGCTCCCTTCACTAGATTTTTGACAAAACAAAGAACTATAAACTTGTTCGACAAGCAAATATAAAAAAGTGGCAAGCTTTATTCACCTACTACTATTTTACTGTACTACATTTCCACGGGAATTCGTGTCTTTATTGGTTTCAATTTCAAACCCATACTTTCTGGGGAGTAAAGCTCAGGAGAAATGCAAGAGGGACTCAGAGGACTTCTTGGGCTGACACTCAGCTTGGATGGTCTGTACAAGCCATATCCCATGAGAAAGTACTCCATCGGTATTAACATGGCATGGGGTTGCTCCTCTGTCACCATTGACCCACACGCTTGAACCTGCACTTCCGTCAACAATCGATATTAAAATCTATTTTATTGATACACTCATTCTTCTCAGAAATCAAAATGAACTTGAGCTGTCTTACGCACCTCGACTAAGGCACTGAATCGTCTATCCAACTTAGATGTCATGTAGAGAGCCTCAGAGTGAAAAGGAGACGTATCCCCGACAAAAATTAGTGAACGACAATGTAATTTTCTCAATCCTTCACTAATGTCATATCTCCTGCAAAATGTCAATGCTTATGGGGACGTTGTTGCTTCATGATATGTGGAACTAACCATTACCAAATGCATCTGGGCATGAAAATGCATGTATAATTCAACTTCATTGCTACCCCCCACACCCACCCACACATTAACTTACCCATTAATTGCTTCAAGGAACCGCCACACATTCAAACTCTGCCTCTCATCCAATGACTGTCAGAAAAAAATTTAAAAGAGAGTCATACAAGGGTTCAGTTTCCAACTAATAACTAACCCAGTCCACCCATGGAAACATAAGATAAATTGGTCTAACCCTTTGGCATGCTTGAACTATATCCGACTGTGGCAAATAATCACTGCCTCGAACTTCCTGTCATCACCAATAAAATCACTGCCTCAATCTCACATACTGAAGGAAGAGAGGGGAAATGTTTCTTTTGCAGGAATAGGCATACCTTGCTAAAGTATCTCTTTAGCAATATTTCTTTAACCACACCACACATGCCATAAAAGTAGAGTAAATTTGACATGACCTGCAATTATTAGTCTTTAGCAAAAGGTGATATGTATTATCATAATAAGGAGACAATGCCTCTCAGGTTTAGAAAAAGAACCTTATTGTACAACCATTCAGTCCATGATGGTGCTTTACATAAAGGAGAAACCAGTATCAAACCAAGAACACGATGTCGATATTTGATCTGTTGTTGAAGTAAGAAAGATCTGTGAGATCCCATTCAGGCCATTTAAGAATGGCAATAATAAGGAGAGAGAAAGTGCGACATATACAAAGACTCACAGCAAATAAGGTAAGGATGTAAGCCCCAGCAGTTACTCCCATACACATGACTGCACTATGACTGCAAAGAGAAAGGGAAAAGATATTAGATTGCCTTCTCAAGATCAAGGAGACGCAATCAGTTGCACAAGTTATAATCCCGTCCCTTTCAATGCACAACAGAAGGATGTTTTCAGTTGCAAAAATAGTAAATTAAAATATAAAGCAAATATAGCAAATTAACAGATAAACAAGCAAATATTGCAAATTGGAAATTGGAAATTGATCTAACATTATTATCTTGATGTATATAAGGGGAGTGGAGGGGAGAAGGATGAACTTAGGGAATAAGACCCTTATTTAGGAGTTAAAAAAATTCCAGGGAGGAAGAGATTGTGAAGGGAACAGCATAGCTTCTACTCTGAATAATTGTCATTCATTATAGCACCCCATAAACTTGGTTACTTGACAAAAAAAAATCATTTATATAGGTTTTACTGAAATTTTAGATTTTCAACCATAGGGAAATGAAACTGTTCCATTTCATATTTCATTCCACAACTTATCTTTCCATTTGATCCCATTCCATTATCTCTAAAACTTTCTACCATGGCCTAAAATATGGATAGAATTTGATGAGTAAGCTAGAACATGCTCACCCAAAATAATTAAGAACTTCAGCTATTTGATCAGCTAAGTCATCAGCAGAAAGAATTGGACCGTCTGGATCAATAGCAGCAGCTCCCAACTGTAATATATCAGGAAAAGGTACAAATTATAAGGAACGAGATACATTCAACAAAAAAAATATTCACAAATGAGTAGAGATAACTAGCAAGTAACAGCATATTACAGTTTCAAGACATAAAGTTAGAGACCTCATGCCCAGGTGGACTAATATGATATATGCAGAAATTGTGAAGCAGCAGTGAACAGGCTTCTGGACAAAATAACAACCCTTGAAAGCAGGAGAGATCTGATGAAACCACATGCAGGAAAGCAAATGGTTAGATTGTTGGTTTGTCAAGAAATCAAACAATGGGCCTGTTTGAACCATCCTCACGAAGCACTTCTAGAAGAGAAATATAAGAAGAAATATTAAAATTAGTTTCTCTATAAGCTAAAATTAGTTTATGCATAAGTTAGAAGGTTTATCATATAGCTTCTCTAAATTTTTATTTTTAATTTGTGCATAAGCTAATTTTAACTTATAAAAATGTTCATTTCATTTTTTATTCTTATTTTTCTCTTACAGAAGTATTTAGGGATTAACTCATCCAAACAGAACCAGTGTTAACAAAATCATAAAATACCATTTTATATTTTGACATTATGTGCATAGAACCTTTTTTTTTTTTTTACCTATATAACCAAACATGGTATTAGTAAATCCTTGGATCACTTGCTTAGGAAACACAAACCACTACTACTTATGTCATGTTAATGTTGGTTGCATAAAACCTTTTAAGAGAAAGATAGTTGAACCATTACCAAAAACAACCATTATTTCAATTCTACTTCATTGAATCTCTACTAAAATGTAATCAGGCAACGTTGTCAACTTAATGATTAAAACAAATCTATAAATACCAAAAAAAAATTTGGTTAAAAAACAATATTTTGACTTTTGGGATACATGCATAACCACCCTAATTAAGAAATTAAAAAGATAAAGTTTTTTTTTTTTGTAAATCACATGGGAACACGTTAAAAAATCATAAAAAAAGGAATTTTTATGCATCTTAATATTAATTCCTTAAGCAGTGCCTCATGACACTAGGTTAGCATTTGTGTGTGGATATACACACACAGACACGAAGAGGAACTAAGTTATTATAAGAATACTGCGATTACCTTTTATTTGCTTTTAGTGTGGTATTTCTAATAAGTAACTTACATCAAATAATTAGACTAAGAAAAAAGATGAAGGGTTGAGATGAGTAGTAGCTCTTTCAAAGTTACTCTTAATTAAAAGGACGATGGTAACAATAACTAGGCTAGTAAAATAAACTAAAAATTAATATAAAACAAAGCATTTATTATAAACACAAGATCATTTAATAGCCGTTATTGAGGTAATTATAACCATGTAATAAAGTGTATTAAAATGACCTTAATCATGTCCTAAGAGTACTCATTAGCTAGGAATCATAATTTGGAAAAAGTAAAATCCATGAAACTTACAATTTAAAGCCAAATCAGGATACGTGATCAGCGCTGGCTTGTCCTGGTCCCCATACACAGCAACAGAGACACAACCATAACGAGTTCTTATAACATGTTCCTGCAAAACACCTCAGTAGCAAGTTAATCAGGAACAACACATAAGTTGGCCACACAATAAAATCACACATAAGAATATGATAAAACACCTCATTCATGTTTAAACAGCAAGGAAAGGGGCAAAAAGAAATATGTTATTTAACCACGTCATGTATGAAAGGTTTCAGCATGGGCAACAGAAGTGTGTAAATCCTCTGGTCTCTAGAAGGTTCTCACTCACAGGAAAAACAAAAAACAAAACCAACCAAAAATGGAAATTAACCAAAAAAGTGCAAATCTTTGAAGGCTGATACTGCATGTGTAAAGAGGTTAAAAAAGGATATCAATCTGCACCAGCCCGAATCCTACCAGTGATAGCAAGTAAGACAATTAAAATAATTAAAAATCAAATCCAGTTTATTTAATTCATGGAAATCATGTAACCATCATTCACTAACTCAATAGCCTTCAAAAAACAGAAACAGCTTATAAATACTGTACTTGTTTAACTGAATTCAGAAAGTTTCTGAAGCAATGCAACAACATTATGTGATAGGAGTGCAAGAAATGAAACAGTCATTTTTATCAGGCGAGGAAGAAACAGAAACAGTTAAACACAAAAATTGAGTTAAACTAAGTGCATGTAATGAAATGGTTGTTTGATAGTGTTAGCGTTAACTAGGTACCTCGGGTGGAGGAGAAATGACTTCCATGTCCACCGACACCGAATCCGCCATTTCACTCTCTAGCGTTGTGAATGTGTAACCACTCACACCCCATTGCTTCCTTTACCTTGATTTTTGGTTTTATAGTGAATACTTAGCACTGGTATCTGTCCATTTCTCTTTTTCTTTCTCTCTCCATTTTGTGCTTCTCTCGCACGAGTCACCGACGCTCAACCCCGTGCCAAATTCAATTCAAGACACACCAGCGCTCCGCATTAACACTCCCTTACTTAACCCCCCACTCTGGTTGCTTAACCATGGTTCTCAAGCCGACACTTTTTCCTTCTATTTTTTTTTTTCTTCCTCCTTTTTAATATTATAATAACACTTTTTTTTCATTAAATTTGTCACTGTCACATCACACGTACCATTTTTTTCAATTTATAAAACAAAAATCATCAATTATTAATTAAATGGATATTCGTATCATAAAATTTTCATAAAGATAAAAAATAATACAGAGTTATAATTTAATTGTTAAAATTATAAAATCAAGTTTATATGTAAACTGGTTGATATCCTTGGTTCTTGTTCCCATAGAACATTTGTTGTAAATACCTTAGCTACGACAACATATATGTAAATTTAAGAATAAATTAATCCGAAGTAAAAAAATAATAATAATAATTTTATACCTTAAAAAAAATGCTCTTATAGGTGCAATATTGGGCATTCTTTGTGGTGGATATAATTATGTTATAGATAAAAAAAAAAAAAAAAAAACAGGTTAAACATACATTCAACTTTTGGTGTAAGAGAATTCCAAACATAAAATAGATTATTTTAAGTTTTTAAATATTAAGTTGGAAGATAAATCATTTTTCAAATGTTCTTTTTTTAAAATCAGTTTTTCAATATTATTTTACAAAATACCAAAGTATAAATCAAATCATTTTATATAATATTTTAAAGTTACTTTTTTAATATTTTTAAAAATCTAGTATGTTTAAATATTTATAAATCATAACATTATACTAATTAAATATATTTTAGACATTTAAAAATTTTATTTTTAATGTCTTTTACAGTGTTTTGTTATTAAAGAAATGTATTAAACAGATGATGTTTATTTTTGTTACATAAAAATTAAAGGTTCATGGCTAACATTATAATATGTAGTTCAACCTTGACTAATGAATTTGCATGTCTTGTTATTTTACAATTCAACCTGCATGAAAGTAAAATTTCATCATGAAATTTGTTTGTGGGGCTAAACATCTTAAATCAAATTTCATCATGAAATTTGTTTGTGGGGCTAAACATCTTAAATCAATCACGAAGTTTCCATTGTCACAAAAACACCATACTGTATTATTTATACTATTTTTTAACTCTTAAGTTATTTTTCTTTTTAATTTGCTTTTTTTCTAGGATGAAATAATACAATTTAAAGGGTTTCTCAGCCATACTTTTTCAATGTTTTGGTTAAATTTTTAATTAAATAATTATTGAAAATTACGAGACAGCCCAATGAAGAATATTGAAAAATGTATTATTGCATCTCCTAATTTTTAAAAAAAAGTAAAGTTTTACTTTTGTTGTTTTATTTTATATATTAAATTTAAGGTTATGGGACAAATATTAATGTTTGAAATTCATAACAAAATTATATAAATTTATAATATATCATTATGACTTAAATATATTTGTAATCTTCTGGTATATATTTTAATAAAATTTGTAATATAATTTTTTACTTTACAAAAGTTATCTTCTATGTAAGAAATCAGTTAGGGTCTCCAATATCATTTATAAGAAATTAATATATATTTTTGTTTATTAGTAACATAATTTTAAGAAAGTACACAATTTTGATTAGATTTTAAAAAAATCATATATTAAAAATTTAAAATATCACATAAACTTGTTCTAATTATAAATTGCTTTAAAAAAATAAGTTCCTGAATATAAGAAATACATGATAAATGATCATTAGAGATATTCTTTAAAAAAAAACATTTTTTTTCTTATAAAATATTTATATTTTACTTTTTTCTCTTCAAAAAGTAAAATTAATTAATATTGTTTTCCTTTTGAAAATAAATAATTAACAAAAAAAAACTATACCTTAAATATTTTTAAATGCGTCAGATCCTAATCTTATGTCACAAACATTATCAGCTGGTATTGGTTAAACCATTCAATTCCCCTTTAGTTTGTAAAAAAATAACAAGTATCACATAATATTAAAAGAAAACAATAATTCCTATTACTAAAGAGACACAAAACAAATAAAGAAAATTACAATGATTAAAATAAAAAATAGTTAATTTTATATTAAGTAAAGACATATTTAAATCTACCATTCATTATTCATTCACTCTTATTACACACTAATTCCTCATATGATAAGACAACTAGTTAGAATTTAGTTTTTAAATGAGATGTAAAATTAAATGGAGGGAATATTAAAAAGGTACAGTAGGTATCATTGTACAATGTACATCAATGATTATACTAACATGGAAAGGATGGTAATGTGTGTGGGCTAACTCTACCACCACCACTGTCTCCATGGCAGAGAATGGCATGTGTGATTTAATTGTCTCAGGAACCACAACCCATCATCAATTCCTTCAGCGCACTGGCAGTAAGTAGCAAAGGGAGCAGCCACCAATCGAATGAAACCAGCGTGTAGTCTGTTGCATGGGATTTGTCTGCAGCAAGATATCTAAAATTTTTCAAAACATTATTCATACTTTGATGAAATATTACTAGTAGTGTATTGTAGAGTAAGAGAAAAGTGATTAACAAATAAGGAGAATTCCAAGTGCATCATCAAATCGCTCAAAATCAGCATGGTGTCGATCTCGCAGCAAGCATATGCAGGTTGCAGAGTTCAATGCCAGGCATTTACTTCTTCTGAGTTGTGAGCATTTATTAAAACTCAATCCCGATGCCATTGCCCCATCTACTGCTACTTCCTCGAAACCACTTTGAGGCCTAGTGTTAATGATTCTTATAATTTTTCTTTTCCTTTTTCTTAGCTGAATTGCATTTATAATTTCCATATCTTGTTTCCTTCTCTGAGAACACCATTTGTTCATTCATGCATTGCAAACAGAATAAAAAACGTAGACATGTTATGATAATGGATCATTTTTTAACTAAAGTGTGTGACAAAATACAACCACACTTGTGGAGAATAGAGTTTAATCACTTCCATTCCATCCTAGGAATATCTTTATATATATATATATATATATATATATATATATGAAAAAATATTACTGTAAAACAAGAACTTAGTTACAAGTTATAATTGAACATACCATTTTACCCCGAACGGGACAGAAAGGTAAAATAAGCTAGAAAGAATGGGATAGAGAAGGGGGCAAAGAGATCTGTGTAGAGTGTGAAGCAACGTATTATAGAGGAGGGACTATAAAAATATTATTGGGCTGGGCTCACTCAAAAGGAAGGGGCCTTTCGTGAATGATTCGCTTTTGTTTAATGTTCGGCCCACACATCTATCACAATATTTGTAGTTTCAACTTCAATATCCGGGTATGTGCTGGCACTTAGACTTCAATTTTATAATTTTAGTTTTTCTTTCCCATGCTAAATATACAATATAGTTACTAACCTAAATAAACAAGTTTTTATTTTTATTAGTATATTTATAGATCAAAATAATATTTTCCTAAATATAAATTAGTATTTTGGTTTTTTTTTTTTAAGTCTACCATCTATTTACATCCATGCCTCAGGGTATAAAGTATAGTAGTGAAATAATAAAGTAAATATTTTAATATTATAATAGTTGAATAAACAATCAAACAATACAATTGAAAGTATTCAAATAATAATAACCAAATAAAAATAAAATCACTTTCCATTCTTATCAATAAGTTACTGAGCAGAAGGTTAAGAGTAAGCAAAATTGTAGTTAGGTAAAAATAATAAAGTCGTATCTTAGTGAATGATGAAAAAACGACAATTAAAACAAACGTTTTAAACAATTTTTATGAATTATAAAAACACTACGAATAATTAAAGACAAAAATTTGAATAAGAATAATGGTATGAAATAATTAAGATAAAAAATACAATGAACCAAATTTGTGCTCTTTATACTTTGTACGAAGTAAAATAGTGAATTTCTCCTTAAAAAAAGAAAACAGTGTATTTGAAGGATTATTTAATAAATTAAATAATTGTTAAATTGGAAAAACTAAGGAATGAAGCTCAAATGTGCCACGTTGCTTGGTACACAGTATTCGTCAACGATGTCTCTACAATCTTCCAAAAAATAGAAAAAGGTTTGGGTTGGGCGTAACAGGGGAAAGAGTGATTCCTGAAACCTCGGTGCGATTCCTTAGCTCACAGCAACATACATAGGAAGCATCACAATGGCACTTCTCAGTCGAGCCTCCTCACGCTTCCCTCAACTGCACTCCCATCAACGGGTACTCTCCATCCACACAACCCTCCCATCTCTCAACGCATCCACGCCCACGCCCACACCATATGCTCCGCCACCGCCTCCATCCGTTTCCTCTCCCGTCGGGGTCTCCAAGGCGCCCGAGTTCGTCATCTCTAAGGTCGACGATCTGTTGAACTGGGCCCGCCGCGGCTCCATCTGGCCCATGACCTTCGGCCTCGCCTGCTGCGCCGTCGAAATGATGCACACCGGCGCCGCCCGCTACGATCTCGACCGTTTCGGCATCATTTTCAGGCCCAGCCCTCGCCAGTCTGACTGCATGATCGTCGCCGGCACTCTCACGAACAAGATGGCTCCCGCTCTTCGCAAGTAAATCCTCCATCCCTTTTTTCTAGGGTTTTTACTTCCTTAATCTATTTTCCGTTTTGTTCCTTTCCACAGTAGATTAGAAATCGTATGCCTCACTTGATGCACTGATTTGCCTTTTACGTGACATATGTGCGTGGTTGGGGAGTATCAATTTGACTTGATATGCTGTCAATGCGTTCGCGTCTTTGTTTGAATGCTGTTATATATATGTTGGAGAATTTGAAAGATAAATTGTTCGGTGTTCAAGAAAGCAAATGCCTGTTAATTGAGGTTTCTGTGACTAAATTGCATTTGTGGAAGATTTAATGTTGCCAATGATGATGTATTTTGCTTGTTTTAGTTAACTCTTGTTTTGGTGTTGTAACCTTGGTTTAGTGTTGATATGAAACTCTTACCACAAGACACTGTTTTAACGAAGAAATCCTGTTTAGTTCATTATTCTGCTAATGCTTATACCTGTACCTGATAAGGATAACCAAATACTGAATATAGACATCGAGGAAGTAGAGGGAAATTACATACTAGCTGTACTTTGTAGGCTGTTTGAGGGGCTTGCTTCCTACCCTCCCAATCCTTACTAAATTCCTGCCTCCACCTGGCATGTGTGCAGGTTGTTGGTTGTTGCAAACTTACAATACACAACCTCAGACTGATTCCCCATTTACATTTATTTGCCTCATTGCCTCTAATCCCTTGCTACCCTTCCCTTTCTTCCTAACATACACCTAAGTAATAGGTCGTGGCTAATGGAGTCTTCTCTCGTGAATAAATTCTGTTTTAGAAACCACTTTGATTGAATGATACTGCATGTTAAAGGAGGTTCTTAGGGGATAATAGTTTTCTGGCATTGTACGAGAGGTGTGAATATTTTTACGAATTTGAAGCCAAAGCTAGAGTGCATAAGAATCTAAAATAGCATCCCTTGGACTAGAGGCTCTTCCAGCCAGTATAATTTATGTAACTTAAAAGCAAGAGATGCTTATTGGCCAGTTACTCTAATGGCACATCTTCTGACCAGAGTGAGTGTATTTGGGGAGTTTGTCTGCAAAAGATGATTGGCACATCCTGATCAGACCTTAAGTAATAATGGCGAGGCTTTGAAGCATTTTCTCCATGCATGAAGAAAGATCGCGACTGCCTGTTTCAAACACTACATAAGAACTCATGTCATATTTTTCATTAAACTTATTGGAATAAGCTAAAATAAGTTTATGGAAGTTACAAGCTGTTTTCCTATGCTCAAGTAAACAATGTCTATGGTCTTCCAGATGTCTCCCGTGTAAGTTCTATTTTTGAACATTAGCCAGCTTGCTGTACCACTTCTAAGATATTTCAATTGTCAGAATCTTTTCTTTTGAGGTCTAAAATACTCCCTACAATGTTGGAAAACATATATCATAATGTTGGCAGCTACGTCTGTTTTAATGCCGCAGTAATTGGTTGGGATTTTTCTGTCATAGATGTTCATGAAAAGTTAGTAATTGATTTTCATGCCATGTTTCTATCTTCCCTTCCCTATGAAATTCTATGTTACGATATTAATATTATAGCCTTGGAATTTTATTGATGTTCTGTTCTTTGACATGGCAAAACTAAGTTTATTAAATTTACAATTTTATATGTGATGCTGAAAAATTCTTGCAGGGTTTATGACCAAATGCCTGAACCTAGATGGGTCATCTCAATGGGAAGTTGTGCTAACGGAGGAGGATACTACCACTACTCTTACTCCGTGGTTCGGGGATGTGACAGAATTGTTCCTGTTGACATATATATTCCAGGCTGCCCTCCAACTGCTGAAGCCTTGCTGTATGGACTCCTCCAACTGCAGAAAAAGATCAATAGGCGCAAAGACTTCCTCCATTGGTGGACAAAGTGAGGTCGACTAAGCTTATTTCTTGGCAGCCAAACTATTTTACAATAAGCAAATTCATATATGGTAATATGTTACCTTGCTAAGAAGTGCCCATGTTGGATGGAGATTGAGTTGATACATTACATTATCAGAGTTTCTCAATCAATGTTTTATCTGCTCCTTTTTCGGGGGCTTCCGGCCCCTTTGAAGTTTGTATGTTTCTTATCTCTTAATGCTTCATCTGTACCCGAGACTAAACCATTTCTGAATAACTCGTGTTTGGTTTGTAAGTTACGGTCAGTACGTTGGACCAATTCCCCTCTTGAATGGTTCCTGATCGTTCAATAAATCATTTTGAACTGATGGTTTCATCCGGCCCCTTCAAAAAATTATGATGCACTTACACATTTTTATGTTTGATTTTTTTTTTCCACTAAAAATTTAATTATATGACCCACAACTTGAAGGTCTATGAATTTTCACAAAGCTTTGACTCTATGAGAAAAATGCAATTCCCATTTCTGTTTCTTTCTCAAGGTAATTTACAAATAATGATTATGTTTTAAATAAGATTTGTCAGATGAAGACATTTTCTTTCTGAATCCACAATGATATGATTTAAGGAATAATCCGTGGCTTATTGATAGTCGACCTAGCAAATTTGCAATGTCCGGGCCTTTTAAGCTTTTTCTAGGAAAACGCCTTATCAGCAGGGTGATATGATACTTAATTAAAATTAATGTTATTTTTTATAATAATATTGCTCCTTAACCAATAATACTGTATCGATATTTTAACAATAAAACACTATATGGTTGAATTAAACTCATATAGAATGTTATTAAGAAAATTAGATGAACAAAATAAAGTTGCTACAAATATACAAAGAGTGGTTGGTTTTAATAATAAATTTTGAGTAAAATTGTAATAAACTTTGAGTAAAATTGAAAAAGTTATAAAATTATCATATGCAGGTTGACCGGTGTTGTTTTAAGATCACATGTTGATTTAATTATTCAATTGTAGTAAGATTTTGGTAATTTGCACCAACAATTTATTTTATCAATTATGTTAACAGACTGTAAGAACAAAATAAAATTCGAGCAATGACATATATAATCCGTAAAAAATTGTTAATAAAAGGGATGTTTAAAACTATTTTTAAAGAAAAACTGAAATTCAATAAATAAAATGAAAATAGATCAAAAAGTTGTTTTTTTTATTAAGAAAAATTAAATTTTCAGAAACTAATCCGAACCATAATTATACATATTATAATATATACTGGAATGATATTTATTATAAGCAAATCAAATAAAACATAAAATATAAGATAAAATATAGAAAATGATAATAGGGAGTGTGACTTGTGAATAAGTGAATCAAGTAAAATCATCCAAATTTCAATTATTTAAATGTATCTTAACAAAATAAAACATAACCTAATTATCCAACTTTCAATTATACAATTTTATCTCAGGAAAATTTAATTCAAGAGTAATTCAAACAACACAATATTATTTATAACAACTAAATCATAAATCTAACAACGTGACAATAAAATCTGATATTGTAATGTGTTTTATTTATATTAAAAAATATCTATTTAAATTAATAATATTGTAACAACTAAATCATAATTCCAACAACGTAACAATGAAATCTGATATGGTAATGTATTTTATTTATATTAAAAAATATTTTATTTAAATTATTAATTAATATGAGTTGAAATATTATTTATTTTTTTATATGAAATATGTAATTTTATATAACATCTAATTTAGTTTCTTATAATTTAAAACATATTGTTATGATTTGAACTTGAACAGATATATTTATTTATTTAACAAGTATTTTAACCTTAAATCGTCTAAAGAAAATTATAAAATGTTGATTTGATTTGATTTAACTTTTTAATCAAAATCAACTCACATCATAATTTTTGTATTCAAAACCAAAACCAAATTGCATCACAAATACTCTAATTAATAATTATTTTTAATTATAGATTATAATAATTATTTTAACTTTTTTTTAATTATAGTTTTTCTTTAATATTTTAATCTATTTTGCAACATTTTTTAAAATGCCAAAGGAATTGTGCGGCAATATTTGAAAATCTTACCTTATAAAAGATAAAATAGGAAGAAATTTACGTGAAAGAAAAAGCGATTTTTTATCACATCCCTTTAGATGACGTAAAAAACACCTTTCGATCTTCAATAGACGAAAGCAAAATATCTGGCACTTAATTTCTCGTCTCTCCCCAAAAACAGGTGACGCGAGTGTCTAGGGTTTGTGGCAATGGCGGAGGAAGCACAGTATTCATCGGGAACGGAGTCCGGATCCCTCAAGCGCAAGTACGAAGACCAACCTTCCGACAGGCCCACCGGCTTCTCCGCGGGCCCCGCCACCGGCATCGAGCTAGCGAAGCAGCGTGCTCAAGAAGTCGCCGCTCGCCTCCTCCTCAGCGGTGGTCCTCCTCCACCCGTCGACGCTAAGCGTCCCAAACCCGATAATGGTGCTCCTACATCTGGCTTCGATTCTTTCGGTATCTAACTATTCCTCTTTGCTCCACTCTTCTTCTCTTTTAGGTTAGGGTTTTATAAACTGATTTCTGTGAACGCAGATGCGAAGCCTCAGTATTCGTCCGTTCCTCCTGTCTCCTACAGTCATCAAGGCACAAGCAAGAAGATTGATATCCCGAACGGTAGGGTTGGCGTGATTATTGGCAAAAGTGGAGAGACCATTAAGTATCTCCAGTTGCAGTCTGGTGCCAAAATTCAAGTTACCCGCGATATGGACGCTGACCCTAATTCTACTACTAGGACCGTTGAGCTTATGGGTACTACTGAGGCAATTGCGTCTGCTGAGAAACTCATTAATGAAGTTCTTGCTGAGGTTTTACAAATAATTTTTTTTTTCTGCCAATTATGCATGTTGGAATTTTTGTGAAATTTTCTCAGATGTTGATGGAATGATAGTTGTAACAGTATGAATACTTTGTAATAATATGAATTATTTAATATTAACATATATCTGTCGTAAATTGTTTTTTTACCAGGCTGAATCCGGGGGTTCTGGCATTGTTGCTCGGAGGCTGACTGGACAAGCTGGGTCCGATGAATTTGTCATGAAAATCCCAAATAATAAGGTGTTAAAGGAGATTTGTTTAAGCTTATGCTTTGTACAATGTTTTAAGTTATTGCTGTGTTGTTGTTTTTGTTGATATAGTTTGTTGTGTGCCATGTCCAGGTTGGCCTTATAATTGGTAAAGGAGGAGAAACTATAAAGAATATGCAAGCTTCTACTGGAGCTAGGATTCAGGTTGTTAATTCTAGTGATAATATAGTGTATAGTTGTCTTCATTGTGTATTAGATATAGGCGATAAATCATAGTAGCTAGGATTTCGTGCTATGTTTTTTTCTCTGGTTTTGTAATTACTGTTATTATGGAAGACTGCGATAACTGCTGACTCTCAAGACATGGAGAGTCCACTCTAGAGTCATATTATACTAATATTTATAAATTTACAGGTCATACCTCTCCATCTTCCCCCAGGTGACACATCAACTGAAAGAACATTAAAAATTGATGGGACTTCTGAGCAAATCGAGTCTGCAAAGCAGTTGGTTAATCAAGTCATCAGTGGTGAGGTATGTTAAGGATGCTCTCTAGTTGATGCATTTGGCTTAGCATGTTATGCTTGCCTTGTGCGAAGTATAGTTTAGTGTTTAAATTGTGGATTTTCCATTCAATTTTGTATTCTTTATGTTATAGAAATATAATTATCTTTTACAATTATTTTTTTATCAAATTTGGTGACTTTATGTGATTGTCAGGATGAATAATGTGCACTTGTGATTTCCTGTTGGGGCTTTGTTATTTTTGTCTGTTAAATAAAATATGAAACTAGAACTTTGTTATTTTTGTATAATATTAGAATAAAATATAAAGCTAGAACTGATGGATTCATTAACATGTTAGATGATTTTTGAACTATCTTCAATAATTGTTTTTGTTCCATTGCAGGGAGAAAATAACTTGCTAAACTATGTGATGATTCCACGTTAGTTGGCATAAATGATGTTTATTCCTTCCATGTTTATTAATTCTTTGATCTTATTAATGATATTGCTTTATATCGTGACCATTATTAATCAACTTTTATATTCTGGATTCAATGATCTCCAGGCCTAAAAGAATTTTAAGCTATTAGTCTATGTATAAATGAGTAGTGTTTTCTTTAGATCCTAATGTTTATCTAACAAGTGGTCTCTCTCTCTCTCTCTCTCTCTCTCTCTCTCTCATATATATATATATATATATATATATATATATATATATATATATATATATATATATATATATATATACACATCTATCTTGGTTGGACGTCTGTTACTTGTTCTATTGTCCTTTGAAAAAAAAATAGTGCATATTTTGGTTTCAAGACCACTGTAAAAATAATGCAAAAAGGTGGAAGATACATTAAGTACGTGTTTGTTATATTGTCAGTTATCACACATTTGGTTGCACATGCACTCCAATTCATTTGTCTAATCTCAACAAGGTCAACTTCGGTTTGAGACTTGCAAACTTAAACAAAACATTCTATGTTGCTAACTTCTGTTATGATGTTGTTGTAATCTCCAATTTTCCTCAGTGTAGTTGCATTTGCTTGCCAAATACAAAATACTATATTATGGTGTTAACAATGTATGGTATGTTGTTCAATTAGGGGTCTTGAGATAGTAGTAGCAGTTGCACAGATCAGTATCTTCAGTTTAGTCTAGGCTTAGGTGATAAACTGTGTCTGTAAGTTTGTGTGTGTATCTGAAATCTGCTATATTATTAGATAATATGTTATAGTTGATATTCATTTTTATACATCCACTAAAGTGAGGATATTGATTGGATTATTTGAGAATTGGATTTTTTGTTTTTTTCTCTACCAAGTCACGAAGCTCTCTTGCAAAGACTGTTTTAACTGTGGTAAAGTTTTCCGCTTAGCCCAGTGCACTCGTGAGGTGGGTCTTTCATTTTTTTTGTGGGCTAGTTTGCTGGGGGCCATGATGGCTATTATAATTATGACATATTTTTGGTCCAAGTGGATACTCATTAGGATTAATGTCTGTTCAACAATGGAATATGCTTATTAATTGTGTATCCTATGACTGATCTTGTTATTGGGACTATTGTAGGATTATAGTATCTATTGGACCATTGGTGACACCAACATGAATTCCTTTGTTGGTGTTCCCACATCATGCCCGGGTATGGTTCTAAATCTCAGTTTTGATGATTATTATCAAGGGCAGTAAGTCTCCTATTGAATTTTTTTTACTCTAAAGTGTCATTTAAATATGAATTATTGGGTTGAAATTATTTTCAACCATGGCAATTGTCCTTTTCAATTAATTCGTAAAAAAACTTCATATATTTGAAATAATATTTTATACCTGTGTCTTATACTTGACTTACATTTGGCATAATAACCTGAAATTTGCTATTGTGAAGCACAATAACTTTCCTAAACTATTATTTTATCAATTTTAGTTATCATTGTTTACACTAACAAGTCCTTTTCAAGATTTCATGTGGCATTATTGCCTTTCTATATCTCCTGCCGCTTCTCATCTGTGTTTTATCGATCAACTGTTTTTCTTTTTCTTATTCTTGTGTCCTTTAACCGTAATCATTTGAAGTTTGATTATGTACTTTAAATACACATGCATGCTTTTTACCTCTAATTTCAATAGCTGTTCTACTAAAATAATATTTAATTATTTTATACCTTTGACGGTAACCTGTTGGAGTGGGTTGAGGAAAGGTTAAAGGGATGTACATGCGATAAAAGTCTCAACAGTCTAAAATACACTATGGTTGCTCTTCATCCTTTACAGCGTGGAATATGTGTAGTCCTGATACTCTTGTTAATTTAATATAATTATGAATGATATATTATCTAGTGTAATAATTATTAATTGGAATAAGATCATACATACTGAGATACTATGTGATGGATTGCCTTTTTAAGTCAATTCAAATTGTATGCTTGTATGCTTCTTTTTGGTTTGTGCTTCCTTTTGTACCCATTCAATTCGAATAGGGAAAGGGTGTGCTGCTGGAGTAACTCAGTTTTATCACGAACCAGTACGGTATGTAGGTATTTATATCCCTTTCTAATCTTGTATGCAAGACATATACCAGTTATCCTGTGTTCTTTATGTGTTTATTCTTATTTGTGTAAGCTTAACCCTTGTATGTGTTTGTGCATCTGTTGATTCTTGTTATGCGGAAACCTGGGTAAATTCACTATTTATTTTGGTTTTATTTTTTCTCCACAGAATCGTCTTAGAAATCCTGCAATGTCTGGTGGTTATCCTCAGCAAGGTTACCAATCTCGACCACCCTCGAACTGGGCTCCCCCTGCTCCAATGCAACAACCTGGTTATGGCTATGTGCAACCTGGAGCATATTCTGGTCCATCACCTCAGTATAACATGCCTCAACCACCATATGCAGGCTATCCTCCACAACAACCAGGTGGATACTCCACCGGCTGGGACCAGTCTTCTGCACCACCTCACCAGCAATCTACTGGTGGCTATGATTACTATAGTCAACAGCCACAGCAACCACAAAATCCTGGTGGGCCTGCACCTCCAGGGGATGGCTCTGCATACAATTACAGTCAACCACCTTCCTCTGGTTACAGCCAATCGGGACAGGGTTATGACAGCTATAGTGCATATAATGCGCAATCTCAATCAGGGTATGGACAGCCACCAACATATGACCAGCAGCAAGGCTATGGCTCAGCTACCACTGGCTATGGTAGTGGGAGTAACCCAGCACAGGAGGGCCACCCTGCCAGTTATGCATCCCAGGGAGATTCGGCCCAAGCTCCATCTTCCCAACCGACCAGCATTGCGCAGCAAGGTTATCCTACCAGTCAACAGCCCAGTTCAAACACTGCCAACTACCCACCTCAGGGAACTCCTCAGTCAGGTTATGGGGTTCCCCCTACATCCCAAGCCGGATATGGAAATCAACCACAGGCAGGTTATGGACCTGGTTATGGAGCTCCTCAATCTCAAAAACCAAGTGCCAATCCTCCTGTTTATGGACAATCACAGTCACCTAGTGGAGTAGGAGGCTATGGTCAGTCAGCATATCCTGCTCAGCCTCCGCCTGCAGGATATACTCAACCCCAACCAGAATCAGGTGCTCAGAGAGCACCACCATCTGGTTATGGTGCAGGGCAACCAGGGTATGGTTCTCAAACCTATGGTGCTGCTCCTCATGGTGGCCAGCCTTATGGTCAGGCACCGCCACCATACAGCAACAGTTCATATGGTGCTGGTTATGCTCAGGCTCCAGCATACACTGGTGATGGTAATGCCAGTGGTAATTCTCAGCCTTCTCAGACTGTCGTTGCTAAAGCATCGCCGCAAAGTTGATAACTTTGTACCTCTTCCCCCTCCCCCCTTTTCTCTTGGACTTTTTTTTTGTCATTGTTTCACCGATCTTTATCGTGCTTAGTGACACCTATGTAGCATTGCATTTAGTGGAAGAATTGGTGTATTGAAATTTTTACATTTTGAATATTTTGTATGATTAAATAGGGACTCATTTTCATGTCGTTTGAAAAATTAGTTTGGAAGCTTATTTGAAGTTGTGAAATAACTTAATTTTCCCATTAACTTTTTAGTGAATGTCAATTTTTATGTTTTATTTTATTTTCTCTAATAAGTTTATGTTTTATTTTTATTATTTACTCTTTAATTCTATTGGAATATTTTTTATTTATTTTAATTGTTCCAACATGGATTTATCTTGTTTGACCTAGTTTGAAAATCAATTTCATATATTTTTTTCATTATCGAATTATGTCAACTTAGATTGTTCTTAATTTGGTTTGGATTATTCTCTTTAAATTTATTGTGACTTGTTTCATTAGTTTGATTTGATTTTTTTTATTTGACTCCTCTTAATATTGTATATATTATCTTTGTTGAATATAGAGAAAATAGGATTTGGAATTAATTTCCCTTATGATTCACATATAGGGTGATCTATTTATAGTAGAGAGATACAACTAAAAGAATGAATAGAATAAACGAAGATATTGTTTAATATTGTGGTTACCAATATCTAACAATATCTTAATAATATTAAATAATATATAAATAATATCTAACACTCCCCTCAAGTCTGGAGCATACAAATCGTATGTGCCAAGCTTGTTACAAATATAATCAATTCTAGGTCCCCGTAAAGATTTAGTAAAAATATCTGTTAACTGATCACTTGAGATAACAAACTCAGTCTTGATGTCTCCAGACATAATCTTTTCTCGAATAAAATGACAGTCAATCTCAATGTGTTTGGTCCTCTCATGAAAGACAGGATTAGAATTAATATGAATAGTAGCCTGATTATCACACACAAGTGTCATTTGAGTGACATCTCCAAATTGTAACTCTCTAAGCAATTGCTTGAGCCAAACAAGTTCACAGGAAGCTGATGTCATAGCTCTATATTCTGCTTCTGCACTGGATCTTGCCACAACACTTTGTTTCTTACTTTTCCATGAGATCAAGTTACCACCAATGGAGACACAATATCCAGATGTAGATCTTCTATCCGAAGGAGATCCTGCCCAATCAGCATCTGAGTAGCAAACAACTCTTGTATGGTTATTAGAACCATATAACAATCATTTTCCAGGAGATCCTTTAATATACTTCAAGATACGAATGACTGCATTCCAATGATCTTCACATGGTGAATTAAGAAATTGACTTACCACACTGACTGCAAAGGAAATGTCAGGACGAGTAACTGTAAGATAATTCAATTTTCCAACCAATCTTCTATACTGCTCAGGATCAGATATAGGCTCCCCCTGATTTGGTAGAAGTTTAGTATTGGGATCCATGGGTGTATCAACAGACTTTGAACTCATCAACCCAATTTCCTCCAAAATATCTATGGCATACTTCCTCTGAGATATAACAATATCATCATTGGACTGTGCCACCTCAATACCCAAGAAATATCTAAGTTTGCCAAGATCTTTGGTCTGAAAATGATGACAGAGATGTTGTTTCAACTGAGAGATGTCATGGTTATCACTACCTGTAAGAACAATGTCATCAACATATACTATCAAGTAAATACATCCAACACTTGAGTGTCGATAAAAGACAGAGTGATCTGCTTCACACCGAGTCATACCAAATTGTTAAACAACCTTGCTAAACTTTCCAAACCAGGCCCTAGGAGACTGTTTTAGGCCATATAGGGATTTGCGAAGACGACATACCATCCCAGAAGACTCCTCCTGAGCAACAAACCCAGGAGGTTGCTCCATATAGATTTCTTCTTGCAAATCACCATTGAGGAAAGCATTTTTAACATCTAGTTGATAAAGAGGCCATTGTTGAAGAGCGGCCATGGCGATAAATAAACGAACAGAAGTCATCTTTGCCACAGGGGAAAAGGTATCTTCATAATCCAACCCAAAAATTTGAGTATAACCTTTGGCCACAAGACGTGCTTTGAGGCGATCAATAGTACCATCAGGTCCAACTTTGATAGCAAACACCCACCTGCAACCAACAACAGATTTCCCAGACGGTAACGAGACCAATTCCCAAGTTCCACTACTATGAAGAGCACTTAGATCATCTAACATGGCCTGACGCCAACCAGGATGGGCTAAAGCTTCACGGACAGTTTTTGGAATGATCACAGAAGAAAAAGAGGAAAGACATGTATAAAAAGGTAATGACAGTCGATGATAACTCAAAGCAATATAATGGGGAGAGGGATTACGTGTAGAACGAATACCTTTTCGGAGGGCAATGGGAAAGTCAAACTCATGTGTCAGATTCGGAGGAGACAGAGTAGTTGGCACTTGAGTAGAGTCACATGGTGGTGGTTGTGATTGGTTTTGAGAACTATAAATCTGAAGAGGCAGTGGAGAAGAAGCTGACTGCGGAGCATGAACTAATGGTGAAGAAGACACAGTTAGAGGGTCACAAACAACAGGAACATTAAATGTATTAGGAGTGTTGACAAGATTGGATGGAGGCAGTGGTGAAGTTTGACTTTTAAAATAAAGAGACAACTCATCGAAGGTGACAACTTTTGACACAAAATAACGGTTAAGAGAAGGAGAAAAACATTTGTATCCTTTTTGTGATCTTGTAAACCCTAAAAAACACATTTATGTGATCTAGGAGAAAGTTTGTCCAGACCAGAACTGAAATTATGAACAAAACATGTAGACCTGAAAACTTTTAGAGGTAAAGGATGAAGTGGTTCATGAGGGAATAAAATGGAATGAGGTATTTTATTATCTAAAACCGAAGAAGGCATGCGATTAATGAGATAACATGCAGTAAGAAGAGCATCACCCCAAAAATGTTGAGGAACATCTCCATGAATTAAAAGTGTGCGAGTTGTTTCAATAAGATGTCTATTTTTACGTTCAGCTACACCATTTTGTTGAGGTGTATAAGCACAAGAAGTTTGATGCAAAATACCGTAAGAAGCCATGAATTGTTTAAAAGAATGAGAAAGATATTCACGGCTATTATCACTACGCAAAACTCTAATAGAAACACCGAACTGAGTTTGAATTTCATTAAAAAAAGTTTGAAAGATATGAAATAATTCAGAACGATTTTTCATCAAAAATAACCAAGTGCATCTGGAATAATCATCAATGAAAATAACAAAGTATTGAAAACCTAAAGTAGACTTAACGCGGCTAGGTCCCCAAATGTTAGAGTGAACCACGACAAAAGGGGACGAAGCACCACGTGTGAAACTACGAGGAAAGGAAGTACGACTATGTTTGCCTAATTGACATGACTCACACGCCAAACTAGATAAGTTGGACAAGGCAGGGACAAGTTTCTGTAACTTAGCAAGACTTGGATGACCTAACTGAGCATGAAGAAGAGAGGGAGACTCCATAACTGTACTAACATGTGTAGAGGGACGGAGATAATAAAGACCATGAGACTCACATCCTGTGTCAATCACCTGTTTCGAACTCCAGTCCTGTAAACACACAGAATTGTTGGTAAAAGTAACAGCACAATCAAGAGAACGAGTTAGACGACTGATGGACAACAGGTTAAAAGGAGACCCAGGGACATAAAGAACATTATCAATGGTTAAAGAAGGAAAAAGTTTAACCGTTCCAACACCATGAGATGATACTCTAGAGCCATCAGCCAAGTGTAATGTAAGGTAAATGATTAGGAGAGGATAAAGAGGAGAACAAAGATTTGTTACCAGTAATATGATCAAGTGGCTCCTAAATAAAAACCCAAGGACCAGGAGAAAATGATTGGGTCGGACCAACGAAAATATGTATTTGTATGTGTGACAGATATAGTGGAACTAGAAGACTGTTGATCCTTATACCATTCGAGAAATTTGTTGAACATAGCAGACATGTCGGATGCAACAGAAGAAGGAAGATCCCCTGCAGATAAAGGTGGGAAAAAATTTGTCTGAACAACTACAGCAGACTGAGGAGGACGACCATGTAATGTATAACACTTGTTAATCTTGTGACCTAGCTTGCCACAATGTTCACACTTAGGACGCCCTTTTTCCTGTTTGCGAGGGCGAGCCCGGTCATCACGATGGGATGTCAACACAAAAGAATCATTAACAAAATTGGAAATAGTGGAAGAAGTCATGAAGAGCGGGAGAACAAACCCAACTTCGATAGTGGTGATCTCAATGGCACGGTGGTCACCTGACCGAGACAAGCAAAATCATATGTCACCGGTAAAAAAAAATGAAACTCTGGTGAATTCTCCGACAACGGCGGACCCGGTGACTGCTCCAGCGGTAGCGGTGACAGTAACGTGAACTAGTACACCAGGTAAGTTCCCAGGAAAGAGAGGTGGGTCACTAATGGACACACTTAAATACCAAGTCTTTCCTTACCAGAACTTTCCTAAACATGCACTTTCACACTATCAAATAAAATTCAATGACAAAGATAATTCTTTTCTGATGTGGAGGATCAGTTTACCAGCAGCGGTGGGGCGGCTCCAACAGTGGACAAAAGGCGGAAAAAAATTTCAAGATAACCTTAAGCTCTAGATACCATGTTGAATATAGAGAAAATAGGGTTTGAAATTAATTTCCTTTGTGTATAAATCACACATAGAGTGATCTATTTATAGTAGAGAGATACAACTAAAAGAAGAATCGAAAGTAACAGAATAAACAAAAGATATTGTTTGATATTGTGGTTACCAATATCTAACAATATCAAATAATATCTAAACAATATCTAACAATCTTAATTAGTCTTATTTATTTAATTTTGGTATATCATAGTCACTAACAATTAGATTTAACTCATTTGAATCCAATTAAATTCAATATAATTTGATTTGTCTTAATTTATATTAACATAGTTTAATATGATCGTATTCATCATAGTCTATTATTTTAATTTAACTTAACTTAACTTTCTTGACTTAATATAATTTGTTTCTATCACAATAAATTTTCCTAATTTGATTTATTCTAATCTCATTTAATTTGGTTTAATCTTAATCAAATTTTACTAATGGAAATAAAAATTAATTACTTATGTAATAATAATAATAATTTTGATAAATTTATATTTAATAAAATATTTTATTTAAATAAGAACATTAAATTTTAATATATTTGAATGGTCTTATCAAAATAATTTATTTGAAAAATAATTTAAATTTAGTATATTTGATTTTCTTATAAATTATAAAATAATTTTTTCATAAACAACATTAAAATTGTGCTTGTAAAAAGTATTTATGACAATTTATCTTATAATTTATTTTATTTTTTAAAGTGTTTGAAAAAAATTTGTGAGCTAAGACTTCTTATATATATATATATATATATATATATATATATATATATATATATATATATATATATATATATATATATATTACATGGGATTAGTTGTGAACACGAATAACACGTTGAAGCCAACCTTTACATTCAATGTGCTCTACTGTACATTTAAAGATGTATTTTATTTTCATCTGCAGGCGTGCTTTGCATAAAAAAAATGGAATGGTTGAGATGAAGTCAATGTGAGATTTCATCCATCTAAGCTGAAATTATTTTTAGTACTTTTTTTACTTCTTTTTTTTATATCTGAAATCCATGTAACTTGAAATTATTTTTAGTGATTTTATATTTATTTTTTGTCTGAGTGTATCTGAATTGAGATTTAAATATTAAACCAAATGTAAACATAAGTACGTGTTTGATTTAATATTTGAAATTTTAATTTATATTTTAAAGGTGTAAAATAAAATATTTTCAACCCAAGTTTTATTTATAAATAATTTGATTGATTCACCGAAAAAATAAAAATATAATAAAATTATATTCTACATACATTATTTTCTTCTTTAACGTACTAATTTTTTTTTCTATGCGTACAAAGTTGCACGTATATATTTTAAATTCGATTAAATAAATTTATAAATTCTCTTTAAAATAGTAAAATATCTAACTCGTATAACATCGATTCAGATGAGAATTGTATATAGAATAAATTGAAAGTTACAGTAAAAGAGCATAATATTTCAATGAAAGTTAACTGTAATAATAAAAACAACGCACCTAAGTTTTTATTTGTTAGCTACTGTTTTTTTTGCCTATATTTAGATTATACACAGCACTTTCCGTTAATCCAAAAATTAGATGACACAACACCTATCAATCCCCTTAGTTTTTCAAACTTAGTTTCTCTTAAAGGTTTTGGTAAAAATATTTACGGCTTGGTCTTCAGTGCAGAGCAGTACACAAGCTCTAGTTTCTATTTACTCACTTCAACCCTAAAAAAAAAGGAAACTTATAAACCAATTTCAACTCTTTTAATGAAACAGTACAAAGTCTTATAATACACTAGATTCAAAGGGTTATTAATTGGAATTTTTTTTATTATATGAAATTTTACCAATATTTGTATTTGTAAAAGTCTTTATTTTTTTTTATTTAATTAGGTATAAATGAACCATAACTATGCAGCCCTATTTCTAAAATGTTTATCTCTAGATAATATATCTAAATTATAAGAAAGTTCATGGAAGTCACTATTAAAGAATTTATATATTTGAATTTTTTATTTTTTTCTAGTATGTAAATAAACTGTAAAAATAGTATAAGTAATAAAAACAAAATTTTCCTTTGAATCTCAATTTCAATACGATTTCCATGTCTCATTAGCTCATATTGCTCCTGATATATTATCTATTGTTAAAAAGAAAAAACCTAAACTAATAATATGATAGTCCCAACGATCTAATTGTTGAATAAATTGTGATCTATAATAATTCCTATAAGACTAAAAATGAGTTTTTGAAAAATCTTATTTTGACAATTTGTATTCATTTATTTGATTTTAGCAAAATAAAATGATTCATTAAAAAAATGTCCATATTTTACCAATAATTTGTATGAATTCTTGAAATGTAATTACTAAAATAGCCACTAGTAATAATGATTCACATAAAAAGTTGCATAACCAAATATCATTAACCAATGAGATTATAAAGCGAGACACTAATATTAAATATTAATGCATTTCGATTAAAAGATCTAAAGTAACAAAGTTTTGGATAAAAACAACGTTCAAGTATTATTATTGTATTGATATAGTAATTTTTATGTTTTTTTAAATAAGAAACCATATCCAAAATAAGAAAAGTCCATGAAAGAAATATTAATAATTCATATAAATCACTAAATGATATGAAAAAATCTAACGAGTAACTAACAATTTTTTGAGTTAATATATACTCTAAAGTGAAAATTTATTATTAATATTCGAATAGGTAATTAAGTCTACTATTATAATATTTAATAACTGCAGAGTTTATTCTTATATCAATTTAAAAAATATAAACTAAAATATATTTATTTTTTTATAAAAAAATATATACATTCTATGTGTAAAATATAAAATATGTGTACTTAATTAGATTATTAAAAATTAAAATATTTTATAATTATACTAAATCTTACTAAAATAATATAGATGATATTTTATATAAAAAAAATCAACAAATCATATGAAGATATCGAAATTTTTTTTTTCAATAAACAATATATAAATATTAACCATTCTTGGTCAATTATGAGAGGACAAAATAGAAATGGGAATTGGATATTTTGGGTTAGTAAGCCTATTGGAATTGTGACCAGAGCTTTTCCAGATGATGGTCATACAATTAATTTTTCAATACAAATACAGAGGGTATGGATTCTGACATTTTCTTTAATAATTTTGTACTAAAAAATATATTTGGATATAAAGTGAAAATTTATATTTATAGGAACTAAGAGAATAAATATTAAAAATATAAAATAAAGAGAAAGAAAAGTAAGAATATGATTAATTAAATGATAAGACAGTAATGTTGTGACAAATAGTTTAAATAGAGTTTATCCCTTCCTTAACATATAAATCTGTGGATGACGTAAAGACGCTTCACTATTTCTTGGTTGCATAGGCGAAGCGACGCAAAATATCTATTTTTTCTGACCTGCCCCACCATAGAGAGGGTAGGGGTCACTAGCAACTACTATAAATTATAAATAATAGCAGCAATCACTCTTACACACACCTAGCGTTTCTAGGGTTTGTGCCAATGGCGGATGAAACTCACTATTCATCTCCCAACGACTCTGCGCCCCTCAAACGCAAGTATGATGACCAATCCTCCGACAGACCCACCGGCTTCTCCGCTGGCCCCGCCACCGGCATCGAGCTCGCCAAGCAGCGTGCTCAAGAAGTCGCAGCTCGCCTCCTTCTCAGCGGTGGTCCTCCTCCCCTCGACGCCAAGCGTCCCAAACCCGACAACGGTGCTCCTACCTCTGGCTTCGATTCTTTCGGTAACCAACTATCCCTGTCTGCTCCACTCTTAGTCTCTTTTAGGTTAGGTTTATGAACTCTGATTTCCGTGGTGAACGTAGATGCGAAGCCTCAGTACTCGGCCATTCCTCCCGTCTCCTACAGTCACCAAGGTACTAGCAAGAAGATTGATATCCCTAACGGTAGGGTTGGTGTGATTATTGGCAAAGGTGGAGAGACCATTAAGTATCTCCAGTTGCAGTCTGGTGCCAAAATTCAAGTTACTCGCGATATGGACGCCGATCCTAATTCTGCTACTAGGACCGTTGAGCTTATGGGCACTCCCGAGGCAATTGCGTCTGCTGAGAAACTCATCAATGAAGTTCTTGCTGAGGTTACACATATTTTGTACTTCTTATTTCTTTTGTCAATCAAGTATCGTCAATTTTGAGTTAATCGTTACTTTTAATGATGTGAACTGTTCCTGATGAATATGCTGAAATAATTTATTATTGCAATGTATCTGATGACAACTTTTTTGTTCCAGGCTGAATCTGGGGGTTCTGGCATTGTTGCTCGAAGACTGACTGGACAAGCTGGGTCGGATGAATTTGTCATGAGAATTCCGAATAATAAGGTGTATAAAGGGGATATTTATTAGTGTATGCTTTGGACAATGTTTTAAGCAATTCCCGTGTTCAGATTTGGGATATTTGGGTTTATTGGTTTGTTGTGTGAATCTTCAGGTTGGACTTATTATTGGTAAAGGAGGAGAAACCATAAAAAATATGCAAGCTTCTACTGGAGCACGGATTCAGGTTGTTACTTCTAAGTGATATACAGTATACTGTTGTATTTGTTGTCTATTAGATGCAGGTGCTAAATCATAGTTTGCATAACTTTATTGCTATGTTTCTTTTTATCTTGGCTTTATGATTACTACTAATTTGGGAGACTGTGATGACTGCCTACTCTTATGACGTGGAAATTTTTGTTTAGAGTTTCTATTGACTAATATTTATATGTTTTTCAGGTGATACCTTTGCATCTTCCTCCAGGTGACACATCAACTGAAAGAACATTAAAAATTGATGGGACACCTGAGCAAATTGAGTCTGCAAAGGAGTTGGTTAATCAAATCATCAGTGGCGAGGTATGATAAGGGTGATTGTTTTTGTTACATTGTGCTTAGGCGTATGTGCCTGGTTTTGAAAAAGTTTAGTTTAGTGTTTAAAATTTTTGGATTTGCTACTGAGTATTGTATTATGTATGTTGCTCAATCTATTTATTTTTCTGGACATTTGATCAGACTAGGTGAATTTATGTCTTAGCTTTATGTGATTGTTAGATAAATGCTGTGTGATTGTGATTGCCCATTAGGTCTTGTTATTTTTTATGATATTGAAATATAAATCTAGATCTGATTGATGCCTTGATACATGGTTTTTTTGTACTCTTCGAAAATTGCTTTTGTTTCTTTCCTGGGAAAAATAGTATTTGTAAATCATATGATGGTTTTCACTATAATTTGTGTAAATGATTTTTATTCTGTTCATATTTATTAATTGTTGATCTTATTAATGATATTGCTTAATATTGTGATCATTATTAATTAACACTGTATATTCTTGATATTCTGGTCTGAACTGAAGCAGCTTAGCAGTAGGTGACAATTATTAATTAACTTGCTGCATATTCTGGATGCATTGATCTCTCTACCAAAGCAGCTTAGCTGAGGGTGTATGTTTAATGAAGTAGTGTTTTTCTCAGAGCTAATGCGCCTCTAACAAGTGGTATCATTATATGATACATTAATATTGATTGACCTCTTATCTATTGTATTATTCTCAGTAGAACATTAGTACACAGTTTCATATTGTTTGTTTCAAGATTTCTACAAAATATTGCACGAAGGCTGTTATGATATTTTTGTTTGTGATCTCCAACTCTCTTCAGTGTTGTCGCATCAGCTCGCCACCTCCTGTTCATTGCAATAGCTATCATTTATTAGCTGTATGATGGTCTTAGCGACTGTATGGTTTCTTTTTAACAGTCTTGATATAGTAGTAATATGCATCTTTCTTTGTGTTTAATCTAGCCTTAGGTGATGGTCATATCATAAATTATTAGGGTCTTTCTTATTCTGACTTGTTAACTGTATCTCTATGTTTGTGTATGTGTTCTCTGCTCTATATAATTAGCTAATATTTCTTGGTCATTACCTCCTTTTATACATCTACAAACGAAGGACATTGGTAGAAATATCCAAGAATTCAACTGTTTAGTTTTCTTGACCAGATACCAAGCATTTACAACGGCTGTGTTTTAAATGTGCTAAAATTGTTTTGCACTTAGCCCAATGCTCTGGTGAGGTGTGTCTTTCATTGTTTTTTGTTGGTCTGGATTCCTGGGGCTACTAAATGAAGGCTACTGTTACTATCAAATAATTTTGGTCCAAGTGGATACTCAATGCTATTATAGCCTGTTCGACAATGGACTATGCTTTTTAATTGTGTATCCTGTCACTGATATTGTTATTGGGACTGTTGTAGGGTTAGTGTCTATGGGACCATTGGTGACACCAACATGAAACCCTCTGTTGGTGTTCCCTCAGCATGCCCCGGTATGGTTCTAAAATCTCAGTTTTTGATATTTATTATCAAGGGCAGTTAGTCTCACATTAATATTTTTTTGACTATAAAGTGTCATTACTCGACTGAATGTTGAATTGTATTGAAATTATTATCAGTTTATTTCTCAAAAATAAACTTGGAATAGTGTTTTATCCACGCATCTTACACTGAAGCTACATTTGGCATAGGTAACCTGAAATTTGCCCCATCGTGCAGCACCTTAACTATTTTCCTTATGCTATTATTTTTAACGAGTTTGAAATAATAGTTTTCTCAACTAACCTGTTATGTTAAAGATTTATATTATGATTATCTGTTGTACATGTTGTCTTTCAACTGTTTATATATTATATTTATTTTTATTATTTTTATTTTGATGATCCTGATGTTGACCTTTTAGATTGGGTTGTCCAAAGGTTATGCTGATGTACATGGGAGCACATAAAAGTTGTCTTGTCTCAACTGTCTGTATATTTGCATTTAGAGTTGTGCCTTCATCTTAATACGGTGTGAAGTATCTGTAGTTCAGGCACTCTTGTTTAATTAATATGACTATAAATGATACACTATATAGTGTGACAATTGCATTAAGATATTTTGAGATACCATATGATGAATTGCCTTTTCAAGGCAATAAATATTGAATGCTTGTTTGCTTCTATGGTCTATGGTTTCTTTTGTACCCATTCAATTCGAATAGGGAAAGGGTGTGCTTCTGCTGGAGTAACTCAGTTTTATCACGAAACAGTACGGTATGTAGGTATTCATATCCCTTTCTGATATTGTATGCAACATGTAAATGCAAGATATATACCCTTTATCTGTGTTCTTTATATGTTGATTTTTACATGTGTAAGTTTAACCTGTGTATGTATGCATCTTTTGCTTTCTATACTTGTCTGATGTTGAAACATGGATGAATTCACTCTTTATTTTTGGTGTCAATTTGTCTCCACAGAATCGTCTAAGAAATCCTGCAATGTCTGGTGGTTATCCTCAGCAAGGTTACCAATCTCGACCACCCTCTAACTGGGCTCCCCCTGCTCCAATGCAGCAACCTGGTTATGGCTACGTGCAACCTGGAGCATATTCTGGTCCATCACCTCAGTATAACATGCCTCAACCACCATGTGCTGGCTATCCTCCCCAGCAACCAGGTGGATATTCCACCAGCTGGGACCAATCTTCTGCACCACCTCACCAACAGTCTACTCATACTGGAGGCTATGATTACTATAGTCAACAGCCACAGCAACCACAAAATCCTGGAGGGCCTGCACCTCCAGGGGATGGCTCTGCATACAATTACAGTCAACCACCTTCCTCTGGTTATAGCCAACCGGGACAGGGTTATGCTCAAGACAGTTATAATGCATATAATACACAATCTCAATCAGGGTATGGACAACCACCAACATATGATCAACAGCAAGGCTATGGCTCAGCTACTACTGGCTATGGTAGTGGGAGTAACCCAGCACAAGAGGGCCACACTGCGAGCTATGCATCGCAGGGAGATTCAGCCCAAGCTCCATCTTCCCAACCGACCAGCATGGCACAGCAAGGTTATCCTACCAGCCAACAGCCCAGCTCAAACACTGCCAACTACCCACCTCAGGGAACCCCTCAGTCAGGTTATGGGGTTCCGCCTACATCCCAAGCTGCTTATGGAAATCAACCACAGCCAGGTTATGGACCTGGTTATGGAGCTCCTCAATCGCAAAAACCAAGTGGCAATCCTCCTGTTTATGGACAGTCGCAGTCACCTAGTGCGGTAGGAGGCTATGGTCAGTCAACATATCCTGCGCAGCCTCCCCCATCCGGGTATACTCAATCCCAACCAGAATCGGGATCTCAGAGAGCACCACAGTCTGGTTATGTTGCAGGGCAACCAGGTTATGGTTCTCAAACATATGGTGCTCCTCAGGGTGGTCAGCCTGCTTATGGTCAGGCACCGCCTCCATACAGCAACAGTTCGTATGGTGCTGGTTATGCGCAGGGTCCTCCTTACACTGGTGATGGTAATTCGAGTGGGAATACTCAGCCTCCTCAGACTGCCGCTGCCAAAACTTCGCCTCAGAGTTGATCGTTTTGTCTCCCTCACTCTTTTCTCATGGACTGTTTGTTTCTTTTTCTTTAATCGTATTTTATAGATGTTTATTCTACTAGCGACACCCACTGTAGCATTGCATTGTTTAGATGGAAGGGTTGGTGTATTGAACTGTTTTACATGTTGAATCTTTTTAATGGTTAAATCGGATCTTTGACAAAATTTATTGGGAATATCTATCTATTTAGTTATGAAAATAACTATTGATTTTCATTAATTTTCTAGTGTATTAACAATTCAACTTGTTTTGTGCATTTGTTTTGAAGAATCATTTATAAATAGTAAAACAATTTATTGTTGCAAGTGTTTTTTTTTTAAGAATGATTATGTTCATAATTGTTTTTAATAAATGATTGAGAATAATTTAGTTACTGCGAGAATAGTTTGTTTTTATTTCTCAATCATAGAAATAATTTGAACACTAGTTTTCATAATTATTTATTTATTTTTTATTAATTGTTCTACACTTTTTTGTATTTTTTTTAGGATAGAATAGAATACTTATTCTTCAATTATTTAGTAATTAATGGATGGCCAGCTGATGTTTGTATAAACTTTGCCTTGAATCTATTCATAATTTTATATTATTTCAATTGGAATTGGGCAAAATGTATAATTCCAAATGAAGTTTACCTACATGTTACATTTCATTGGATTAAGAAATTACATAGTGATTATTTTGTATTTAACTTTGAATAGATAAATTTGTCTGACTTTATAAATTTATATTTAAAGTTTTCAAATTTTTATTTGTATTTTTTTATTTTTATCTTTAAAATGTTTATTAAAATTTTCTTTTATCTTTTTTCCATTTAAAATAATATTTTATATGTTTATATCTCTTCCACTCCCTTCAATATTTTTATATTCTAATCATTACAATATTTTAAAAATTTATTTTAATATTATACTTTAATCTGTTGACAAATTTTTATTTTTTTTCTAGAACGATTATTCTTGTAATAATATTCTTTAAGCCGAGCTTTAAGTCCCCATTATAAGAAAATTTGTTTCTTTATATTCATAGCTATGTGATGTATATTAACTGTAACTAGTGTCATACTGTCAAACCCATAAGCTACCTATTAGAATTTAAATCAACAAGCACACAAGCGTGGAATACCACCAATGATAATGTACATTAGCATACAAATCATATGAACGTGTACTCATGCTAAAATAAAATTTGCATAATTAGAAAAAAAGAACAGTAGAGAAAACTAAACAAATTTAAAAAAAAAAATTAACTTAAAAATTTACTATGGGAATGACTATCAAAGTAGTCAGAATTTTTTATATCAGAACATAACCTTAAAATAAAGAGATTATATATTTCATTATTATATTCTAATAGATTTTTTTTTTTAATTAATAGTCAATAAACACTGAATAATTTGTTAGAGATAATGGTTTATCATACTCTTGTCATTATTTACAGCTTGTGTTATTTGATATAGTTTTTTTTTAATTTTTGAAAACAATTTTAGAAATTAATTTTAAAATAATTTTAAATAAATCAATAGTCTTAACTTTTAATAAAATATTAGTTTTATATTTAATTTAATTTTTCATTTTAACAAATCAATGTTTTTATTAAACACATTTATATTTATATTTTTCTTTTCTTAATTTATGTACAAAATCTTAATTCATATATAGATAATATAATTTTTTATAATCATTATTATATTCTAATAATTTTATTTTCAATGAGTTTAGTGATTCTCATTGGAATAAAATAATAGAGCACATTTTTTTTTATTTGTAAGAATATAAAAGAAGTTTTATTTAAATATTTATTTTTAATTTATATATTACTTAAAATGTTAGGTAATCTTGAGTTTTGCTTTATACATTATTAATATATTTTTTCCAACTAAAAGAATACAGTACAGTTAGAAAATTACACTTTATTTTAAAAAATGAATAAAATAAAAAAATAATAGAGTTAAACACATTAAATATTCTTATAATAAAACAATTGGTTTTTTACAAACAAATTAACATAAAAGCACATAATAATATTATATTATGTGGTGTCTTTTATATTCAGTGAGTTTGACTCTAAATATTATAATAATTAATAATAAAGAGTTTATTATTAAAAAATCAGAATAATTAAGTTATTTATTAAAAAATCATAAATAATATTTAAAATGTACAGGTTTGTAAAATAAAAAAATATTAATTATTATTATATAAATAAACGAGAACATAATAATCAATATTATATTTAATCCTAAACTCTTGATATTTTATATTTTTAAGTTATTAGTATTTTGCATATATAATTATATATATTTGATTAGTATTTTTCACGTTATCTTATATATTTGATATATTAAATGAGAGAGTATTTTAGACTAAATATTATTTATTAGTAACATTAAAAGCTTCTTAATTAATATGGAATACTTTAAAAATAACAATAATTAGAAAATAGTAGTTAAAGTGATTATTTAGTTAGGAGGGAAAAGAAATAGGCAGTACTGTTAGAAATCAGAGAAAGGGAGAAAGAGAAAGAAGAGATGGAGGGAATGGAAGGAGATAACAGTGGAAGGGGCGAGGGAAGCAGCAGATACACTCTCAAACCCTTGCGAATTTTGAATGAAGATATTCTCATCTGCATCGACATCGATCCTCAGTGTCTCGTCGAGATGAAAGGAGCAACTGGACCCAATGGCAGACCCCTCACCAGATTGGATTCCATCAAGCAGGCCATCATTCTCTTTGTCAATGCCAAACTCACCATCAATCCCCAACACCGTTTCGCATTTGTTACTCTCTCCAACACCCTCTCTTGGGTTTCTTTCTATCATCACCTTTTTATTTCTCTTCAATTAAATCAATCATTCCTTTTAGGGTTTTTAATTTTAGTTGTAATTATAGGTGCGAAAAGAATTCAGCAGTGAAATTGACTCGACAATAGCAGCAATGCGGGGTGTTTCAGCTTCTTCTTCCACCGGTCCACCCGATCTCACTAATTTGTTCCGGCTTGGGGTTCATGAAGCCAAGAAATCCCGTGTGCAGGGTCGCATTTTTAGAGTTGTAAGTGTTTTTCATGGATAACACAGTTGTATTTGTGATTATGAATCCTAATAAGCAATCTTCTACATGCTACTCCCTTGTAGATTCTGTTTTATTGCAGATCATCAGAGCGACCTCAGCATCAGTGGCCGGTGAACCAGAAGTTATTCACTTTGGATGTGATGTACCTTCATGACAAGCCTGGACCTGATAACTGCCCGCAGGAGGTTTATGATACACTGGTGGAGGCACTTGAACATGTCAGTGAATATGAGGGGTACATCTTGGAGAGTGGACAGGGGTTGGCACGTGTTCTGTTCCGTCATGTGCTTATACTACTGTCCCATCCTCAGCAGCGATGTATCCAGGAGTATGTTGACATACCAAAGTCAATAACAAAGAAAGTTCCTCAGGTGGAACCTATGACCACTGAAGATAGTGTTCCCATAGCCAGCCAATAACACAATGTAATTGGATAGTTACTCTTCACCTGTTTTATTAGTGATTGGTTTCTTGTGAATGTAGGTGTTGTCTTCTTTTTTTGTGTTGTTAATGTTTTATTATTGATTTGTTGCTAATGTTGTACAAGTAATGTTTAAAATGTTTTGAACCCAATACCCAATATGGTAGGGGAGAGGTTGGTGATGCATCAGGTTCAAATCTTTTTGTAGTAGTATCATGTTCAAATCTTTTTGTCCCTGTGTCAGGTTCAAATCATTTTGTCCTTGTTAATACCAAATGCAATGAAGTTTAGCTTGTCTTGTTAAGTTATTCATCAGTTCACAGGTGTTTTTATGCTAGTTTTTAGGCAACTTACCATTTGGCAGATTCTAGCACAGTGCTAGCTGACATCAAAAGATTCTTTCTTCTCTGGGAGAAATGTAATATTTTTGCTCTGATTTGCCTTTAATTTCAATTTCAGGAGAAGTTGAAGCGGATTGCCCTTGCAAATAAACAAGCTCTCAAGGGTAATGGAATACCATCATTATTCAGCAGAGAGTTCAAGTTGCAGCCTCGTGTTAAAGTTGCAGTGGGGAATGATTGTTACCTTCAAGTTGATATCGTTTGCTATTTTGAATCAAACAAATGTATGAGAAGTTTACTTCAAACACATTCATTAGTAGTCTAGTTTAGGCATGGTCATCAAAATCAAAATGAACAGGCAATATGTACTAGCTGGTTTAGACAAGTGTAAGATACTAGAGTTTTTTGTTTCGTCTTGTCATTATAACCAATTGCATGTACTATGATGTGTCATGTATAGAGAGGGCTGACAGTTTATAATGTAGTCAGCATCTTCTTCTTTTTTCAGGAATTTTGTTTTTGATATTTACTATTAATATTTTTATGTGTACGCATGCGCAAAAAGATTTGCTTAAAAAAACTAATAAAATATAATTTCTGTATACACTTTTTACTAAAAAATATAAGCCCGTGTGAGCCAAGGGTGTTTAATCCAAACAGCCAGCTTCTGGGATATATACCTACTTGCAATCTCTTTGGTTAGAAGGAAGGGAAGTGAAGTAGAGATTTTTTGTCAAAAAAAGAATTTGGTTCAAAATTATAAAAGGAAAAGAGAAAATGAAGGGTAAAATTTCCTTTCTTTCCAAATTAAGGGTAGAGGAAATGATTCAAAATATTTAGAGCGGATTAGATAAATTGTCTTGACTATTTATTTATTTTTTAAATTGTTTATTGACATTACAAGGAAACGAGGATAACTCATTTTTTCCCTTTAACAAAGTAACTTGGGGATTTTTTTTTATTTCATTTCCTTTCTGTCTTAAATAAAATCTCTTTTCTCTTTTCTTCTGTAACCCAAAAAATAAATAAGTCATTCTTTATGTACTTTTGATTTTTCTTTTAAATTCTGGAAACTGGCTAATTATCTTTAATTTAATTGAAAATACTTTTTAATGTCTAAGTAATCGTATATTATTTTCTATTTATGTAACTATTTTTTATTTATGACACCATCACTTAATTTTTTTTAGAGGCATTCTTGCGGCTAGCAAACCACCCCCAACCCCCGAGCAACCTTACTAAAAATCACTAGTGAATTGTGTATAAAAAAAGAAGACAAAAGCCAACACAGACCCTAAAGAAAAGGTAGTAAAACATAAAAATAACTTAAATCCATTTTTATCCTCCTATGTGTAATTTTATTTTTTATAAGTTTAATTTTCTAAAATTTAAAAATTAAACAAATTTTAGTAGTCTATTTTTTATGTGTGCATCTATAATAATAAGATATTAATATAACAGAGGAAGTTTTTAATAACAAAATTTGACAAATGTTATTTCTTGAAATATATTAGTTTTTTAACAATTAAATGATCATTGATATAGGCCTGAAATGATTTAGTTTTGAAAAACTAAAAAAACATGTATAATTTAAAATTTTTATATGAACTCATTATAAATTCACAAAACTATTTATACAAAAAAGAAAAATTTAAACCTACAACAAACAATCTGAGACTTTCTAAACAACCTAAGTAGAAAATGGATTTGATTTAGTAACAAAATGCATCATTTTCAATTCAATAAATGATACTTAAGCTTCTTGAATATATCATAGGAGGAGGGCTAACTTACCGAGCTCGCACTGCATGCACTTACCTATCCTTCTTGTTTCATCGTAAAAATATACCTACTGGGAGTGGAACCATTGATGCAAGGAATATAAAAATTGAAAAAGGTAACCAGGGATAGATTGCTAGGAATACAGGCTAATATGGTACTAATTTTATCACTTCGTTTGTCTGTGTCTGCCTTGGTTTAGTTTTAGAGAAATCATGGGAACTGAAATCAAATTCTAAGGCTCTTTACATATATTGCATACAAGTTTCTGAGAATCTTTATTTGCAGCAGCCAACCAAACCACCTATCAGATTATAGTTCAGTTTGTCCGCATTCAAATGAAGATAAAAATCTTCACCCTTTTCATCACTGGGCAGAATCATGTAATGAGCGGATAAACGGTGTCATGTAATATATTATGTAGTAGAAGAGACATGAACACAACTACCTATACTTCAATTACCTTATCATATTTGACTCCAAAAACCTGATTTATATGAAGAAGCATGGAAGCCAAAAAGATAACACCGCTGAATTCAACAGAGACTTCTGAAAAAGATTTAGAAAGTGAAATCATACTCTTTAGCATTGAAAAAAAAAAATTAACTTCCCGCAAGCAAGGATGAAAATGCCTAAAATCTGGCCGTACAAAGAATTCGAACCTTGAGAGGAAAAAATCCAAAAATAATTTGGACCATTTCTCAATTTGTCCGTATCATGCTTGCGGCCATGCTAATCTTCTCTGTAGCGTTTCAATTTTAACAGATATCCCGCAGGTAACAAGTCTAGCAACTGTAAACTTAAAGAATAATATTATTAAACTAGACGGTGTGGGACTTAATGACAACCAGAGTAGCAGAAACCTTTTTGGAGTGGTGTATAGTGTATACGCAAGCTTCCGCGTGAACCAAACCGTAGGAAGAGGCAGTTTCTCAATATATTATTTTGTGCACGCAAGAATAAATATCTATCAACCTTTATTACTTACTATCATCATCATGTATTGGTAGCCCTGTCATAACTCTGCTCTGCATCCTACTCCTGACTGGACATTTCGATTTCTTTTCTTAAACATAAGGCTAAAATAAATTCCTAGTTAATAATAAAGTGTACAAACTATCTTGTCAAGTATTGCTCCAAGTTATTATAGTGTACAGTGTGCAGAGCAGAGTCATCATAGGCTACGAGGCTAAGAGTTATTATATAACTACACCATCGATTCTTGTGCCCAGAAAACATATAAATATTCGGATCTTTCTTTGATCGATCAGGTGGTTTGGAATCAACTGACTGCTTTTATAGAGAGATGCTTCTTGTTTGGTTCTGCGAGTATGCTCAACATTACTTCAAGAGCCTTTTAGTTTTTATTTTTTTCCTTTTATGAGAACGCATGTTATCTAACTCCCATTCAAGTCCCACACCGTTGAATTGTTTTACAATTTGATCTTTATAAACAAGTGCACAAGCGCTACAGCTGTCCCTTTGGGCACATCCGATAAAATTGGAACGATACAGACATCGTTAGCATGGTCCTGCGAAAGGTTGACACGCACAAATCAAGGAATGGTCCAACTCTTCTTTTAATATTAAGCTTTATATATATAAGAGAAATCATTTAAAGTTAGTATTTTTTTTTTTGGACACTCTTAACAGGATTTTGGATAAGTAATTGTAAAAAGAACAAAATTATAAATTAAATTAATTTATCTAATAATCTAAATTATTTTTTAAAATTAAAATGATTAATTTATATTAAATTAATGTTTAAGTTTATTTTAACTTATGCTTTATGAATAAATATACTATATATTTTCTTTTTCCATAATATCGTGATAAAAATTAATTAGAATACAGTAAAGTATATCTTTTTTTTACATATTATAATTATTCAAATATAAGTTGTTTTATAATTAAAAATATAAATTTTCTAATTTATAATTATTTTAAATCATATGTAATGTATATAATTATTTTTTACATAGACTATACTTGAGCTTACACAATTAATTAATAATAATATATGTAGCATTAATTTAATTTAATTTAATTTTATCTAAAACACTCGCCTAATTACAAGGATTCGCGTACTATTGACAGATAGCATCAAACTTCCGAATCTTCATTTTTATTATTAATGCATTATGAAAATCAAATGCAAATTAAGTAGTAAAATGTTGTTCCACTCTGCCAAGATACCTAATTATAGGATCTTTCCATTCTTCAACTCATACTTAAAAAGAAAAGAAAAGAATGTTAAGATAATAAGTGTGTGTTTGATTTGGAGTTAAAATTCTTGCATGTAAAAGTAAAACTATAAACTATTCAAATAATTCAACTTCGTTATATAATTACATATATTATGACCCAATCCCAAAATAACACATGCACTTAGTAAGCTTTTATCATGCACTTAATAAAGTGTTAATCATCAATCAGCATGAGGTATTTTATTTATTAATTTAAAAGTTAAATTAATAAATGGTTAAGATACTAGATGGATCTTTTTTTCAAGATGTAAATATAGTATCATAAGAATTGTTTGGTATCATAAGAATTGTTTGGTACTGTTTTTAATTAAAGCGATCGTGTTATCTTGCTAATTTCTACCGCTTTTAGTTAATTAGATGGAAATAGTTATTTTTTAAATAAAATGTCAGATTTAATTAGAGGTTGACACTGAAAGTATCTAAAGTGTATTATATTTAAATTTTGACTTATTCTAAATGAAACTCGAATGCTGGAAAATGTTCATCTATCATTATTTGATCCGGGAATTAGTTGATTGCAAGAATTTAAGAAACTTGATCAAAATTTTAACTATTAATTATATGTATGGAAACAAATATTTAAGAAGAAAGCAAGTGTCTGAATTAATATGTATTTCACAATATATAGTCCATAGCTCAAACGCAATGCTAAAATGTTACTGGATCACATGGATAGAAGAAATGTTCAACGAGATAATAGTTTTGCACGTTAGAATCTCTTATGGTGTTAGAGATGTTAATTTTAAATATAGAAAGAAAGTCATAGGCATTTGATTACTGTTAATTTGAAGAATACTCTGTCTGTCCTTTAAAGCCTGCGTTGGGACATTACAGTTGAATAAATAACATTAAAAAACCGTCCATTATTGAGTTTACATTAGCTTAAGCTTTCCCACAAGAAACCATATATATATATGCAACTTCGTTTATTAAATTGCAAATGATTGCTATATATTTGGTCCTCAAATTCATGATTCATAGACTTGTTTCATATTTTGAATAGAATAAATTAGAGAAGAAAAAGTCTCCATGGGTATCTGCATATCCTCTGAATCTTCAGCGATTCATGGAGCGCCTGAAGAAGCTCGTGATGAAAATGTATTAGTACTGTTTGAAGCAACCAAGGTTCTAAGGGGACTTTGCTCTGCTTACACTAAACAAGGTAGCAAAGGATTCAACCAAGATGCTGCAACCCTTTGTCAGGTATATATGTTTGTTATAGTGAACTACACCTTCAACTATGTTTTCCTTTATGCGTGAATCTAGTTGAGACTCAAAGATTCTATATACGATGTTAATTTTTCAGAATAAAGGTTCTTTTAGTACACACAGATTTAAAGATTGAACTTCTGAGCAAATGCTAAACGTATTGGTCCTTTAACCAAGTTTGTAGTATATGGCCATATTTATACTCACTATGAAGCACATAAAAGTCATGGTAAGTTGTGTTCCTGATTCCTGGCTCTCTCCTGTGTCCTTCATTAGGGTTATGGGACAACAAACGTAGCATTTTGTGGTGTTTTTGATGGGCATGGAAGGAATGGTCACATAGTGAGCAAAATAGTAAATAGCCGTTTGTGTCCACTCATACTGAACCAAAAGAAAGTGCATGCAAAGATTGATAAAAGGAACATCCGAAACCATGTGGGCACTGTTGAAGACGACTCATCGGCTATACTAAACAAGAATTTTGAGGAATGGAAAGAAGCCATTCTTGATGGTTTCAGGGTGATGGACAAGGAGGTGAAGCTACAAGAGAATCTGGACTGCTCTTGCAGTGGAACTACGGCTGTAGTTGTCATAAGACAGGTAGACAGACAAACAAACAAACCAACCGTGAACGTGGATTTATCTATCATTGACTGAATCTTTGGTCATTTGTGCCTCAGGCTTTGCTATTTATAATACGAAAATCTAATAAGTAATAACCGTGCATAATGATATAAATGAACAGGGTGAGGATCTTGTCATAGCTAACCTTGGTGACTCAAGAGCAATCATGGGGACCATCTCCGAGGGTGAAATCATGCCCATTCAATTGACCACGGATATGAAACCTGGATTACCTTGTATGGCCAATATCACCATATTTGTAACGTCTCGTGCAAACACTACGTAAATTAATTTAACCTCAAAAAAAAATAAAAAGTAAACAACGTGACATGTGATATTTGTGATTGTATATTGAAATGCAGGCGAATCAGAACGGATAAGAAGTTGCAACGGCCGTGTATTTGCGTTGAAGGAAGAACCACACATCCAACGAGTGTGGTTACCCAATGAGAACTCCCCAGGTCTAGCCATGTCTCGGGCTTTTGGAGATTTCATGCTAAAAGACCACGGTATCATTGCCATCCCAGATATTTCGCATCGCACCCTGACATCTAGCGACCAATTTATTGTTCTTGCAAGTGATGGGGTAAGAGTTTAATTTTGCATGTTAAGGTTTATTTGCTTATTTTGGATTTTCCTTTATTGACTCTTTTTTTTTTCTTTCTATATTTAGGTGTGGGATGTTCTGAGCAACAAGGAGGTTTCCTCAATTGTGTGGGCAGCAGATACTGAAAAAGAAGCAGCAAGGGCTGTGGTGGAAGCAGCAACTTTAGCATGGAAAAACAAGTATCCATCTTCTAAGGTAGATGACTGCACTGTGGTTTGCCTCTTTCTCCAGAAGAAACCACAGTTCCTCCCTGTCAAAAATGGAAATCCCTGATTTCAAGGTAACAAAGTTGACATGTGAACGTGAAATTATAGCTGCTTACATCACATTGCCCTGGCATGGGTTAGTTGGGAAGTTAGATACAAGCTATAGAAAGCTGATAACAGGATGATTGTTACTGTTATTATTCTCTATTAGCTCCCTCTTGTTTTTCTTTTCTACTTCATAAATATCTCCAATCATATCATCTTTACTCCATTTCATTCACAATGAGTTCTTTTTCTACACAACCTCTCTCGTTTAGATTTATAGTCACACCATGTTAATGTCATATCTCTTGGAATTTTGATAAGTGGTGTTATTGGATGATAATTGACAAGGCTAATGTTATAAACTAAGAGAAATAGCAAGAAAAGAAAAATACATTGAAAAAGTATTGTAAAATCGTTACTTCACAAAATTATATCCCACCACGCCACTAATACGTGAATAATACCATATACACTTGCTTGAAAAATATAAATCTCAAACTGCCCAAGTATGTGATCATTGAAATTCCCGAAAAGCCTTTTAGTTTCAACTCTATTTTTCATAAAATTATCAAATTGATAATACCCATTTGAGACTGACATAAGTTGAGCTCTTATTGTCCAACCTTTCTTTTATCAAATATTATTAGGACCAATTTCGTGTTTGGTAAAGTTATAACCAATTGTTTATAATATATACATATCAAAAATGTAAAAGAAATACTTGCTTTTGGAACTGAAGGAAAGACGCGCTAACTTCCGACTTCGTTAACGAATTGGAATCTCAATATATCCAGAAATAAATATTTTTTCTTTCTTTCCTTTTTTTTTATTTTGATTTTTTTTTCTGCACGCGTAACTAAATAAATAAAGCCCTCTTTTTAAGATAAAAAGCAATTTTCCTTAATCCGAATCGTTTGTAAAAAAAAAAAACATGAATTGTAGCTCTAGCTCCAGAGAGAAATGAGAGAGACGTATCCGAAGACTTCCATCTAAGCGGGAAAAAAAAACTTGTCCAGTGATGAAGGTCACTCTACTTTCAGATTCAGGTTGCATCATTGACTGGAGTCTCTCCCAGAAGATCATCATCATATGATACTGGTATCCTTAACCTATCATGAACAGAACGATCAGATATAGGTTTTTCTTCAGAAGTTGCTGCTTCATGTTGATTTTGCAGCTGGGATGCAAGAATATCACTGCCCGAAACATTTCCATGATCCCTGCCAGAAAATGAATAGGGCACTCCTTGAGAAGAATCCTCTTTCTTTGGCACAGTTCGTTGCGTCACATTAGGCTGCCTGAATTGTTTCTGCATTTCGATAACCATGACGCCCAAAGGCAAAAAAAAAAGTTAGTAAACAACAATGAACAATTGGAAGAGGCCTTCGTTCCTCAAGATTACTTAAAATGGAATGAAAGGGATACCCCAAACAATTCAGTAATATAAGTCAGAGGTTTGAACACAGATTAAAATAGATCTATCCATCACAAATTATTCCCAAAAACAGAATACCAGTAAGGCAAGCAAATTTTAGGAATGACTTCAACTCAGAACCATAGTGGTATTGGAGTTAATATCCCAATTTTCTTTGCAAAACGAGGATTTGCCCAGTTACAGTAAAGGTTAATTGGCATATATATAGTAAACTATCTAATATTCAGACTTTGGACGTAGACTTGAGATTGGTAGACCAGAAACCCTGGCCATATTACAGAGTCTGGGATTATTGAATAATGTATGTTTCTCTAACATCCATGAGTAGATTACAACGAGAAACACGGCTAGGCTTCAACCTTGAGGGGTTTCGGTATATCAGTGTAATCATGGATGTGTCAACTCAATTTTCTCATCAATTACCATTTCACACTTGAGTAAAATACAAATAACAACACTTTTAAGGGATCCAAGTTAAAGAACGTTAAACACAACTTTTTTACCCTTACATTTTTAATGCCATACCACTACCATACACACTTCAGAAATCAAAGGCAAACCTTGAAAACAATGAAGCCCTTAATTTAGTTAGATGGAAAAAGACTTCCTTCCGACTACAAACTTGATTAAATAATAGAAATTTTATAGTAGTAAACAACCATATCAGGCAAATTATCAATTGAGAATACCAAAAAAGAACAACAAAAAACCCTCCATTACTGCATAAACAGAATACAACTTTTTATCTTTTTAAAAGAGTGCATCATATCATCACCAAAAATTTGAAGGTTAAAAATTACACACCTCAAACTCCTTTGTTTTTTTCATTATCTCTTTAAAGACCTTCGGTTCCCTAACTTTTAAGATGCTCCACAATATGCCACCCCCTGTCCGAAATCGTCTACCATCAGCTGTTTTCTGGCCTCCACAAGCCTGTATTGCATTCACCTGTAACTTCCCCACATCATTATACTAGTTTACAATGTATCAACTAAAAAACTTGACAGATTAGATATTAACAAAAGCTGTGGGAAAAAGAAAGGGTTACTCTCAGTACAAATTAAGGTAAACACTTATCGTTAATAAACAATATAGATTATTCTGAACCAGTTCTATCAACTGGTATCCGAGCTCGGATGGTAGACAGCATAATTTAAAGCCACTGGAACATGCAAAGAAGATAAGCTATCAATGGCTAGCAGTGCTGCTCTCAATTGGTGGCTAACACGGAACTGGCACAGCCTGGCTGCAGCCTGTTGGAAGACCAGCAGGTGATACACAATTTCCAACCTGAGTACGATTATGATCAATTAATGTATGGGTGTACTAGGAGAACAAGAAAATGGGAAGCCGAACAACAAAAGTGAAGATGATGAACCTTGGGTCAAGAAAAAGTAACTGAAAAGGTTTGGAGAATAACAAAACCAGCATCGATGGCAAGAAAATAACAAAGCTACAAGATCTGGGAGAAACCCAACAACATTACTCACAGAACCGAAAACATTAGCAAAAGTGAAATTCCTGAGGTCAATAATCATAATGGGTAAGGATTGAACCAATTGTAAGATGAAATTCTTTTTTAAAGTTGCAAGAGGAAGCGAAAATTGAGGAAAGTCCTATATTTGGCATCGGGGGAGGAAGGGACTGAACCAATGGCTGTAGTTACTTATGTGTGTGCTAGGGAGGGAGTCAGTTAAGCTAGTTGGGTAGGCGAGATAGGAGAAGAAACAGGGTATCCCGCTTATGAATAAAGAGGGTAGGTTGGGAGAAATAATCTTATCATTTAAGAAAGGAATACTCTTACACTGCAGAATGAATCCAGTTTCTAAAATATCCCAGGAAATCATTCATTTTGTATCTGCTAATCCTAGAATGCAACCGCATTGGAACACCAACTGGGATTTCATGTTCATTGTAAAAAAAACATGATTTCCTTTAGAATAGATTCTTGAACCAGTTCCATCAGAAACTGATGAAATAACTTAATTATACAGCAGTTAAAAATATAAGGGATTAAATTCATAGCTGACAAAAATTAACCACATAGAGGAATAAAACGTACATGTAATCCAAAATATAACACTGAAGTCATTACATAAAATAGAAAATCAAGAATTAGAGAGTAACTGATACAGTGATTGGTTATACAATTACAAAATTACAATAAAGAAGCCCCCGGACAGTGCTATGCTAGGCAAAAATCCTACAGCAGAGTAAAGCTGCATATTTCAGGTTAAAGGCTTTTCCAACAAAAAAATCTAGATCTGCAGTTTGATGCAACCTCCACCATGATTAACCCACATTTAGGGTTTAGGGTAATCATATTTAAAATATAAACTAAATGTTACCTGCCTGGTCATACCTAGCATATTTAATCTAAAATCGTAAGTGTACCATCAATGTGGGTACATACAATTTAATTAAACAAAAAAGGAAAAGAATGTTAAAAAAAATAGAGATCATGCCAAATTCAAATAGTAATGATAACAATAAGCCGTACATTCAAAGAGACATTCAATTTTGACTTTGAAACTGCAGATTGCTTCAATGAAGTGAACAAAAATTACCAATGCCCAGTTTGTTTTTTCTTTAAAGAAAAAAAATTGTTCATAATGTAAACACTTCTTTAATTATTTTGGTGCCTTTTTATTCCAGAAGCTAATCGTATCAAAGAATCAATTTTTTTAAGCTTAACAAATGGGCCCTATAGAAACGTTAACTTCCTTCCAGCACATGCTTGGTAAATTCTTTATGGGGCCAAAAAGAGAAAAAATTCTCCACAAATGCACAATTGACAATATGAAGCAACAAATATGACATCAACCTTCACAATTAGTAAATAATGAAGTGGTTCACCCAGGAACATTGAAGCTCAAGCAGAGAGTTGGAAGTAGCAAACTAGCATCTGGAAGAAAAATCTGCAAGGTTAGGGACAAAATGGCACACATCAGAGAAAATCATTCGGTGCTTGAAGGAGTGAGGATAAGAATAACCAGCTCAAGGCTCACCCGAATCGTTTAGAACCTTAGCTCTACAACAGGTGAGCAAATTATGTCTACTCTCAACCATGACCACATTCTCTTTGAAGAAATGAATTCACAAAAACACATTTATTTCAAAGAAAGGCAAAAAAAGTCCGATTGTAAATCAAGGCAGAAGGCCATTAAGCCAGTGCCTGATGTGAAAATCAGGAGTATTCAGAAAGTAACCATAGGACCATGCGATCCCGACAACATTGTAAGATTAGAGCCAGAGGTTATGGAAACCACAACACGAGGAGTTCAAGTAGGCTTTACATAATAAGACAAACCTAAAAGAATATCATCACTATTGTGTAGCTGCACCTCAAAGAAATCCCGTCAGGCTACACCACCATATGCAAACAATCTTAGTAACAAAAACTTATCGTAACAGTTATTAAATACTATTGTCAAATATCTATGTTATAAGACATTAGATGCATTGTCGCTAGGTGGTTCTTAAATTATTTTTTAACTTTCAATTGGCCATGGTATCTCACAAATCTAACAGAGATACTAACAAGCACAGTAAATGGGCTTATTAAACCAAAATTGAGTACATAACAAGGTTTCAATACCTCATTGACAAGATCATTTAATGCAGAGACCCCAAGGCAGCCCACAGCAGTGTATACCATGTATGACTTTTTCTCTTTTAATTGTCGACACGTGTCTAGAACAAATCTGAAAAACAGACAATTTGTTAGATATTCAACCATGGGACAGAAAGACTGCTAAGAAAAATTTAAAGGGGCAAACAGAAAAAACAACCATATATCCAAATTAGCCATAAAGGGTTGAGGATTCAAACACTATACGAGCTAAGGTTTAAGATAACAAATGAGCAGTGAACAATGCTGCATTTTATTACTATATAAAAAGGAAGAAACAAATCCATAACTCTTGAATACTTAGTATGAGAATTCAAAATTGTATTGGGTCAAATGTAAATGAGTTATGCCATCGGTAATGACTTTGGGCTACACCAATAAACTGCATATACTTTTTCTATGTTTGCTAATAGAACTTGCGTGATTTAAATAAAAGAGAAATTGTTATTAGAGCAAAACACTATCATTAAACTAATGAATAATATGAATCCAACCATCCTTAATATTAGGATTCCAAATTCTACTTGATTACAAAGGCAAATGAGTATATTAAGCCACCAGTACAGACTTTGGAGCTACAAACCATGAAGTGAACACATTTTTCCATCTTTGTTTATAGAGCTTGCAATGTGGTGTTAGTATTCAGCGTGCAAAGTATGATTTGAGTTCACATTGAAAAATGTGGGATTCTAGAGTGGGATTTATAAGGCCATGCTTTATCCAACTACAATGGCTATGAATTAGTATCACAGTCTTCCACCATGTATCTCAATTAGTAGTAGATTCCACCACATTCTACTACACCTTAAAAGTTATGGGGTGAAACATACATGAACTAAGTTTAATTGGGTAATCCATATTTTAGCCAATATGACAAGTCCTTTCAAAACTCAAATGGGGCAGAAAGTTCGACCTGTTTATGTCCGTGGCATTAGGTCCTGAACCCTTCTTCTTCTTCTTATTTTTCTTCTTGTTAGCTCTGCGCTTGCGGTTCTTACTGAGAGGTTCTTGATTTGCTTCATTGACATCTCCGGCACTGCTTTGTGCCAAAACATTTTGGGAATCAGGCTCCACCAACTCCCCTTCTTCAACATCAGCCATGTCAACATCGCCATCAACATCACTTAAGTCATCCTCCTCGTATATGACATCCAGAATGTTATCCCCCTTCTCCATGGCAAACAGCTAACCTGTATTCAGAACATTATCAATTATCAAGTAATGAATATATGAAGCGAAATACATCCCGGATGAACACACAAAACATTGTTATATGAACTCTAATCTCAACTATAAAAAAAATGAACAAGGACAAAGACAGGAAGATGAAACAGAGGTGGTATATTAACTTGGGACTGGAGAGAAAAAAAAAATGAAAAATAGTCGACGAAAGTTCAAGTCCAATTTTGATCAAACAGAGAAAAACAATATTCATCGAAACCCTAACTGTGTGTGCATTTGTTCCACATATAACTATTTAGAAAACTAATTGCAGTTAAACCACATACAACCACGATTGCACGAAGGGTACATAACAAGAGAGTGGAGGAATGAAATTGAAAAAATTGGAGGTAAACTTGAAAGTGCCGTGCAGGAATTGAGTGAAAAACCATACCCGAGAGAATGACGGGCAACACTTTGATGATGAGCGAGCGGGGTAGAAACTGCCGCAGTCCAGTCTGCACTACTCTTCAAATTCAGATTTTAAAAGAAGTAATAAGGTCTCCATCTTTATACTAGCTTGTATGAGTGGAATATGAAAAAAATGTTAATAGAGAATTTTTTTCTTAAGATTTTTTTTTTTTTTGCCGCAGCGAGACATTCTCCATCATATATTTTATTAGAAAAATTATATTTTAAAATTTGATAAAAATAAAATTTAAAGCGAAGAAAAGGTTTCTACCTTAACTAATGTATATTGAATATATTGTTTAGATTATAGTTTTATAATAAGTTTAAATGTTAGAGATTTATAATAGTAATTTTATTATTTTTTAAAAATATAATTTGAACATTTTTATATTATTTTATTTTAAATTTATATTTATCATTGTACACACTTTTTAGATGATATCATTAATGTTGTTTATTAAAATTGATATCATCAATGTTGTTTATATAATATTTATCAAGTTTTTTGAATTATCATATTTAAGGCTATTTTTGGATAGAAGTTAATTAAATTTGTCAAAATTACTAATATTATAGGTTGGGATGGCAGTAACGCCAGTCTAAGCGGGTCCATAATTTTTTATTATAATAAAGTTAATTATGAAGATAATGTATAAAGTTAAAAATTTTAAAAATAAAATTAAAAAAGTTTCACCTCACATAAAATATTATCCTCACTCGAGACACAATCTTCTCTCCGTTGTTCTCCTAAGACTGATTATTTTTATCCTTATAATTTGAATTAAATATGTAAAAATTACTAAAACACGAATAATGTAAAGTTTTATCAAATAAAAAAAAAATATATATATATATATATACACATATATATATATATTAAAATTTTTCAATATAAAAAATATAAATTTTATAAGTTTTAACGTTATATATATATATTTGTTATTATTTATTATTATGTAAATTTTATTATTATTTTAAATTATAATTTCTTAAAACAATGTATTGATTTATATTATTAAATTTAAATAATATATATATATATATTGAATTATTGACAAACAAATAATAATTTTTTTATTAAATTTATTGAAAATTTTGATTTAAAAAAATAAATTATTATTTTTTTAAATTATGGCAGTATGGACCAAAGTTTACAACCCATTATGACTATAATGGGTTAACCCGCCCCATCCCACTTTTGACGAGACCAAAGGCGAAGTGGACCAAAACGAGGCAGGCTGACCGTTTTTTCATCCGAATTATAGGTTGAGTTTGATATTATTATATTTGGGGATAGTTCCAATATTTTATTCAAATAAAAACAATCTTATTTAAATAAAATATTTAAAATTTTAAACAATTTAAAAGTAAAAAAATAAAAATAGTTTAATTTTTTCAAAAATTCATAAATTTTCTTATTCAAATACAAGCTACTAAACATCTTTATGACCAAAACATTCGAATAGTGTTTTATGATTATAGGTTTGTTAGGAAAGATTATATACCCTATGAGCCTTATAACTAGGACCATTGGTATTCCAAACCTCAACACATTCACCAAATGTGTTGTCCAACTATTATTTTCATCAAATGGAAATACACAAATGGGAAATGTACAGTATATTAATCCTTTTCATAAAGTTCCAATTCTTTATTAATAAAGACCAAATGTAATATTAACTTAAAATATGTCAATAATACCTTGTTTAGTAGCATGAAAATAAGATATAGGAAGTGAAAATACTATTAATAGCTTTAATGAAAAAAATTATAATATAATAGATTCATTAGTATTATCTACACAATTTATTATATAATTTTCATTTATTTCTCTTATTATTTTTATATATTTGTTTTCATCTTAATATATTTATTTTATTCAAATTTTGACATATTTTCATTAATTTATCCCTTTTTATCCACTTTATTCCAACCTTATGGATCAAACAATCCATAAATATACATGCTAGTTTGGAGAACACATGATGTAAACATGGAGATGTTAAATGTGGCAAATTTTATATTATTTCATTATCAACATCTAACAACATATTTAGACAATTATAGGATATACTATTTTTTTAAAAACTCGGTTGCTTTATTTATTTTATTTTTTAAAAGCTTTAAATAGTATTGAAGGTGGTTGGAATTTTATCAATATTTAATATTACATATATATATATATATATATATATTATTATTTGTGTGTGTCAATTTATTAGTAGAATAGTAATAACATGCAACACAAGTTCATTATACCGCTTCATTATAATATTCATAAAATGATTCATTTTTAATAATAAGACAGGGAAATGATACTAATATAATCTTTTACATGCATTTTAAAAACATTGATCGAAATTTACAGAAAAAAAGGAATTTTGAAGATTTGACCCTTTCATTGGATGATTTTGATTTAAATTTTTGAATCAATTTTAATAATAATAATAATAATAATAATAATAATTATTATTATTATTATATTTTAGAAAACATATTACTATAACTTTTCTTAATACTCTTAAAAAAAAATTAATGATAATAAAATTATCACAGACATATTATTGGAATGAGAAAAATTAGATTTAAGTTTAAGTTGAATAAAAGAAAACGTAAATTCCACTAAAAATTACTAATGTATACAATAACTTTTATAGTAGCAATATTTAACATATAACTCGTGGATATTTTACATTAACAATATAATAAAAAATGTAAAGTTTATATTTTGTTTAGTCTCATTAAAATTACAAGTTTAAATTTTGGTTTTTATAATTTTTTAATCTAATACAATTTTAAATTATATATACATGTAAATTCTTGTTTTAGTTTTTATAAAATATTTTTTCATTTTTTATCCTTTCAAAATAGGAAATTACAGTTTTTTGGTCAAAGGAGGTCATGTTTTTTTGTTTCTTATTAAACAACTGTTTTCGATTGTAAATTGATTTTTTATTTTTAATTAACTAATCCGTCAATTATATTCTTACCTTTCATAAAATTTGGTACGTGATTTTTTTTTGTATTATAAATATGTCGTATGTCCTAAATCAGAGAAACACTGATAAAAAAAAAATATCAATGTTGGAGTTAAATAAATTTTTAAAAATAACTAAGAAAATAGAATAAACAGGTAAAAAAAAGTTAAACATCAATATTTACAATAATATCATACATTAGTTAAGATTTTTTATAAATATATAAAATTTATAAGCTGTAAAATAAAATTTTAAAACAAGGCTAGAATCACGAGAGATTAAAGAAATACGCAAATTATAGAATATTTATTTATTGATTTTTGAAAAAATAAATATTTTATTTTAATAATATAAATAAAAATAAATAGTTAATGACAATGAGATAATATTAAATAGAAAAAGATTAAAAATAAGAAAAATAAAATAAAATACAAATAACTAAACAACCAAAAAAGATAAGAATAAACATAAAAAAAAGATAAAGATAAATTAAAATATAAAAAATTAAAAATAAATAAATCTAAGTTAAAAAATAATAATAAGAAGAAAATATAAAGTTAAAAATGTATTTATACGAAAAATTTTGTTAGACTAATAGTAATATGGCATGAGTAAAGAATATAAGAAAGAGTGAGGGGTCCTACCATATAAAGAGAACTCCGATTTCCAAAAGTTTAAGTTGCAACCGAAAGTGAGGGAAACATCCAATAACACGCAACACAACTGGTTGTCTTGTCTTTCCTCGAATAAATTAATCTCAAATTTTTGTTTAAGGAAGGTTGGTTGGGTGGAGCTACTCTCATCGTCGTCATCATTTCTTTCCAACCTACCCTTCTTCAATTCAACGCCCATCATGGACCGTTTTCCGATCCTCTTTCTCATTGCCACCCTCATCACCCTCGTCTCCGGTACCCGCGACGAGATTCTCCGTTTGCCCTCCGAATCTTCCAGGTTCTTCCAACCACCTGGTGGCGATGACGACGATGAGGGTACCAGGTGGGCCATTTTAATTGCCGGGTCCAATGGCTACTGGAATTACAGACACCAGGTCACTCATCCTCACTTTCCTTCTTTCCCTCTCTTCGCTGTTTAATTCACTCCTTCTTTTTTGTGTTCGTTTGGTCGGACAGGAAATTCAATCTTTCCTTCCCTTTTAATCATCGATTTTTTTTTTTTAATCTCAGTCATGAGCTCAGATACACACGTGTATAATTTTTGAATTTATCTGGTTGATTTCAAAGAATTTCATTACTGCACTCATATAGATTACTTTTCAGTCACTGGAAACTTGTTCAGACTCTAGATTCTAAAGGTAAACTTGTTGGTAGGGATGACTGACGAGTCTTTGTCATTTCACCAGTCTGATGTTTGCCATGCATATCAACTGCTGAGAAAAGGTGGTCTGAAAGAAGAAAATATTGTGGTATTTATGTACGATGACATTGCTTTCAATGAAGAGAACCCACGGCCTGGAGTCATTATTAACAGCCCTCATGGAAATAATGTCTACAAGGGAGTCCCAAAGGTATGTTCTCATCCCATATCCTGTTTCCAATTTGAGTTTTAAAAATTCCTAACATGGACCGTGTTGTGGCAGGATTACGTTGGTGAAGATGTTACTGTTAACAACTTTTTTGCTGCTATACTTGGAAATAAATCAGCTCTTACCGGTGGCAGTGGGAAGGTTGTAGACAGTGGTCCCAATGATCATATATTTATATACTATTCTGATCATGGCGGTCCAGGAGTGCTAGGTTGGTAGTTCTGAACCCTTCCTGGAAACTTTGATATGAAAATCATGGATTGTCTATGTTGTAATATTAGCCTTCTTGTATTGGAACTTATTAATGGCGTATGTGTGTTTCCCGCATTTTTTTGGTGGGTTCATTATGATATTTTTTCTTGATATTTTGAATTGAATTTAACAGACATTGGAAATTTTAGCATCACCTATAATATAGTTTGTACAAACTGGAACTTCTGTATACTTTCCCATGCTAAAAGTCTCTATAGTTGTCAAGCTTAGCACAACAAACTGAAAACTCTTAATCTTAAATGTTAGTTTAAAATAACACATTTCAAATTTTATACCAGTTTCATGGATATTTTCCGATTCCTAATATTGTCTCAAGTGCTTAATTTGAATTTTTTAAAGAGGGGACTCAGTATTATGCAGCATAGATAGAGACACAGTGAAACACGTTTGCTGGAATTTCGGTATAAACATATAATATATTCATTGTATAGTTATACTAAAAATAGATCATGCCTGATGCAACTTTTTTTTCCCTTTTTTCAAACATATTCTGATTAAAGTCTGTTTTCTGTTCATCTGTTTGTTTATTGCTTCTTCCTTGTTTGGGTAACTTGAACGGTAAAGAATGAAACCAGGGGAAGCTGCATTTCCCCACCTGAAAAAAAGAAGAAGAAGTGGAAGCAAGAGAGAGTGGATATATGGTCTTCAGTGTCAATGTCCTTGTTATCCATTTTTGTCTTGATCATTTTAGTTCATGCTACTGTTTATTGGCGTGGTGATTCTTCTAGTATCATTTTGTTTTTTGTTTCTTCTTTATCCAACAAAGTGTTTCTTCTCGCTAAATACGTGCCCATTTCTGTTTCTAATGTGGTATTTTTCCTTGTGGGCGGGGTACTGGGGATGGATTTCAGGTATGCCTACTAATCCATACATGTATGCATCCGATCTGATTGAAGTTTTAAAGAAAAAACATGCTTCTGGAACTTATAAAAGCCTAGTAAGTTACTACTAGTTATGATTTACTTAAATGTGTGCATCAATCTTCATCTAGCTATTTACTTACTAATTCTCTGCATTTATGATTTATGCAATGATGCTGCAGGTTTTTTATCTTGAAGCATGTGAATCTGGGAGTATCTTTGAAGGTCTTCTTCCTGAAGGTCTGAATATCTATGCCACAACAGCAGCAAATGCAGAAGAAAGCAGTTGGGGAACGTATTGTCCCGGGGATTATCCTAGTCCGCCCCTTGAATATGAAACCTGTCTGGCTGACCTGTATAGTGTTGCTTGGATGGAAGACAGGTATGGCTATACGAGCATATCAAAGAAGCATATAAACTAGCATTATTCATTTCTCAAAATCTTAAATGATTATAAAAGTACATTGGAGCCATCAGCAAGATATTTTGGATAATTTACCCAGGCAATTTCCACGACCTTGAAGGCCTATGACTGCTGTGATATGAATACGCTACTACGAATGTGTATTTGCCAATTATTTTGTACTCTAGCAAACCCTTTTTATATATAAAATAAGTTTGTTCCATGCCCTTTGATAAATTTTTTCTTGTTGCAAGATTATGTTTTCTAATGAGTAACGTTGTAAGGTCTGCTATTGACTGGTCTTTTTTCCTCTACACTTTTGAACAGTGACATACACAATTTGCGAACAGAAACTTTGCATCAACAATATGAATTGGTAAGATCGTGTTTCTTACTTAGTTCCTTTTCGTAATAAACTTATATAAGCTGAATGTTATTTGATACCTTGGATGCTTAAATATATGAGAAAAATTGTCTGTTTTGTTAGAGTTTCTGGTCTAAAATTTGATGGGGGGAAGAAGTTAGTAGATATGTTTCAGTTGTCTGACAGATGTCTTCCTTCTGCCATGCTCACAGGTGAAACAAAGGACTATGAATGGAAATTCAGCCTATGGTTCCCACGTGATGCAGTATGGTGACATAGGGCTTAGCAAGAACAATCTCGTCTTATATTTGGGTACAAATCCTGCTAATGATAATTTTACTTTTCTTGAGAGAAACTCATTGGTGCCACCTTCAAAAGCAGTCAACCAACGTGATGCAGATCTCGTCCATTTCTGGGATAAGGTATCAGACGTTTGAAAAATAGTTTATTATTATTATTATTTATTTTATTTGATAATTGCTTAGCCGTATCTTCATCATGATTTTGCTCCCAAAATTGAAATTTGGAGGGGTATACATATATTCATAGTTGGGAGATATTATTAAATAGAGTTGTGATTCCCATTGATTCCAACGTTCATTTCATGTAACAAGCAATTGAATGGCATCCCATTCTTGATTGAAGCTGCCAAGCTTTAGACTGAGAAATTAGCCCATTCCTTACCAACTGTGCCATGAGAGTAGATATGTTCTTGATTTCCACCAACCATATATTTTGGATGCTCCAGAACTTCAACAAGCTAGATAAGAAATCCTTAAACAGACTATAATGAAACTTGTTTATTGGATAAATATGGAAAAGTTGTGTGAATCCCGTGCCTTATATTTAACACGAGTGAGTGGCTAGTAGTTTTCATTTCTTGAAATGATGGTAATTTGGCTTTAATGGTAAAACTGCAAGAAAAGAAGATGGGGAGGAAGGGGGGATCTCTGATGTTATTTTCTACGGTAAGCCTTAACTTCTTGCTAATTATACTCTATCTTCTTGACATCCTTTCTGTTTTTCCAGTTCCGCAAAGCTCCTGCGGGTTCTTCTAGGAAGTCTGTAGCTCAGAAACAAATTGTGGAAGCAATGTCTCACAGAATGCATATAGACGACAGCGTGCAACTTATTGGAAAGCTGTTATTTGGCAATGAAAACGGTCCAGAACTGCTTAGCAGTGTTAGACCTGCTGGGCAACCACTTGTTCACGATTGGGACTGCCTTAAAACACTGGTACCATTTTCCTTGATTCACCTTTTTGTGTTTAATTGTACGATACCCTTTCTAACATGCACCTTTAATCTATTGCCATGGATTTGGCAAAAAAAGGCATCTACAATAGGTGGTCCACCACCTACAATAACAATTAAAAAATCTCTGTGCACGGATGCTCCATTTAAGGATTGTGCATGCTAGAATCCGTCTATGGTTGAATCATTGCTTTTCTGTTTGTTATTAATTATCAGAGTTCACATAGTTACAATATGAGATGGCAGCAAGGCCTCCAGTATTGTTTCGCCTTCCAATAAATGATGTTGGATTTTAACTATGAAGTATAAATCAGCGTTTGTTTATTGATAGAATTAAACTAAAGCTTTTGATTTCTGACAAAGTTATGGCTTAATCTACCGTTGAATCAGGTTAGGACGTTCGAGACACATTGTGGATCCCTGTCTCAGTATGGGATGAAACATATGAGATCCTTTGCAAACTTGTGCAACGCTGGAATACGGAAAGAACAAATGGCTGAGGCCTCAGCACAAGCATGCGTCAGTATTCCTGCAACTCCCTGGAGTTCTCTGCGCAGCGGTTTCAGTGCATAATTCTTAGAACGTACTCCATTGAAGACCAAGTATAGTGGGTGTAGCCTTGTGTTTTATCATTGTGTCATGCACTGTACTTCGGTCATGATTTCTTCCATCACTGTAAATACACATGGGACGCTGGGAAAACCTCATTACAATGTAATTTGGGGCAAAATTGATGCTGTAACAAAGCCATTTTACTTTTACTTGAGGAGAGAAAATGGAAGCATAAGGACCTTCGCAACTTCTTCTAATAACAGGGCACACCGTATTGTGTTTGTAAGCCAATTCTTCATTTTGATTTCACGGTGGTAACTAGTAACCCCGTTGTGTTAATTCTTAACTTGATAATATAACCGTAAAAATTAGTCAACAGCCGTTACCCTATTGTGCGAAAATTTGACAATCAAAATATCAGATTATAATTATAATTAATTTCTTTTGAGTAACTTGCTGAAAAATTATTTTAAAATAATTAAGTTTGTTTGGTTAAAAAAACAAATTATACATAGTAAATTACTGAAATAATGTGTAATTGTTTATCATTATTAATATATTTATATTTATATTTTAAGAGTAAAATAAGTTGTCCGGTTTAAGGAAATAATTAAACTCCAAAAATACAACAAAATAGATTAATTTTGAGAAAAAAAAAAACTGTTTTAAAACTTGAACTGATTGAAAAAAAAAAAGTTTTTAATAAATAGGTGGAATATTTAGATAACTGCTTAAATGAGAAAAATCAATGTTTCTCATACATACTGATACTGTTAGGTTGTTCAACAGAACTTCACGTAATGTCCCTCCTTCACTGTCACATTGCGAATCACCATTGACGGAGGGTGAGGGGACCCACCATCTTCATGGTCATTTTGTATTCCATCCTTCTTTATTTGAATTCCACGCCCTTCACGGACCCTTTTCCGATCCTCTTTCTAGTTGCCATTGGCATCCTCGTCTCCGGTGGCCGCCACCTGGATTACCCTTCCAAGCTTCCAGGTTCTTCGAAGCATTTGGTGGCGATGAATATGATGAGGGCACGAGGTGGGCCGTTTTAATTGCCGGTTCCAATGGCTACAGTAATTGCAGGCATCAGGTCACTCACCTCAACTTTTCAACACTTCTATGTTTTGCCTTGAAAGTAAAGGAACACATACCTGCTATAATTTTATATTACGATACCTAATTTAATTTAAATAAATATATTATGACATGCAAGGGAATAATTTAGTTTTCTTCAGTTGTTTTATTATTTTTTAGTGAAATGCCAAATAATTAGTATAACTCATATTAATATACACTATGTATGTGATGATTATCTTGCATATTTTTATAATTAGATTCTTGAAATAATCGTATTTTAATATTTCCCTTCACTTTTTCCCTATAAACCAAAACAAATGAAAATAAACTACTTCATATCATATCATATCAATCCTTTCAAATTATAACTATCCAAACAACACAAAGTTCAATCCAAAAATCAATTCAATTCATTTTCTTCTATTCCTCTCAATTTCATGTAGCATTATCATTACCTAATGTTAATCATTAAAGACCCCTTTCTGTTTATTTATATGATTATCTCCTCTTCTTTAGGTGGGTAACTTGAAGAGTAAACAATGAAACCCGGGGAAGCTGCATCCCCTCACCCGAAAAAAAAAAAAAAAAAAAACGAAAAGAGTAAAAGAGTGAAGGTAATGCTGTATACTAGTCCTTCTATCCCTGAATATGCAACAATAACACCCTGAATAGTCCTTCTAGTCCTTCTTCCTGAAGGTCTGAATATCAATGCAACAACATCTGCAAAAGCAGAAGACAGTTAGGCAATGGTGTATACTAGTCCTTCTATCCCTGAATATGAAACCTGCCTGAGTGACCAGTACAGTGTTGCTTGAATGGAAGACAGGTATGACCGTATGAGTGTATCAAATGAGCATATTAACATGTATTATATTCTTTGGTCAAAATCTTAAATGATTATGAATGTATATTGGGGCTATATATAAGATATATTGGATGCAATACTTTTTACCCAGGCAATTTCCGTGACCTTGTTGAATGCCTGGAAATTCTGTGATATGAACATGATTACTATAAAACTATTTTTGCCTATTATTTTGTTCTTTACCAAGCCATTTTATACACATATAAAAACTTTTGCTCCATGCCCTTGATAACTTTTTTCTTTTTAGAAGATTATTTTTTAGTAATGAGTTATGTTGTGAGGTCTTTTATGGACTGGTCTTTGTCCCCTACACTTAACTTTTAGTCAGATCACGTTTCAAACTTATTTTGTTTACCTAATAAACTAATATAAACTGAATGTTATTCGATACCTTGGTTGCTTAAATACATGAGAAAAACTGTCTGTTTTGATAGAGTTTCTGCACTAAAATTTGACGGGTCCAAGGAGGTAGTAGACATGTTTCAGTTTTGTGACAGACGTCTTCTTGCCGCTATGCTCACAGGTCAAAGAAAGGACTAGGAATGGAAATTCAGACTAGGGAAATTATTGTTTGACAATCAATTTTAATCAAACAATCTATACACAACTTTTGGGTGAGAGAGGAAAGTGAGAATGGAGATATTATATTATTATTATTATTATTATTATTATTATTATTATTATTATTATTATTATTATTATTATTATTATTATTATTATTATTATTATGTTGATAAAAATGGTTGTCAAATAGTTATTTTTTCTTGTTAGATTGTTTAGATATCATCAGCCAACCGACTATGGTTCTACCTGAGATGTAGGATGGTCACATAGGGCCTAGCAAGAACCATCTCTTCTTATATTTGAGTACAAATCCTGCTAATGATAAATCTACTTTCCTGGAGAAAAACTCATTGGTGCAACCTTCAAAGGCAGTCGACCAATGGGATGCAGATCTCATGCATTTCTGGGATAAGATAAGGTATCGTACGGTTGAAAAATAGTTTGTTATCATTTCTTGTGCCAAACAATCCAGTGGCATCCTATTTTTCATTGAAGCTGCCAAGGTTTAGACTGGAAATGGCTATTAGTCCATTCCTAACACCAAATGCGCCATAGGAGTAGATATATGATTTCCAGTAACCCCATATATTTTAGATGCACCTGAACTTTTACTAGCTAGATAAGAATTTTTGAAAAGATAATAATAAAACTTGTTGATTAGATATATACGGAAAATCTGTGTGAATCCCAAGCCTTTATGTAACATGGGTCAGTGGCTAGTAGTTTCATTTCTTGAAATGTTGATAATTTGGCTTCAACACCAAAACTACAAGAAAAGAGGGGGACGGAGGGGGGGATATCTCTGATGTTATTTTCTACCGTGAACCTTTATTTTTGCTAATTATATTCTATCTTCTTGACATCCTCTTCACTGCTTTCCCAGTTCCGCAAAGCTCCTCTGGGTTCTTCTATGAAAATTGCAGCTGGAAGTAAGGTCTCACAGAATTCCTGTAAACCACAACGTGAAACTTATCGGAAAGCTCTTATTGGGCATTGATACGGGTCCAGAACAGCTTTGCAGTGTGAGACCTGCTGGGTAACCACTTGTTGATTACTGGGACTGGCTTAAAACGCTGGTACTGTTTCCCTTCATTCACTTTGTTGAGCTGTACGAGACCCTTCCAAACATGTACCTTTAATCTATAGCCGATTTGGCAAAAAAAGGCACCAAAGATAGGGGGTCCACCTACAATAACAAGATAAAAAATCTAGGTGCATGGATGCTCCAATTTTGAAATTGTGCATGCTAGAATCCGTCTATGATTGAACCATTGCTTTTCTGTTTGTTATTAATTATCCAGTTCACACAGTTACAGCATGAGATGGGAGCAGGCCTCCAGCAGTGTTTGGGCTTCCAATAAAAGATGTTGAATTTGAATCATATAAATCCACATTTGTTTATTGATTGAACTAAAGGTTTTGATTTCTGACAAAGCTGTGCGTTAATCCACCGTTGATTCAGGTTAGGACTTTTGAGACACATTGTGGATCCCTGTCTCGGTATGGGATGAAACATATGAGGTCCTTTCCTTTGCAAACTTCTGCAATGGAATACGGAAAGAGCAAATGGCTGAGGCCTGTGCACAAACGTGTGTCGGTATGCCTGCAACTCCCTGGAGTTCTCTGCACAGCGGTTTCAGTGAATAATTCTTAGAATTCCCACCATTGAAGATCAAATATAGTCGTTGTAACCTTATACCTTATCATTGTATCGTGTGCTGTACTTTGGTGATGATTTCTTAAACCAACTATGTAATTTCGTTGGGGAAACCTCCTTACATTGTAATTTCGTGCAAAATAAATGCGAACCATAGACTTACTTTTACTTGAGGAGACAGAGGAACATCTAACGACAGGACACAATATCATGTTCATAAGCTCAGCCTTCATTTTTAGTTTATGGCAGTAACTAGTAATCCCACTGTCGTAATTCTTAATAGAATATTCGGGAAAATTAAGTTTAAAATATATAATGATAACATAAAAATAACACTCAAAAGTGGCAAAAGTAGCTGTTAAAATCAATTAACATCCTTTAGCCACTAAAGGGTAGTTTTAGATTTTGAAAGTATGATAACATCGGAAAGAAATTTTGAACCTTAAAAAAAGTATTAGACGCTATTAAAATTATGAAATAATTCGATCATATTTTAGTGTGTTTTACTTAAGAAATATGAAAGATTTAAGTTTTAATTTGAATGTTTACATGAAAAGTGGATTTATGAAATTGATGGAAATGGAAATGAGAGTGGGAATTACACATATGGATGAATGGCCAGGATTTGGTCAATCCGTAGTTACTAGATTCAAGTATGAAGCAGATTTATCTTTCTTTTCTATGATCTACGAAACAGCTGACATTCACAGACAGAACTGTCGAGAAACCAAATTCGAAGTTACTACTTGCCACGTTGTAGGTAACCGGTGTTGCGGTTTGGTTTAGTATAGAGAGCAGGTTAGCTAACCCTGGTTAAATATCAATTCAGGGCGCGGGAATGAAATCAACTCAAGTGGGAGAAAAAAGTATTAATAAATATAATTTATTATAAAATATATTAATAGTATATTTTATCATGAATTTAATGATTATATATTGTTGAAGAATCAACTTTTACGATATCAATTAATTTCTATAGAAAAATAACACAAGAAATATTTTTATGATAATTTGTGATTAAACGAAAAAATATATATTTTATTTTATTTTTGTCTTTGGTGTATTTATATATTTTTATAAATGTATGAGTAAGTAAAAACGATTAACATTGAAATAATAATTGGAATGAGATTCCGTTAACGTGATGAGAAAGCGTTAACGGCGTGAGGGCAGGGTGAGCGGCTTAAGGGGGTTTGTAAGGGGAAACCGTGAATGGTTAGAGGGAGGAAAGAGGAAAGCCGTGAGATTGTTGATCTACGGTGTGGTGCAAAGGAGTGTGTGTAGTACAAGATGTATATAACTCAAACAGGTCCTTCAATGGAAACACCCACACACATACATACACACCATTTCGTTTTATCACAACATCAAACTGCTTCCTCTTCAACCCTTTTCTTCTTTTCTCTTCTCTTCCATCGTCTCTCACGCCTCTTCTCCAATTTGCAACACTAATTCACATAACCCAAACCTTCATCCTCAGGATCTGACACTTTTTCAACATACAATGAGGTTTGCCATTTCGACAGCCTCAATATCTGTTTCCTCCTCTTTTCTTCCTCCTTTTCCCCACCCACAACAACCAAACTTGTTTTAATCTCGATTCCTCTTTTTCTTCTCCTAATTTTTTGGCTCATTTTTTCTTTTTAGATGCATGTTCAAAGAGTATTTCCCTGAGTTCGTCCGAATTCCGTTTTAATTTTTCTACTGTAATCTGTTCTGGAGATTTCCTTTGTTCATTGCGATTAATAAGTTGCAGAAGATTTTCCAGTTTTGAAGGTCGGGAATGAGACCTGAGTTTTTTTTTTTCTTGTTTCGTTCCTCTATTCTTTGTTTGGTGTCCGTGCTAAGTTTTTCCTGATTTTTTTTGGCCTCTGCAGATACACATTTTTCCTGAGGAAAAAAAGGATTTTGAAGCTCTGAACTTTCTGCTAGTCCTGTAATTTCAGGGACGATCGTTGCTTGCTTGGGTGTAAAGCCTGAGTTGATACCCATCGTCGCTGATAGAAGCTTCGAAATGTCATTATTAGTTGAAATTTCAACATAGATTTGCATTTTCCATAGCTTCAGAACTGAAATCCGGACACTTTTCCAGTTTCCCTACAGCCACAAGCGGAGTTGTAGCCGGACCCGATTTAGGTGAGAGAAACTAATGTACTTCATCAAAATTAGAACTAAATAAAATGATTTTCATCGCAGCCTTGCAGTCTTGGTCGCAACAGTTAATTCAGTTTTGTTGTTCATATTTTCTTGCTATTGTTCTCTGATTTCTCTCTTCTTCATAGTTTCCTGCAGGAAATAAAAAAAATCGGCATCTTTTCCCTTTGGTTTCAGAAGGAATTGATTGCTGGGCTAGTGTTAATTTTGTAAGGCACCCATCTAGTTTTTCTGGATCTTTTTGGCCTAACTCGTGTTTTTGGTGCTCTTCTTAATCTCAACCGCTCACAATACAATCCCAGTGTCGCTTTGAAAAGATGAGCCATTGAGCAGACCCATCCAAAACCAGTTGAATTGAATCGATTGATGCCTCGTTTTCATGTCCTGTCAAAACATTGAATTTGAAACCTCTTTTTTCCATGTGCAAATTGAATCTTAACAAAACATTTCCACTGTCTTCGGTTCTTCTCCCTCTTGTTATTGTCATCGTCCATTTTTGTCTTGACCAAGATAAAGAAAATGCTCAGTGCACAAATTTGTTAAAAAAATAAAAGTCAGAATCCATGGACCATTCAATGCACACATCCTGTTAAACAGTTTAATAACCTCACTTAATTGGGATGTGGACGAGAGAGACCCTGTCTGTGTCCCTTGTTGTTGTGAAAGAACACAAATCCAATTTAGATTTCAATTTCAAATTGCTGGTTAAAAATGTAGCATTTTGAATAATTAATTCTTAATTTCAATTTCTTTTATTCTAGCAAGTATTTAATTACCCTAGCACGGTGATGATGATGGCAGGGAAGGTTTGAAGAGATGGAGAAAGAGTCAATTATTGGGAGCAATAACATGATGTCTAGTGTTAGAGATAAAAGCGGAGGGGATGGGTCGTTGCTGTTGAGGGCAAGTTCCGATGGCGCTAGGCAAGGCACGACGTCGGATTTGGTGTTGCAGTGGGGGAATGGGAAGCGGTTAAGGTGCATGAAAGTGCAGGTTAAGGACGATTCTTCAGGCCCGGTTCAGAGGACAACGGTTCGGGTGGATCGCCGGGTCGTTAGAACCGATAAGGATTCTTTAAATAAACCCACCTTCGGTGTCAATAATAACACGCTTGGAGTTGTACACACTCATAATAATAACAATCATCATCATAATCAGAGTAACGGGTATCCAAATCTCCGTCAACGTCCATCTTCGCCGCAACCACGAATTCTCAGGTAACGCTATTGCCATTCACTTGGTTACTTTGTCTTTCTCTATGGATGATATATGAGTATGATTTAATCTATTTTTTCTTTTTGTTGTTATTAGAAAAAAAAAAAAAAAACACTGATTGAGAGAGTGAAATGAGATCTGAGAAAAGGGCAGTTTGGCAAAAATCCGGATTTTTTACCGAAAACAGGGAAAATTCAAGATTTGTGTGTTGAGTTTGATAAAGTTTAAAATGGTTTCTTAAAATTACATATCTTAATCTTGTCTTCTTTCTTTTTCTTTTCTCTGGTTGAGTGAGTATCCATCCATGCTTATCTTGAGGGGAAGGTTGGTGTTGGTGGCGCACTGCCGCGTGGGCCAGTGTTTTGTTTTGATCTGTTTTATTTTGTTAATTAAATGAAATAAATAAGCTAGGGTTTGGGTTGCCGTGGTGCTTACATGTATGTACTCTGGCATATTTCAGCCAAAGATATCTCATTATAAAATTCAGCGTAGATATAATTTCGAAGCAAGCAGCACATGGATATGTATGAAATAAATATCTGATGAACTGGTTGGAAGTGAATTGGTGTGTGTGATGGTTTCTTGGTACACTAGAAACAAAAGTATCAGAGAAAAAGCATAGGCTTTGAGTTGAAAGTGTAGTGGGGCAGATGTGTGGAACTATCCATCCTCATATTTTTGGACACTGCTTTTGAAATTTTCAAGTGCCATGTCTCCCACGAAATTTCCTTCAGGGCCATGGAGGCAACTTCTAAATCACATCTCTCACCCATACAATCTTAAGCTTCAAGCGTTACTGTGAATGAATTTAAAATTTAAAATTTGGGCCACCGGTCAAATTCCTTTTTTTTTTTTTTTTTAACACATCTGGGCTGAATACGCAAGGCTTATATTCTGTCCACTCTCCAATTGGTCAGGTCCTTCCGGTCTCATCTCATCCAAATTAAAGAATGAAGAGGAACTCACGGTAAGTGCGTGAGATTCCTTCTTTACTTCCGTCATAATTTATTTGGAGATATCGTTATGACTAAGCTAAGAAGATTACATTACTTTAATGTCTGCCTCACAAATAGGTAATCCGGTATTAATATTTGGGTCTGAGTTTGGATTAACGCCATAATATTTAGGCACACAAAAAAATACAGAAATATCTTAGGCATTGCTTTATTATTGGTGGGGATGTTTTCATTTTTAAATAAAAATGGTTCATACATGTTTGTTGCTTTACATTTTAACTTGGAATCATTGGTAGCAACGGGCAAGTCAGGTTAATAATCCAAACCTTGATGCTTTGCTTCTGACGTCTAACATACAGAGAGATTTTGAGATTTTTTACGAGGTTTAGGTTGGTGTAGGTATTGGTGATACTTTGCCGTTGACATTTTCTTTTGTAGATCTAGTTTTTATATTTTCGATGAATTTTTCATCTCTAGAATGAATAAACCTAGAAGATACGAGGATAATTGTTTTGACTCTTTCAAATCCTGGTATTTGATTTATTGCGAAATTTAATTCCATGCTTTATTACTGTTTATGAGTGTTATTGTTATGGTATGATGTGAAAAGGAAGAAATTGCTGAATTTATTATATTTATAGAAAGAGAGGTAATTGAGGAGGGTTGTGCGTGGTGGGGGAGATAGGGATTAGGATTAGACGAGAGGGGGGATTTTGCAGGTTCTGGATCTACATCTAGGACGCTGAAGAAGAAGAAGAAGAAGAAGAAGAAGAAGAAGGATTAGTACTAGACAACAGAGTTTGTTGGAATGGACGGTTTCCTTCCACGTGTTATTGAAAAGTGGTTTTGTATAGTGGCCGTTGGATTGAAGGGACCAGGTCGCAGATCGGGGCCGTGTCCTTGATGATTGGAACACGTAGCAATGTTGATGCTCATTACCCAATAATAAAGGTCTGTAAATCGAACGGCTGGAAAGACGGCGAGGAAGCAGGTGGGCGTTACAGGGAATGAGAGAGAGTTTGTGTCTTAGGCTAGGCCCCTCGAGGCTGAACTCAAATATCCAATTAACTACCCTGCACTCCCTCGAACCAAAATACAATTACAAAGCCCCGCAAGGAGCCAAAACCCACCCCTTATTCTACGCTACAAAAATCTGTCTACTTAGATTCCAGCTTCTCCCACCCTTGGATCTAGATCAACCCCACAAGGTTAATTCCGTCAACTCACCACTCCCTAGTTACTTTTCATACATACAATATACTTTTATATATATATTAACTCTAAAATAACCTCTGAAATGCATCTTTGTTTGCCCTATTTATTATGTCGTCTTATGTGATGTGATTCACGTTCTTACGATTAAGAAAAACACATAGGATAATTACATGTGGGTTGTAATTTAGGAACTCAGAAGGTTCAAGTGCCATGAGAGGAGGACAAAGCAACGGGGGTGTTAGGGGAATTGCCTCACCGGACAGGGGTGCGCACGATAAGAGGACCACCCATAACAACCACCTTAATGACAACAACAAGTCCGCAGCCTCATCGGATACTGCGCACGATAGCAAGAAGGGAGGCTCCCCCTCCGGCAGCGGTGACGCTCCTCCGCCCGTGTGGCCACCCAAGTTCGTGATTGCCTTAACCAACAAGGAGAAGGAAGAAGATTTTCTCGCCATTAAGGGCTCTAAGCTGCCTCAGAGACCCAAGAAGAGAGCTAAATTCATTCAACGCACCCTCAATGTAAGCCTCACTCCCCCTTTTTCTGCTTTTTCATTTTTTTCTTCAATTAATTATTACTATCATTATTATTCTTCATCCCATCAACATGATCTTTTCTTTACGTGCTAAATATTAAATCCTCAGCAGCTCCCGTCAATTTATTCTCTAGTAGTAGGATTTATACAATGACAACAGTAAAAATAAATCTCAATGAAATTCAGAATTTGGATGAAGTAATTTGACAGAGGCTCTATGACCTTGTTTCGCTACTCTCTCAACAAGAAGGATGTTATAATTAATTTGCTGCAAGAGAATGGATGGGTATGTAAGGGCCTAATAATAATAATATAAGAGTGGATGCGAAACAAACTAAATCATATTTTAATGTTTTAAAAGCATGTTATTATTAGTGTAAAGTTTAATCTATAGAAAAATGGACTAAAATTTTTTAATAATAAGATTATTTGTTATTAAAAAGATTGAATTATGGGACAGATTTATTTGTAGCATATTCTAATTTTAGTAGGTGATATTGTTTTAGGTGAGTGGCCCTTTTTCCTTTGGTATTTTACTTTTCCCTTTTCCTGGAAAAGCCATACTGGTTGGCAGCTGTGGAGTGCGTTACACGCGTCAAGGGGAGCTTGGCTCACACCGAATAGTTAGTCACCAAAATAATTAAGTAGTCTAACATCACCACCACCTGTACGTAGTTATCACTACTTTTACGTGACACATATTTCGTTTTTTAATTTATTAAAAATAATTATGTTTATTTAAAGGTTAATTAATAAGTAAGTGTGTCTACAGTGAACAACGTATGCACCCTCCCTGGATGCTCAACGGCCTTATATTTTTAATAAGTTACAGTAAAATAATAATTAAGGCAGAGAAAAGTTCATAGTTTTATTGAATTTGATGCCCACACCTGCCCGGACTTCACTTTTTTTTAAATTCCGTTTCTCTTTTTCTGTCGTACGTCTCTTTTAATTTTTGCCTTTCCTAAACCTGGTGGTATTGAAAATTCGGTTGTTTAATTAAAAGAAAAACTGTGATCTTTTCCGTATGACCTCTATATATTATTATTATTATTATTATTATTATTGACAAAGGTCTAATCATCAGGAACCAAAAACAATTAAAGAAAAAATTAAGTAAAAGACATAATAAAGAAAGCAACAAGAAACGGTGTGTGTGGAAACACGTGTTGAGAGGGGTTTGGATTCATATGTCAGAAAGTAGGAGCGACCATACTGGATTACATCCTCTGATTGGAATGAGTGGTGCCAGTTGTAGTGGAATAGGAATAGTCGTTCCACAGACTTATCAGCAAAAGACTAAATAAAACTCCTACTGACTGACTGCCCAACCGACAGATTCAGAAAACACCAAAAGACATTCTTGTATCTTCATATGGGACTCTCGTCCACCCAAATTATTACTCATGCTTCACAAACAGATGGAAAAAGAAAAAAAATCTATAACCTTATGTAATAATATACAAGATCTATATAATTCGTACTCCATTTTCATCGCTGTTTTAGATTTTTTTTTTATTGTTTTATCAACTATCGTTATTTCCAGGCTGTTATTTAATTAGTAAAAATGTCTGCCACGCCTCATTTTATAATCCTTTTCCTGGTTATAAACTTCGATGAAGTAAACATTTTTAATATTTGGTTTTCTTTGTAGTGAACTTTTGTCTGACATTTTCCTAAGTATGTATTCACAAATATAATTGATGATGTGATGAGATAAGTAACAACTAAAAATTTAGAGAGAATGAGAGGTGTATAATAGGAGGATTTCTAAAAGGTGAGAGAACCGTTACTCTCTAATAAAAGCTCGACCCTCTGCATCTTCACCTACTTGCATAAGTTTTTTACAACCTTGTATACACCATACCCTTTCTTATTTATTTGTTTATATTAAGTTTTTTTGTCTTGCATGTTATGTATTGAAATTGTGTTCTGAATGTGTTTTGATTTGTTTGACAGCTCGTTAGTCCTGGCGCATGGTTGTGCGATCTTACCTTGGAACGATACGAGGTTAGGGAGAAGAAGATATCCAAAAAGGTAAGTGGTAAATGGAATGGGAAAAAGAGGCATACCCCCATTTATACAATGTGCCTTTCATTAAGACTAGATTAAACTACGAATGAGAAGCCGTTATTTTTGTGACAGATGAGTAAAGAAGTATAATTTTTACTTTATTTTGATGCAGAGACCAAGAGGTTTGAAAGCAATGGGAAACATGGAGTCGGACTCTGAATAGAGAGAGAAGTGAATGAGGCTATGAATGTTGGGAAGTGCAGGTGCTAAAGCTTTATGTTTGGTAAAGATGTAGGAAATGCATGGATGTTGTAAAGCATGGCATGGCATCACAGATGGGTGCCAACACATCGAAATATTAAATATTTTAGTTTTGCCACCGCTTAGCTTAATCTCCTCTCCTTCCTTCTTCCAGTCTGGAAAAATCTTTGGAATTGCAAATCTTACTGTCAAGGAGGGCATTTCACTAACATAAATTTTTTTGCAGTATAAATTCTCACAAATCCTTTTACAACATTTCCTTATTCTCCTCATTTTTATTATTATTTTTTTCGTTTAAAATATTACTCTTCAAGACCCGACAAAAAAGTTGCCTGCCCAAGAAAGTGTAGCATTCATGGTATAAAAATATGGGTTCAAGGAAAGTCCTTGCATGTAGGACCCAACGAATGAGTCAGGTTACCATGTTTTGACCCGCTTTCCCACTTTTAAAATTTGAGTATGTCTTGGCTCACTTCTAAAATATCTGGTGAATCTTATAATTCATCTCGTTTATAGTTATGAAAAAAAAATCCATAAAACTTATTAATGATTATAGAATATTTTAAACTTAATATTGAATATTAATTCAATTTTTCATACTAATGAATCGAAAAATCAATATTTTATATTATTAATTTTTACCGGAGTAAAAAAGAGTTAGTTTGATGGGCTGATCCAATCTAAAACACGTTAGTGGTAAATGACTCGGTCCCAATTCACCTGAATAAACTCTTAATTATCCTTATCACTCTTTCTCTCTTAATTCTCTCCAACATTTTTCTTTGGAAAAGAACATATGCACTCTTTCTATTCTGTTCTTGTCCTCTAGCAGCAAACATTTTAAAAAACGAGCATCTTCTGGAAGCGCTTCGTTTTTATAACATCTGATTATGTTTTTGAATCTTTTTATCTAATGGGGTCATGAGCCAAAGGAGTTTGTTTGGCCTTACGTATGATTTGTTGTGCCATTGTTTTTCTTTTTAATTTGTTCTAAAACTCTTGTTTTGTTTTTGCCAATGTTGTTTTGATGATTGTGTAGTATCCCTTAGACTCGCTACAACTTGTGCAGTCCTCGCATAAGCAATTGCTCCTAAAAGCAACGTTTTGATGTGAGGCTTGGATTCAAGGCAGACGCATTAAAAACTGAGGGCTGTTTTGGTTAAAGGAAAAAAGAAATAGTTATACAAATAAAGGAGGAGTTATAATTATCAACCGCCAGAATGTAAGCTAAAAAAATAAGTTAAAGGGCTTGATCAATTTCGTATTAGAAATCTTTTTTTCTTCTTTTACTTAGGTTTCTTAAAGTTTTAAAATTCTGACGAGTCCAATTTATATTTCCAGCTGAATTTAAATACGAATCCTTATACTTTCTCCAATTTTCTTTCTACTTTGCATTTCATTCATCGGTAAGTCATTTAGTTTCCTACACTTAGTCTTCCTCGGTTTCATTTTTCCATTGCATATCAAGTATTTTATTTTATTTTATTTTCGTTAATTATTCTTATTTTTTAAGTAACGATGTTAAAAAATTGTTGAAATATTAAAGAATTTCAATCTACTCGTAAGACTAATGCAGTGGTGATATATTTGAAAGAGGCCTGAAGAGTATTTTGTACTAAAAAATAAATAGATTCATAAAAAAATAATTGAACCTTTTGAAATAACGGATGTTTAATTAACCGTTTCGTTGGTTAATTGTGTACTGTAGTGTCGAAAACAGACTGAGGAACATTGGATTGAGCTGAGCCGTTGAGTTTGTTTGGAACTGTTGTTGTGGGGCCTACCTTGTCAACAAAGATGCAACTTCCAAACGCACGATTTTTTTCAAACAACATATTTTGTAAATTACACAAATCATCCATCGCATCTTTATCTAAATATAATATCATAAGTATAATTGTTAATATAATTCGTATTATCAAAATAAAATTCTAATTATGATTAACAACACGAATATCACCGATATCTTTAATTTCTCGTTAGAAAAAAAAGTGGAATACAATATGCACATTTATACGTTTTCACCAAAAAATATTACGAATTGTTAAATTGAAATTCAAGATTATAATAATAGCATTTAATCACTAATTGAATTTGATTTATGTGTAAACACAAGTGAAACAAGAATCATTAAATTATTATACCCAAAGGAGAAAAGCTACATTCGCTTATTTCGAAGCATAAAAAGGACCACCACAAACTTATTCTATTCTTTTCAACAACGTCAACTACAAGTTGTGAAAACAAAATGCCTTCTATCAATCTTCCATGAAATTCACATAAAATAACTTATTTTTTAAATTTGAACAAACTTTGTTTTATAAACTGAACTTGCAAAGCAATCTCCCTTTTCATCTGTTACAAAACTATGGCAAAACTTAATTCAAATAATCAAACCCAATTCAAAATCAATGTACTCTTTTTTCCTGTTCAGAAAAAGCGAGAAAAAAAAATATACTTCCACTCTTTTTTTAATTTAAACATCGAATTTTTCTGTATTCTCATAATTTTCTTATACTGACAAAATTCATAATCAAAATTAAAGAATGCCTCCACAATTAGCACGTTAACGTTGATGTTGCCAGGACATGAATATTAACATCATCAATTCAAAACCGATTCAAGCTTTTTTTTTTTTTTAATCAAATTTTTGAGGTTGTGTAAACAACAAATTTGAACACCTATCTCCGTGATTCACAGCAAAACTAAAAAATAAATAACAAAATATAATTGATTAAAAAACACTACAAAGAAGCACAAATTAGAATATAAAAGAAATTAATTATGTACCAAAACAATAATCACAAATAATAATACTCAAGAAATCGCAGAATAATTAAAGATCCAGAAATGAACACATGAAATCTCTGCACATCAATACACGAAAGAGCTATATACTACTAGTCAAGACTCGATCTATGGTAAATCCACACAAAAAAATAGAGAAATTGAAAATCTGAAAGCGGAAGCGCGGGATGTTCAGATCGTGAGAGAAGATCCGAAGAAAAGAGCAACAGCGGCGGCGAGAAAACCGGCAGCGAATGAGGGAGAGATGACGGAGGCGGGAGAGGTAGGGCTAGGTGCGGGCGCATCGGCGGCGTGAGCGGCGGAGACGACGGCGAGAAGGACCGCCATTGTCGTCATGATGAGGACTTGAGAAGAAGGCATTGTTTAGCGGTGATTTAGGGTTTTGATTGAATGAGTGTAGTGAGAAAAGAGAAAGCGAATTGCGGCGAATGAATTGAAGAAGAAGGTGAATGAGTGTTTATTTATATACAAGGGAAAATGAGGAGAGAAGGTAAGGGTAGTTTGGGAATTTAGAGGAATTTACAGAGTGGCGATTATAGTTTGAGTGGGTGTTGTGCTGTTCCAGCTGGTTCTGCTGTCAAGGTTAGGCAACTCTGTTTTTTCTTCTTCTTCTTCTTCTTCTGGTATTACTACAATATTTTTTATAAAATATTAATCAACAAAAATAAATACCTAACAAATCATTTCTCATTTTTTAAATATTTCTTTATTGACCGTTATTTTTTATTTTAAAATATTAATTAAATTACATTTTCCATATATAACATCCATTTTAAAACTTGGCCAAGCATCTTATATCAGTGTTGTTCAGAATCAAAGTCATGCGCTGGCCTACCAAAGAAAACTCATTTGTGTTTATATTTTGTGTGCATCATTTGTATGAATAAACACAAACTCAATTATCTTTTATTTTCCTCCCCATTGTGTTTCATTAACTTTATATTTTAAAACTCTTCTTCATCATTAAATGAATTAAGTTTCTACAAGATGAAATAAGTAATCAAATTTAATTTTACTATAATAAATTAACTTGGTCTTCACCTCTATCTGTTTTACGTTGAAAATATGTGATTTTCTTCGAACATCATGAAGTTTACCTTTAAGATATATATATATATATATATATATATATATATATATATATATATATATATATATATATATAAATCTAATTTAATTATATTTAATAAGAAAATATTAACTAAATGTTACATTCTTTTAATTTTAGAGTTCAAAAATGTTTGTTAATTTGGTAGTTTTAAACTCTTTTTAAGATATTTTATACTTATAGTAAATATTAATTAAATTTTAATTTGATAAATAGTAATGATATGATTTTAATTGTTTATAATTATAAATTATTTTCAAATATTGAGAATTTAATTAGACGTTAGATTACGAAATTTAAGAACCATGAGCTGTCAATTTATTGTTATAAAGTATTTTTCAATTTTTAAAAATATAAAACATTTAAATAATGATAATAATAATAATAATAATAATAATAATAATAACATAAACAAAAAATATATTAGTGGTTGATTCGGATATACATTTCTACCAATCTTATATTTTAGAACTTATCAACTCTCCATATAAACAAACAAGAAGTGATATAAATAGAGAGAGAAAGTGAGAGTTAATTTAAAAAATTATACAATCAATATGCAAATAAAAGTCATAAAAATTTATATTATGATATCAAAATATTATATAAAAAACATTAATTACAATCAATCAATTTTTTATTAAATACAATTAAAAGTTTTAAGTCTATTTTGACTTAAATGTATTTTTTTTTTACAATCAAACGGTTAAAAGACTATTAAGTCTATTTGACTTAAATATATTTTTTTTCTGTCTTTTTAAGTGTTATATTTTGAAGAATTTTTATTTTTAGTTTATTTATTAATCATGACATTTAAGATTATATTAATTATTATTTTTAGCAATTATAGTTTTATATATTCTGTTAAGTGATTACATATGTATTTATTGTGTGAGAGGAAAGAATATAAAATAAGAATTTGTTAAACTACTTTATTAACATAAAAATAATATATTTATTGATTTTTCTTCTAAAACAACCTTGAAAAATAATATTATTATATAATTGATAATTATTACAGTGAAATTTTTTTATGCATTAATAATAATATGTAAATAAAATTGACTGTGAAAAATATACTTATCCAAATGGAATAACTTTATAATAAATGCATCAATAAATGACAGTTATTAATATTTATACGTCACAGGCATGCAGAAGAAAGTTTTATATGTATGTTGTGGGTTAGCAGAGAAAGTGAGAGAAGATAATCAGAGTGGAATGGGGGAATGTAAAGTTGCAATCTTGTTCCTTTGGGTCTTCTTTGCATCGTGTATCAGACTCAACGTTGAAGCAAGGCCATCATCAACCCTAGAAAGAGAAATTGAAGCCAAATTGAAGCAACTCAACAAGCCTGCTGTTAAAACCATTAAGGTTTGCGATCTCAACATTGTCACACTTTTCTCCTACAAGTGTAATTCTAGATTTTACGTTTTTCCAGTGCTCTTAAAATATTTATTATTTTTAGGGGTGTCAAAGTGAGCCAACCCGGGTTGGCTCACCACGGGTTGAGCTGAAAATAGATGAGCTCAACCCGGCTCACTTTTTGGTGAGCCAGAAATTTTACAACCTGGCTCAACCCACCACGGGTTGGTGGGTTAGGTGGGTTGGCTCACTAACCCATATTATTTTTAAATAATATAAATATAATATATATATATATATATATATATATATATATATATATATATATATTTCCAAACTTGGATGTAGAAACTTTTGCTTTTTTCCTTTTTTTCTCAACATCGAGTATCTTCATTATTAAGCTGAAATTGGCTCATTGGGTTTTTCATTAACAATAAAATCATCACCAACACAATTCACATTGACACTTTGATGCATTGTTTCAGATTCCATACTGTAAATTAATTTGAAAGAAAGAAGTCAAAAATTCATATATTAAAGAGATATACGTATAAATCAATAATAAACAACAAATAATGTATAGATGCTACAGTGGGTACGGTGATGTAGTGATACGATGAAGATGAACATATGATAAGATAGTGCAGCGACAAACGTAGTGTTGCTGATAGAGTTTGACTTATTGTGGCGGCAGCAATGACAATATAGGATAGAGATGAGGCGAGGATAACATTTAGGGTTACTGAAGTATTATAATTGTTTTTAAAATTTAAAATATAATTATTAATTAAGGTTAATATATATTATAATTATTTTTAAAATTTAAAATTAATGGTGGGTTGCGGGCCAACCCACCATAACCCGGCTTCGAACCCGTTTAACCCGTGGGTTAAGTGAGCCGGGTTCATTTTTAGCCCATAATCGGTAGAAATAAAAAAATCCAACCCAACCGGCTCGAACCGTGGTGAGCCGGGTTGACTCATGAGTTAGAACCCATATTGACACCCCTAATTATTTTCGTATATTGGTTGAAATATGTCATTCAGCGTTTCATTTCTGAAAACCCTATCTTTGAGAATTTTATATATTATTTAGATATATTTTGTCATATATGTTGTTAAATATAACTTTCAATAATACTTTTAATATTTTTAAAAATTAAATAAATATAAATATAATATCATTGAGAATATTATTTTATTATTTTTTATTTAAAATTAAATGTTAAAATATTTTTATTATTTTTTTGAATTTGAAAAATATATTAAATTATTAGTTTAATTTATATAATTATGATTAAAATATAATTAATATTTAATATTTTATCATATTTTTATTTTTTATATAAAATATATAATTACATAAATAAAATATTGAAATACACATAAAAGATAAACTTCGTCATATTATACATAAAAAATTCAACACGGAAAACCTCAAAGAAAATCTCATCAAATATATATGATATATAATTTAGGCAATAAAAATAAATTAGAAAAGGTTTATTCTATAGTTTGAAGATTTAAAATTTATTATTGTTTTCTTTTTCCTGCAGAGTGAAGATGGAGATATTATTGATTGTGTCAACATCTATGATCAACCTGCTTTTGATCATCCTGCCTTAAAAAATCACACTATCAAGGTTTTATTATTACCAGTAGTATGATGAAAAGTATGAATATTTGTTAAAATCATTATCTCTCTGATATCATGATCCCAATTTTAAATATGTAGTAATCATTGTTATTTGGCATTAAAATTCTGATTACATTCATGGTGTTTTATTTTTCTTAAATAAATTAATTTAAATGTGCATCTTATGATTTGATGAATGGACATGGTAGATGATGCCTGATTATCTGTTAAAATCCTCAAATTCAAGCAAAGAAGATAGTTCAGAAGCAGAAATATTTCAGACATGGCAGAAAAGTGGAAGTTGTCCAAAAGGAACTATTCCTATTCGTAGAATCCTAAAGGAAGACTTGCTTAGAGCTGCTTCTATGGATAGCTTCGGCCGAAAATCGTCTCAACACTTGAACAATTTGACAACAATCCAAAAAAGTGAATTTATTCCAGAAAATCGCTCGGTATATGTCACTATTAATATCTACAATTATACATGTCATGTTGTGTGAAAACCCACACACCTTCACACATATGTAACCATTTTTGCATTTGGTGAGAGTACCATAATTAACGCAATAGAATTGATGGATGGTATGGTGATGCAGTCAGCATATCTTGTGACATTGGGATACAATTATATTGGTGCACAAGCAGACATCAACGTTTGGAATCCAAGGGTTCCTGAGGCAAACGAGTTCACCACAGCTCAAATCTGGTTGAAGAACGACAACCATCCCTATTTTGAAAGCGTCGAATCAGGCTGGATGGTTAGTCCCCTTCACAAAACTTACCTAATTAATAACACACATATCAATAATCTTTGCTTGCTATCATGATTTAGGTGAATCCCAAGCTATATCGTGACGGAGCCACTCGCTTTTTTGCCTACTGGACTGTGAGTATATAGATTCATTTATTGATCAAAAGCTAAGTTCTTTTCGTTCATCGGTTAGGTTATGTTTTTTTATTTGGTGGATTGTGGTGCAGAGGGATTCATATAGGTCAACAGGTTGCTTTGATCTTACTTGCTCAGGATTTGTGCAAACAGGAGATGTAGCGCTTGGTGCTACCATAGAACCTATATCATCCATTAGAGGCCCACAGTATGAAATTAACGTTGGAATATTCTTGGTAAAAATGTTCAAATGTGCTATTTAAGTTTTTTTTAGTAAAAAATGAACGTGAGAAATCATTTAATTAGTTGGGTACGTATGGTGTAGGATCCAAACTCAGGAAATTGGTATCTGAAAGTGAAGAACAATATCCCAGTGGGTTATTGGCCAGCTGAAATATTAGGTTCTTTGAGACACAGTGCGATATTGGTTGAATGGGGGGGACAAGTGGCAAGCTCGAATATAAGAAAGAAAACCCCTCACACCAGAACACAAATGGGTAGTGGAGAGTTCGCAAGTGGTCGATTTAAGGATGCATGTTTCATGCATAATATAAGGATTATGGATTATTCGCTTCAACTAAAGTATCCTGAACATGTAACTGCAGTGGCTGATGAACCCTATTGTTACAGTTCCCTCAATGACGTTAGATATGGGGTAGAGCCTGTCTTCTATTTCGGAGGCCCCGGACAAAGGCCACCCTATTGTCCTTGATCCATTTTTCATTCCGTTATCAATAAATATATTTAACTGTAAACTTGATTAGTTATGCCATTTTCCATTCTTGTAGAAGTGATTGATGAATAATATTAATAAATTCATGCATAAATGTCAAGGATTCCATTCAACCTTGTGGTCGCCATAAAATTTTCATTCTTTAAAATAAGGTTATCTATGATATTACAAAAGATACATAAAGTTTCTGACATTCTTTATTTTTACAAAGCATCACAAGTTCTTTTCATTCATGTTCGAAAGTGTTTTATATAATAGTCTTCCAAATATTAATCACAGATATCTCGTATAATTTTGTTTGCTCTTTATAAGTAAAAAATATGATGTTAAACACTTGATAAGATAAGAGAATATATGCTCATTTATCTTTAATTTATCTTTAGTTCATAGATTAGTTTTTAGTTGCATAACATATTAAAGTGTAACAAGGAGATATGTTTTTTTTTTTTTTTTTACCTTTATACTTACTCATTCATCCGATAATTTATTTTAGTTTTTTAGAAAGATAATATTAAAGACTTTGATGAATAAAATTAAATAACATTTATTATAATTCAACTTAAATGATGTACCATTTAAGATAGACATTTAGTTTAATTTAAACTTTAATGATATATCATCTATTATAATGTGGAGATGGGATATCATTTATCAAAATGATTAAATAATGTGTTAGAATATAACGTATAAAGGATGTATTGTCTCTTAGTTAGATGTTATATATAATATTTAATCTTTTATTCACACAAAAAAAGATCTTTAACTATTTTTAGTCTATTTTTTATAATAGACAATATTATTATTTGCAAATTAAAAAAATATACAATTAAAAAAAATCATTATCTTCACAACATTTATAAAGAGGGAAACAAAGCGAGAACAAAAAATGTCATTACTATTTTCATAAATTTGATGGTAAGGAAAGTATAACATTTGTTCAAAAATAAGAAATAGATAAAGTATCTACTTTATCTCTATGCATCATACATGTTTTATAATGCTTTTCAGTAGTATATTTTACAAACTTTGATTGGTGAGAAAACGACGAAGAAATTTATTAAATTGGTGTACAACAATAATATATATAAAGTATGATTATAAATAAGAGTGAACTAGAATATTTTATATAATCTAGATATTTGAAATCATTCTTAACATTATATAAATATGATTATACAGTGAGTGTGTATTACAATCAATTTTTTATTCCATTGATGATAATAAATAAATAGACAGAATTGAAGCTGAAAGGTATAATAGTACAAATGGATGAACTTTACAATAAATGCATCAATAAATGACAGTTATTAATATTTATACGTCACAGGCATGCAGATGAAAGTTGTATATGTATGTTGTGGGTTAACAGAGAAAGTGAGAGAAGATAATCAAAGTGGGAATGGGGGAAAGTAAAGTTGCAATCTTGTTCGTTTGGGTCTTCTTTGCATTGTGTATCATCAGACTCAATGCTGAATCATCAACCCTAGAAAGAGAAATTGAAGCCAAATTGAAGCAACTCACCAAGCCTGCTGTTAAAACCATTAAGGTTTGCAATTACAACATTGTCTCACTTTTCTATAACAGTTGTTATTCTAGATTTTAATTGCAATGCTCTCTAGACATAATCATTAATGGTTGAAATATTACATTCAGCATTGCATTTCAAAAAGTCCAGTTTATGGGAGAATTTTATATATTATTTGGATGTTTATGCCACATGTGTTGTTAAAGATAGATACTTTTTATATTTTATAAAAGATAAAATAAATATACGTATATTTTCAAGAAAATGTTTATTTTATGATATGTAGATTTAAAATTTTCTATTTTTTTTTTTACAGAGTGAAGATGGAGATATTATTGATTGCGTCAACATCTACGACCAACCTGCCTTTGATCATCCTGCCTTAAAAAATCACACTATCAAGGTCTTATACCAATAGTAGTTATAGTTCAATTTTATTATGAAAAATGCAAATATTTATCATCATTAGTGAATAAAAAATGGCAACTTAAATTTTATGTTTAATTATAAATTTCATGTCATTCTTTTAATTAAATACACATTTAAATGTGAATTTGAATGAGTAATAATTGCCATTTGATGATTGGCTCTTGCAGATGATGCCTGATTATCTGTTAGCATCTGAAAATTCAAGAACAAAAGAAGATTCAGAGTCGGAGATATTTCAAACATGGCAGAAAAGTGGAAGTTGTCCAAAAGGAACCATCCCTATTCGTAGAATTCTAAAGAAAGATTTGCTCAGAGCTGCTTCTCTTGACAGCTTTGGTCGAAAATCTCCTCAACTTTATAAGAATTCAACAAACCAAACAAATGGATATATCCCAGAAAATCGCTCGGTAAAAAGCTCATTAATGTTAGCAATTGTTATATGAAGGCACACATATGTGACCATTTGTTATTTGGTCTTGTTAACATAATGTAGTAATAAATTGAGCTGATGGTAATAAGATGCATGATGATGCAGTCAGCATATCTTATGACAGTGGGATACAATTATATTGGTGCACAAGCAGACATCAACGTTTGGAATCCAAAGGTTGCTCAGCCAAACGAGTTCACTACAGCTCAAATTTGGGCTAAAAACAACAACAATCCCTATGTTGAAAGTGTTGAATCAGGCTGGATGGTCATTTCCCCTCACAAATTTCTAACTACTTACCACTTACTGTTATATTTTACATGTTATTGCATGACAACTCTCACATACTAAATAACAAATATCACTAATGCTGCTTAATAATATGATTTAGGTGAATCCAATGTTATATGGTGATGAAGCCACCCGATTTTTTGCCTATTGGACTGTAAGAATATATTCATTGATCTTAGTTGATAGTTCTGCGAAGAAAAAAAATGAAACATTGGTTTCTTGATTTGGTGGACTGAATGGTGCAGAGAGATTCATACAGGTCAACTGGTTGCTTCGATCTTACTTGTTCAGGATTTGTGCAAATAGGGCAGATAGTACTTGGTGGTACCATAAAACCTGTATCATCATTTTGGGGCCCACAGTATGAAATTAACGTTGGGATGTTCCTGGTAAAAATGTTCAAATATGCTATTGATAGTAAAAGATTAACATGGAAAATGATTAAATTATTTGGGGGTATGTGTGATGCAGGATACAAACACAGGAAATTGGTATCTGAAATTGAACAGCAATATCGCAGTGGGTTATTGGCCAGCTGAAATATTGGGATCTTTAAAACACAGTGCGATATGTGTTGAGTGGGGAGGACAAGTGGGAAGCAGAAATATAAGAAAGAAAAGTCCTCACACGAGTACACAAATGGGTAGTGGAGAGTTCGCAAGTGGTCGATTCAAGGAGGCATGTTTCATACGAAACATAAGGATTCAGGATTATTCGCTTCAGCTTAAGTATCCTCAAAATGTAAATGCAATGTCTGAAGAACCATTTTGTTACAGTTCCCTCCATGATGCCAGACGTGGGGTGGAGCCAATCTTTTATTTTGGAGGCCCTGGACGAGCCCTACCCCATTGTCCTTGATCCATTAAACTTCATTAATTATGTCACTTTTCATTGGTGTAAATGTCATTCATAAATAATAAAAATAATGTCAAGGATTGAGTTATGTTGCTCCTTAGAATATGACAGCTGTGGGATTTGAACCCACGCCCTTCCGGACTAGAGCCTAAATCTAGCGCCTTAGACCACTCGGCCAAACTGTCATTTGATTGCTAATTTATGTTATAATTTAAATGACTAAATAAAAGAAAACAGAATTTTTTAAACATGAGTTACGTGAATTGTTGGAACTTGCTCCTCTGGTGACTACAACGAAGCCAGAATGGGCCAGCGCTCAAGTTGTCCGGGTAAGTGCTGGAGCCTCCTGGTGGAAAACGGAAGATGGCGCTGAAATCTGTTAAGGTTAAGTCAAAATCTTGGTTATTCAATCGGAAAGAGATTGCTCCGGCTGTCCGAGTAGTGCCCTTCGTCAATTTGACCGAAATGGAACTAAGGAATTCCAGCGTGAGTCGTTCGTAGGCAGGGTAGCGGAGCGAGATAAAATAATTTCATCCAAGGCGACCGAGCAACCATTGGACTTCCTCGAACATGCCTAATGTGTGCAGAGTTAACTCGTCGAAATAACGAGTGGGCATGATGGTTCGTTTGCTCAGGGAGGTGTACCTGACATACTGTTCCGTGTCGCGAAAGATAATGCCATGTCGGTTTTCGCTTGGCGGAGCAGGGTTGGAGTTCCGGTTTGACTCACGGCTGGAATGTTTAGATGTTTCACGAGTGAAGTCTCCGGTGGACTCATAGTTGTAGTCAGCAGAAGGTTGGCTGCTTGAGGCGCTGGCTGAGCTACTATCGGAGGAGATATGGAGTGGGCTCGTTTGCGGATCTGCAGGTGCTGGTCTATTCGCCTGAATGTTGCGAAGACGCTGTGAAAACCTAGTTGGAGCGCGGACAAGAGCCTTAGATAGTTGTGCAAGACCGGAAGGTCTATTAGCTAGTGTCTTCTTCCTCATTGTAGTTGTGGTTGAAGGTAAAGAAACAGTGGGGGGTGAATCGCAGTTGCAAGATGACAGAGGTGAATCGGGTTAGAGGGAAGTGTAAAAGGGGCGCAGTGAAATTAGGGTTACGAGAGAGCTTTAGGGTAAAAACATTTAATTGATTTTTTTTTTTTGAAATGAAATAATTAAAAAAAAACAAAAATTGACTAAAAATATGACTAAAAAATTAAAACGAAAAATGAAGTAAAAAAAAACTTTGTCGACACGGGTTTAAGTTGTGGTGGTGGGGGATTGAAGTGGTAAAGTACACCTTTCCCTTTCGAACCCTTCTCCCATATACAACTTCAATCTCCGCCCATTTACTTTGAAGCGCCGCGGCTTGCTCCGAGATCTGAAATTTCCACTGTGCCAAAGGGGAAAACTTGTTGGACCAGGAATGGTCCGGACCACCTAGATCGCGGTTTGCCGGAAAGAGGCGGAGTGCGGAGTTGAAGAGAAGCACTTGTTGTCCAGGTACAAATTCTTTTGAAGTGATCTTTTTATCATGCCAATTTTTTGTTCTTTCTTTGTATACTCGTGCATTTTCGTACGCTTGTAACCTGAATTCGTCCAGTTCGTCCAATTGTAACAACCTCTTCTCTCCCGCCTTCCTTAGGTCAAAGTTTAACAATTTTGTGGCCCAAAATGCTCTGTGTTCTAATTCCACTGGTAAATGACACGATTTTCCGAAAACTAACTGGTAGGGTGACATTCCAATGGGGGTTTTGAACAGCTGTTCGATAAGCCCATAGTGTGTCGTCCAGTTTCTTCGACCAATCCTTTCTCGTTGAGCTTACCACCTTTTCCAGAATTCTCTTTAATTCTCTGTTCGAGATTTCTACCGTCCACTTGGTTTGTGGATGGTATGGTGTAGCCACTTTGTGCTTTACTCCATATTTTCCTAAGAGTGATTCGAATTGTTTGTTGCAAAAATGGGAACCGCCATCACTGATAATAGCTCTAGGCACCCCGAATCGAGTGAAAATATGCTTTTTGAGGAAGGAAACCACAACTTTAGCATCATTAGATGGAAATGCACTGGCCTCGACCCATTTAGAGACATAGTCGACTGCCACCAAAATATACTGGTTTGAGAAAGATGAGGGAAATGGTCCCATAAAATCTATGCCCCAAACATCAAAAATTTCTACTTCCAAAATATTGTTTAAGGGCATTTCATTCTTCCTTGAAATGTTTCCTACTCGTTGGCATCTATCACACCGCTCAGTGAATCTACGAGCGTCTTTAAAAAGAGTAGGCCAATAGAAACCGCTCTGCAGTACCTTAGCAGCTGTCCTTTCCCCACTAAAGTGTCCTCCATAGTCGATCCATGGCGAGTGCCGAAGGATTCTTCCAATTTCTTCATCGGGGACACACCTCCCGATTATACCATCACCACATCTTTTAAAGAGCAGTGGTTCATCCCAGAAATAGAATTTCACGTCATGTAAAAATTTTTTCTTTTGTTGAAAGTTGAGATCATGAGGAATTATCCCTGCTGCCTTAAAGTTAGCAAAATCAGCGAACCATGGCAATGAAGCTACTGTTAGGAGTTTCTCATCTGGGAACTCTTCTGAGATAGGTGTAACTGATGGGCTATCATCCTCGCTTTTTATTCTTGATAGGTGGTCAGCTACCACATTTTGCTTTCCCTGTTTATCTCTGATTTCTAGATCAAACTCTTGTAATAGGAGAATCCAACGAATTAGTCTTGGTTTAGCATCCTGTTTAGCAAACAAGTACCTCAAAGCAGCATGATCAGTGTAAACAATAACTTTAGACCCAACAAGATAGGATCTAAATTTGTCAAATGCAAATACCACAGCAAGTAATTCTTTTTCAGTGGTGGCATAATTCTTTTGGGCCTCATTCAACACACGGCTAGCGTAATATATCACATGAAACACTTTCTCTTTTCTTTGTCCTAATACAGCACCCACAGCTACATCACTAGCATCACACATTATTTCAAATGGTATTAACCAGTCAGGTGCCGTGATTATAGGAGCAGAAACAAGTTGTGTTTTTATGATATTGAATGCTTGCAAACATTTATCATCAAACACAAAAGGAGTTTCTTTTTCAAGCAAGTTTGTTATAGGCTTAACTATTTTTGAAAAGTCTTTGATAAACCGCCTATAAAAGCCTGCATGACCAAGGAAACTTCTTACCCCTTTTACATTCATTGGGGGAGGCAGTTTTTCAATCACTTCGACTTTTGCTCTGTCTACTTCAATTCCTTTAGCAGATATTTTATGCCCTAAGACTATACCTTCCCTTACCATAAAGTGGCATTTTTCCCAGTTTAGGACTAGGTTAGTTTCCTGACATCTTTTCAACACTAGGGTCAGATTAGTGAGACAGGAATCAAATGAAGAGTCAAATACAGAAAAATCGTTCATAAAAATTTCAATGCACTTTTCAATTAGATCAGAAAAGATAGAAAACATACACCTCTGAAATGTGGCTGGTGCATTGCATAGTCCAAAGGGCATCCTTCTGTAAGCGAAAACTCCATAAGGGCATGTGAATGCTGTTTTTTCTTGATCTGCAGGGGCCAATGCTATCTGATTGTAGCCGGAATAACCATCTAGAAAGCAGTAATACTCATGTCCAGCCAGCTTCTCTAGCATTTGGTCCATAAAGGGTAGTGGGAAATGGTCCTTTCTGGTAGCTTGATTCAGTCTCCTGTAGTCAATACATACCCGCCATCCTGTGACTTTTCTTGTAGGAATGAGTTCATTATCTTCATTAGGAATAACTGTCAACCCTCCTTTCTTAGGCACCACTTGTACAGGACTGACCCACTCACTGTCAGAAATTGGGTAGATAATCCCAGCATCTAGTAACTTAATAATTTCCTTTCTCACCACCTCTTTCATAGTGGGATTGAGTCTTCTCTGTGGTTGGCGCACAGTTTTGAAGTTCTCCTCCAAACAGATCTTATGCATGCATATAGTTGGACTTATACCTTTTAGATCATCTATAATCCACCCTATAGCAGATTTGTGCTCTCTCAGTACCCTCAACAGTTTCTCTTCCTCCACCTCAGATAACTCACTATTCATTATCACAGGTTTGAGTTTCTGATCATCTAAAAATCTGTATTTGAGGTGGGGTGGTAGCTGTTTTAATTCGATTCTTGAGGTATCTTCCACTGCGTCTTCACTTTTGTGTAAATCTTCCGCCCCTCTGCTTGAACTGAATAATGGTTTCAGTGCTTCTAATTGTTGCACACATTGTACCACTTCCTCACTTAATTCTTCATCCAACTGCTTTGCATCTATTCCATTTATCAGGACTAACTCCAATGGATTTTTCTTTGACTGATCTGTCATCTTCTCTTGTACCAACATATCAATTATATCAGCTCTGAAACAATCTTCCTTGTCTGTCATCTGTTTCATAACCTCATTTATGGAAAAAATTATTTTTTCATCACCCACTCTCAACATTAACTCACCTTGCTGCACGTCTATTAGTGCTCTCCCTGTTGCTAAGAAAGGTCTTCCCAATATAATTGGGACTTTTGTATCTTCCTCCATATCTAACACCACAAAGTCAGCTGGAAAAATGAACTTGTTCACTTTCACTAAGACATCTTCTACTACTCCATAAGGATAGGTTACTGAGCGATCAGCCAATTGTAGAGTAATTCTAGTCGGCTTCACTTCTCCAATTTCCGGCCTCTTGAAAATGGACGGTGGCATTAAATTTATGCTTGCTCAGAGGTCACATAGTGCTTTACTCACCATTAAATTTCCAATCTCACATGGGATGACAAAACTTCCTGGATCTTTCAACTTTGGGGGTAACTTTTGCTGAATGATGGCACTGCACTCCTCTGTCAGCATTATAGTTTCATTCTCCTGCAGTTTTCGTTTTCTGGATAGCAAGTCCTTCATGAATTTTGCATATCCTGGCATTTGTTCCAGCGCCTCAGCAAATGGAATATTGATCTGGAGCTTTTTGAAAACATCTAAAAATCGTACAAACTGTTTTTCTTGCTCTTTCTTTTTTAATCTTTGAGGGAATGGTACAGTGGGTATCATCTCTTTTTTCTTTTCACTCTCAATTGCGTGTTTCTTTTCCCTCTCTTTTTCTTGCTCACAATTCCTCTCAGTTTTTTCTTTTGCTCTGGTTTTTTCACTCTCACTCTCTTCCTTATCCATAATCTCTGTATTTTCTTGATTTTTTTCTTCTTCCACCATACTCTTTTTCTCATTAGCTATTACCTTTTCACTCCTCAGTTGTATTGCTTTACAGTGTTCTTTTGGGTTGACTACAGTATCACTGGGAAAGGTACCAGGGGTTCTTTCTGATAGCTGTCTTGATATCTGTCCAATTTGGGTCTCCAGATTTTTGATTGAAGCTTCCTGGTTCTTGAAATTTGTTCTGGTTTCATTCATGAAATTAGAGGTTTGCTCCACAAAGCTAGATGTCTGCATAGATAATTTTTCCAAAGCACTTTCCAAAGTAGACATTCTGGTTCCCTGAAAGTTGGATTGTGCTTGGCTGTTAGGACCCGTGGGGTATTGATAAGGGGGCCTTGACTGTCCAGGCTGAACTGAATTCCCCCATTGCCTGCTTGACTGAGGGAGGCCTTGATTTTGATTTTGATTTCTCCAATTTGAATTATAATTATTGAACTGACTGTTTGCTTGCTGCTGTACAAGATTTGCTTGTGTTTCTTGATGATTAATTTGACAGTCACCATTTTGATGCATTCCCCCACAAAAATCACATACTAATTGTGTCGTGTTAACAGCTTTAACCTGCATACCCCCTAACTGTTGAGTTAGATCTGTGATTTGTTGAGTTAATAACTTATTTTGAGCTAAAATGGCATCCAGAGTACTAACTTCCAACACTCCAGCTTTCCTATTTTGACGATCAAACTGCATGTGTACTGTATTATTTGCCATTAATTCCAGGGTTTCTAAGGCTTCTTCTGGTGTTTTCAGGTTGAAGGATCCTCCACTGGCAGCATCTAACATTGCTTTAAAAGTAGGAGAAAGAGCATTGTAGAAAATCTGCACTGCAACCACTACGGCAATGCATGATGAGGACATCTTCTTGTCAATTCCTTGAACCTCTCCCATGCCTCATACGAGAGATTCGAAATCTTGTTGCATAAAGCTGGTGATCTCATTCCTCATCCTTGCTGACTTTGCTTGGGAGGGAAATATTTGTTCACAAATTTTGTAGCCAAATCATCCCACGTGGTTATGCTTCCTTGCGGTTGTGGCTGGAGCCGGCCTTTAGCTTTGTCTCTCAATGAAAAGGGAAAGAGCCTCAAGCGAACTGCATCATCGAGTGGCTCCATTGATTTTCGGTGTGTCACGAGATAGCCAAGAAATTCTCCAGGTGAGAATTTGGATCCTCTGAAGATACACCTCCAAACTGGTTCTGTTGTATGACCTGCAATAAAGAAGGTTTAATTTCAAAATTGTTTGCTTGTATAGGAGGTCTAACAATACTCCCTTTGTAATTATTTGGGTCTGGCATGGAGTAGTCTCTCAATGTTCTTTTGGGCTGCTCCATGACTGTAGTTTGTAAATTCTGATTTGCTTCTTGTTCTCTTCTCCTTTCTTTTTTTTTTCTTCGTGCACTTCCTCTATTCCTTCTGGCAGTACGTTCAATTTCTGGATCAAACAGTAAGTTTTCTGGTGCTACAGTACCTCGCATAAACAGTGTTAAAAAAAATACAGAAAAGAAGAAAAGAAAAGAAAAGAGAGAAAAAAAAAATTCTGGACAGTAAAAGATGTTTAGCTCAAATCTCAGGGAAAATTTTTTCTTCTAATATCAACAAAAATTTTCAATCCCCGGCAACGGCGCCAGGAAATTGATGTATGTTTTTGGTGAGTGGACCAAATATTACCATTTTATCGTCCTCAGGGATTGAATACTTGTTGAATACCAGAGTATTAAAATCTTTTCTAAGTTTGAGTAATCTAAGTTTGTAAGAATGCCAACAAAAAGAATAATTTTCTTTTGCAGTAAAATAAGTGTTAGAGAATTAATTTCATATCCTTTCCTACAAATTCCTAGCCTGTTTACTTGATGCAAGAACTAAATTTATCCCTTAGAGTTAAACGTGCTATTCATTTCCTAATCCCTTAGAAAATAAATTATCCATTAAACTTTCAACTTCCCAATCCCTTGGAAAATAAAAGTTTCTTGGATCTTGAAATTTAATCTTTGACTACACAAAAACTAGCCAGGTCTGTTAAATTTCCTAATTAAACAAAAACCCAACTTATTTTATCCAACACATAAACAGAATACATTTTTCCAAATATAATTGCTTAAGTTAAAACATTAGAAACCATAGATAAAATACTGGAATAAATGGAATTACAATGCACCAAAGTAAATAGGTTCAGAAGTTGTCTTACAGGATATTACATTAATCCTCTAACAAAGGAAAATTTAGCCTTCCATCAAAGTTTCAATTCAAGCTCAAAAACCTAAAAGTTCTATATTAAAAGTTTTTTTTTTTTCGTCCCTACAAATTCATTACAACTTCCTTTTAAACTCCCTTCTCGCTCCTTCCACGTCAGCCCTTTTCGTTTTCATTTCTGCCTTTTGCCTTTTGCTCCCGCTTCAGCCCAAGCCCAAAAGTTAAGTTGTTGAAAGTTCCACTGGCAGCCTATGAGTGATACCAGCCGCACAAGCCCACCACAAAAGTTGTTCTAAATGCACCTGTTTTTTCAACAAAACATAAAAACTAAACTAAAAGTTAAATGCAACGATAAATAAAATAAATATTATCTAATTGTTACAAGAACTGCATGAAATTGACCTAATTTAACCTAAAATTGTGAGGTAAAATAAACATGTATCAACAACTCTCACATACTAAATAACAAATATCACTAATGCTGCTTAATAATATGATTTAGGTGAATCCAATGTTATATGGTGATGAAGCCACCCGATTTTTTGCCTATTGGACTGTAAGAATATATTCATTGATCTTAGTTGATAGTTCTGCGAAGAAAAAAAATGAAACATTGGTTTCTTGATTTGGTGGACTGAATGGTGCAGAGAGATTCATACAGGTCAACTGGTTGCTTCGATCTTACTTGTTCAGGATTTGTGCAAATAGGGCAGATAGTACTTGGTGGTACCATAAAACCTGTATCATCATTTTGGGGCCCACAGTATGAAATTAACGTTGGGATGTTCCTGGTAAAAATGTTCAAATATGCTATTGATAGTAAAAGATTAACATGGAAAATGATTAAATTATTTGGGGGTATGTGTGATGCAGGATACAAACACAGGAAATTGGTATCTGAAATTGAACAGCAATATCGCAGTGGGTTATTGGCCAGCTGAAATATTGGGATCTTTAAAACACAGTGCGATATGTGTTGAGTGGGGAGGACAAGTGGGAAGCAGAAATATAAGAAAGAAAAGTCCTCACACGAGTACACAAATGGGTAGTGGAGAGTTCGCAAGTGGTCGATTCAAGGAGGCATGTTTCATACGAAACATAAGGATTCAGGATTATTCGCTTCAGCTTAAGTATCCTCAAAATGTAAATGCAATGTCTGAAGAACCATTTTGTTACAGTTCCCTCCATGATGCCAGACGTGGGGTGGAGCCAATCTTTTATTTTGGAGGCCCTGGACGAGCCCTACCCCATTGTCCTTGATCCATTAAACTTCATTAATTATGTCACTTTTCATTGGTGTAAATGTCATTCATAAATAATAAAAATAATGTCAAGGATTGAGTTATGTTGCTCCTTAGAATATGACAGCTGTGGGATTTGAACCCACGCCCTTCCGGACTAGAGCCTAAATCTAGCGCCTTAGACCACTCGGCCAAACTGTCATTTGATTGCTAATTTATGTTATAATTTAAATGACTAAATAAAAGAAAACAGAATTTTTTAAACATGAGTTACGTGAATTGTTGGAACTTGCTCCTCTGGTGACTACAACGAATTATGAGGTTTAAGCAGTATTTGATTTCAAATGCTTCAATATTATTATGTTTGAGTTCATTCAATTTTTCAATTCTTCTTTTGCTGCTGAAAGAGAACATTGGGTAGGGTCATTCAGTCTAAAAATAAAATACTAGGAAAACAAAAAACAAGAAAAATCTTTAATATCATAAGAAGTGATGTGATTACATAATCATACAACATAAAAATTCGTTTTCAAAATTTGAATTATGTTTGACCCTATGTCTAAATCCGATACCGAACCAATATCGTCATGTTTATAATTTTGAAATCCAAACCATTTTAGATCAATTTGGTTATAATAGAGTCAGTTCCTCCTATGTATATGATTTAAGTGTCTGTAATTACATATTCAAGAAACAGAGCAAAGAGAGAGATCCCCTGACTATTGAAACGGCGTGCATGCCTATCCTTTGGGAAGAAAATGGTCTAAAATTTACCACATGCAAATCGAGTGAGTAACATCTCCATTGGCTGATCCATTACAGGAAATAATCAAGTAGAATAACAAGTAATCAAGTAGAATAACAAGTAATATGTGTATGACGATGATTAGTTCCAAGCATGCAATAATAAGGGTAAAAAACTCCTCCCAAACAGATGAAGTACAACACCTGCTCTTTCAGGTAAAGCAATTCATGTGTAGAACGAATATGTATGGAAACAACAAATAATAAATATTACATTTTGACCAGTTTTGATATGTCAAATATATCTACATACCAACGTGCTGTAACAAGGTCAAAACCAAAACAAAAAGTATAAAATACATCAGCTCGTTTCATGACATAATACTCCAAGAAAGTACAGGAACTGGACAAACTACTTGAACGATCACTACAGTGAGTCATACTGTTTTCTCTCTTCTTGAATTGACTGAAAAATTCTAGCTGCTGACTCAGTTGCAGATATTCGGTTGTGAGGCACGACTTTGATTACTCGAGGTGGTTTTCCGGTTTCAAGAGACTGACGAATCGACTCTGGTTCTGCCGGAACCATAGGGAAAAGAGGAAGAACATCTCTTCCTTCTGCAACTTGCCCAGTGCTTAATCCCTGTGCCATTTCACCAGGACTACTTGCTGTACTCCCCTGCAACTCAAAATCCTTAGATGTCTGATATTTCAGGACATGTGATAATGCTCCCTTTCTCAGAGTTGGTAAATTAGAAGAGCTTTGATTGTCTGCCTTATGATTGGCTTCCCCTCTAGGTAAATGAACATAATGCCTGTGAGAACCTAGTCCAGAGAACTGGTTCACCTGATTAACAGCTGACTCTGAAATTGTTGCATTCATAACTGGCATGCCATATGGAGGGAAGTAAGCAAGATTGCCAGGAGGAGTGTGCGGTGAAACCCCAACTCCTTGATGAGAAGTTTGGATTCCATAGGAAGGATTCATAAAATTACCACCAAAAGGGGCAGGCCCACACCCTCCACAATCTGTTCCTGTTAATCCAGGCCCAGGATATGGCTTGTAGACAAGCCCTTCCGAAGGAGTCATGACAGGTATTAACCATTGGTGCCCAGGTGACTGAGGGAAACACCAAGGGCCCATCCCACTGTCAGCAGCCAAATTTGCGTGGTGTGGATTTCTTGGAAAAGGGGTGTAGTCTGAAAGGTGGCTACCGTTTTTCACTGATGAGAGAGATGTCTTGCCAACTGCATTCTCTGCAGAACATTCCATTTTATGATTTAACTTTTCACAATCGTCTTTGCGCTTAAGGTTTTGTTGCCAAGGTTTTACAACATATTCCAGTGAAAGTTTTTTGGGAGTTGATCCCTTTGGAGGAGACTTTCCCATAAAAGTGCCATCTTCAAGCAAAATATCTGGGGATCCAGCAATTAGTTGTTGGACCTGCTTAAATATAAAAGGAATTCATTAGTATGAATACACTCCTAGTGTGTGCGTGCAAGAGAAGCTAATAAGCTTCCCATTTTGGACCAACACAAGATGCTGAACAGTGGCAGAAATAATTTACCTTTATCAATCTATGCAGTTCAAACACTTGGACAGCAAACACTCTCTGTTGACTGTAGAGAGAGGAACAAGAGTTGGATCAAGAAAATTGCACAATACTAATGCAATAAAAATTTGAGACATAAAATATAGAGTTGAAATAAAATGGAAAATGAAGCAATTGGAAGTATATGATCATGCTGGAAGGCGGAAGCACTGTTATACTACTAACTACCAAATCAAAGGATCTCCAATCACATTAGGTAAATGGTTAAGGAAAATATATTTCGGTCTGCAAATTATACACAGACACACACATACACACACTTTCCAATATATATCATATCTTCCCACAAGTCTTAACATAGTTCTTTCGGAGGACTTTACATAATACCCGTTTCTCAAAGATAACATATATTAGGTAGGAAAAAAAAGCTTTTTCCATGGTTTAAGAAGAAAAAAAAAAAATCTAAGGCCATCTAAAATCAGCATAGAAAAAAGTTATATAATTCAAATATTTTTTTTTCACAATTTCCTTGTCGGGTCCGGAATAAAGATTAGATAACAAAGAGCATTGGAGCATACACCAAATTGTGTGAACATAAGGTCACAATAAATCAACTACTCTGGACAAAAGTAAAACTTCATAGTAAACTTCTTTTCTGGGGCTGGGGATGGGCGTATATACATCAAAATCATACAAAAATATATATATGATATGAAGTCTGTCAAAGCTGTAGATGGCAAGACACCATAACTAACAAAAGTTTGTAAAATAGAAGTCCCAACCCAGAAAGCCTCAAAAGTAGAAAACCGAGACGCTGGATAAGTAAGAGAAAAAGGGGGAAATCCCCCTTATCATCATAATTTCAATTGACTGACTCGGTCATGAACTCTCAAAGTGTTCCTACCATACATCCAAATTCATCCTGCATTACTTGGTCCCCTTCTTAGTTCAAGTCCTTCAGTGTAGTGTAAGGAAACTTGCCCCAGTGGGTGACATGGAGAACCAAGCAAGAGGAAACGAGGACAGAAATATATCCAAAATCCAGTTGCCAGATGACAGTGAATCATGAGATGATATGCTGTCACAAGGGTCCCTCCAACATTGTATAATATTAAGACTGCTCATTGCCCTGTTGTAACCAGTATCCATCATTAAAACACTATTAATGACTTTGATCGTACAACAACAATAATAGTCATATCCCACTAAGGACTTTGAATGTACAAAAGACACAAATTAGAAGGGCCCCAGGACTAGCAATTTCCTTTAAAATCACATGTACAACTCCATAATTGAAATTAAAATATTCAGCCCACATGCATAGAGTATAACTAAGGATGCACAAAAATTGAAAATAACAATCAGTAAGGAACAGTTTCCTAAAATTCACATTTTCAAAGTCCTACATTCCTAAAATCAGTGGACAACTGGACATATCAAGCTTCCACCAAAAATAGGGCTTTTGGGTTTTGTGTTCCTAAATCTTTATGGTTGTCCTTGTCCAAGTTAAGGATAGTTCTGCAAAATTATAATATCCACAAAAGTCAACACTTAAGCTATTGCCAGGTCCAATCAATTAAAAGAGTTTACTATTTATTTGACAAAAAAATATTTCACAAGGAAAATACACTTTTTTAAGACAACTATAGGAACTGCCAATGCTACTGACGGGCAACATGACTTACTGGGCAATTGCTCTTCTAGCTTTCCAAAATTGTTTTTGACCTATTATTCCAACAACATCATCTGGAGAAATTTGCACAGTTGACAAATTTTCTACCATGGAGAACTTTGAAGCATTGTCTCCTCCATTTAAGTTTCCACTTTGTATCAGACTGCCCGTCCTGGTATCACGATGTTCAGTGTCATTGGTTGCCTCAGCTGTACTGACGGTTTGGTTTGCTGCAGCCGCATTTCCCTTATCTGTCTCCCTTGAAGATTCAACAAGAGAACCACTATGTCCTATGTCATTGGATTGAGAGCCCACTCCACAATCCTTTCGTAAGTAAGCATCACCTTGCATTGATGATCTGTTAAATTTTGATACACGACAATCTTGAAACTCTTGATTCGGCGTCACCTTGGCTTGCATTACTAAGGCGTCAATATTTTGTCTTGTTGATATGTTTCGGACAGACATCAATGGTCGGTCTTTTTTACTTACTTGTGGAAGATCATCTGTCTCACTTCGCGCATCTTTCCTCGTATTGGCATGTGAGGGTCCAAATTGTTTAGGAACCCTTTCACAATCACTTTGCCCAGCAACAAAAAGCCTAGAGCCTGTAGGAGTGAGTCTTTTTCTGTTGAAACTCTCAACACTTTTATCATTACATTGACCAACCCTTGAATGAATATATACAGGAACCCTAAAGTCATCTTCATCTACCTTCTTTCTCTGTTCAAGAGAACAACTCAAATTTGCCCCTTCTGATTGGCGAGAGTGACATTTTTCTACTCGACGAATAGGTTTCTGAGATGGCAAATGAACAGGGAAGACATTATTTCTTTCAGGGACAGTCCCCTGCAAATAGGTTAATCCAATTCCAAACATTCAAAAAGAAAGACAACCATCTCTTGCACAAAATAGTAAGAACATACAAAAGAATAGAATCACTAATTGGCAAATTAAACTACTCTCATGCTGAAAGAAACTTAAGAAAATCATATCAATAACAATGAGGACTATAAGCATAGGCACAGTAACAGAATCCAAATATTACCTGACTTGAGGATGCAGGGGGGACTTTATTACTGGAAATATTTGGGTTGAGTGGCAAAACACCAGAATTGAACCTTTGAGAGGGAATACTAAACTGCTCATAGAGGGCCATCTTATTCCTAGGTGGTGCTCTTGGTCCTCCCTTTTCTGTATCATTGACATGTAGTCTAGGGAACATTGGCCCCATCACCTTTTCCTCATCCTTCCCTCTCTTCATTCTTACACTTTCTAATCCTAATCCTAATCCTAAAAATATACAAAGACCTTCCGTTTCTTTCTTGTCCTTCTACGTTAAATTGCGCGATACATAATTATCTGATCCACAGATCCAAATCAATTCTCTCACAGACAATACAATAAACACTTAACCATGGAACTCCAAGCAAACAAGTGATTGTGTTGAAGATAAGGAACTGAACTTGTGACTATTGAATCTACCCACTTCTAGATATGAAGTCAAATCTCAACTTTTCTCAATTGGGAAACCAGGGAACCTATGGAAGGAACTAGAAATTTTCAAAATTGAAATCGAAAGAAAGCGATAATGAAAATAAAATTGCCTAAGATTACCGTAGATGCTTATGGTTGTGCATGGAGAGTTTCGGAGGGGGGGAGCGGGTCAGAGCACAAGTACTTGGTGTGAGAAAAAGTAATGGCGGGAATTAGCAGAGAAGCCGAGAATTTAGGAACAAGAAGGAGTGATGGTGGGAGGGGACAGAGGAGAGGGAACAAATTCGAGGAGGAGAAAAGTAGAAAGAATTGGTCACCATCTTAGAAAGAGAAAAGGAAGAAAAGTGCGATCAGTGGACCCCCTGTCTTTGGATAGTAGACCTAGAACCTCCGTCTTGCACTGATTTTTTAATCTGAATTTTCTTGTTCTAATCTACTCTTTTCCTTTCGGATAACATTTATGGATTACTTACATGGCACTTACTTTATAATAACACTTTTCTGCCTTCTTTCTTTTTCTTGGAAAGTTTATGAAAAATAGTCCTTTTCACCACCTCAGACACCCAAATTGGAGAAGAATCTCTTTAAGATTGTTTTTAATCTTTTATAAGATAATATGAGAATTATTCGATTTAATTTAAACTGGATTGAGTAATTGTTTGTTAGTAATTACTTGGGACAGGGTACAAATATGTTGATGATTTTATGAAAGAACCATGAAACATTGTGTAAATCCAGGTGTTGGGTTGTGATTGTTGCACGTCGGTTGTTCCTTTTTGGCTGCACGGGAATCTTAAAATGATGGACTGTGAAAAGCACAAAAAAAGGCAGATTCCATGAAATCCGAATTCCTCACTGGGATTGATGTTATCGGTCCTGTCAGAACAGAAGTAGGGGACTAATTCACTTGGTTTGTTTAGAGTCTAGTTTAATTTTGTATTTTAAAAAAAATAAAATAAATATTTAATATTTATGGATAATTATAACAATACAATGACCTTGTTTATAATATATATATATATATATATATATTTATATAAAAAATGTTTTTTAATAAAGTTATTAAATAAAAATTATTATACAATTCAATTCAAATGAATTTATTAAACTTAATGTTTATAAATATATTATCTTATTAAACTTATAAATATATAATTAAATTAAACGTATCCCAAACAGGAAAGAATCTAGTAGTGAGTGGGTATGAAGTTGCTTTTTATCCGACATGATTGAAATAAAATTTGTGTTCGTCATTTTCTATCATTATATACAGGGAGAGAAAGATATCACATGTAAATAACAAAAACTATAAAGTTTATTATGTTGGGCATTATGTTACACTTTCACTTTTATAAATTTGTATACGAAATAATAAGAATAAAAGACAAAATGAAAAAGGAAAAGAAAATCAATTTTTATAGTAATTTTTAAATAAAAATAAGTTTCTTTTTATAATAAAAAAATATAATGTTCAAAGAAAACACTCCTAATATATAATCAATAAAGACTTCTTTTTTTATAACCATTAAAATTTTATTTGACAAAATATATTTAAACAAAATAAAGTTATTATGATAGTAAAATTATGTATTAATTTTTTTCAAATATATATTTAAAATTAAAATTAGAAAACACTGATCATACTCGGACAATTTTATCATGCTAATCTACCTCACGGGTTACAAAAGGAACGAATGAAAAACTTGGTTCAAGAACAAAATTTCAGCAACATCTGGAATATTCATGGGAGACATGAGAAAACTTCACTTACATGTTTTATTGTTCGAAATATGTCTTAATGTGAACAATCTTCTCAAATTGATTGTGACAATGTACTGATCATTACATTGTTTTTTTTTTATCTCTGATTAATTATGAATTGATTATTAAAAAAATTGAGATTAAAGATATAAAGTATTTATAACGTTTTTAATTTTAATATTTAACCTATATAAAATTATACACGAATAATATTTATCCATAATTGTTTTGCTTAAGAAGAAAAAGATTAACGAATGATTTTTAATCCCGTATTTCATTAAAAAAAAAAAAGTTGACATATGGATGAGCACAAGTTGTGAATGACAACTGGATAAAAGCGACAGTATTATTAGTTAATTTTTATATTTTTTATTTTTTCGCGACGAGACAACTTCATTGTTAATTCCATGTGATGCATATAATGTGGAAATCACGTGTGACCAACAAGACAACATTTGCTTAACTATTTCACCTTCATAAACACACAACCTTAATATTTAGGTTAGCTTTTATGATGCCACCTTTACTGATTTTTTTTTTTCATTTATTTTATTATTGAGATTTGTAGTACACTGAAGATATATTCAAGGTGTTTTTCTTTTTAAATTTTATCTCTAATTTGATCTCACTTATTTTTATATAAATGATGTCTTTCACCTCATCAACACGATTAAAATATTTTTAATGATCATTTGTTATATTAAAAAAAAGTTTAATATGATATTAATAATATAATATTTCTTGATACATAAATAACGTCATTTAAAATACGTATTTATTAGTGATGTGTAAGATATTAGTACAGTAACATTTTTTTATTAAATAATAATGATATAATAAAAAGGATAATATTTAAATTATTTTAAAAAATATTCAATTTACAAATGAAATGAATTGAAAAAAAAATAGCAAGATGAACTAAGCTATTAAAGTGAATGTATTCAATCATAAATCTTCTAACGTTGTAAGATTTCTTTCTCGTACTTACCTTCAGTTTTGTCTACTGGATTTGAATTGGGTTGGTCCTTATACTTACTTTTTTATTTGGGCCTTAAGGTTTTGTAATTCTCTTGGGCTTACAACAATTCAATCTGGTGGGAAACAAATTTGTTTCTTTCGCTTTTTTGTTTCTTCAAGGAGAAAGCTTTCCATCTTTTAAATATTATTAAAAAAAATTAATGCACTTTTTTTTAAAACACAATTAAATAATTTTTTAATGTTTTTTAAGATATTAATAGTAAAATATTTATCACATTTAAAAATATATAAAATTAATTATCTTGTAAAAACAATATAATTTTTAAAGTAAACTGTTATAAAATAGTATTGACGATAATTTAAACGGCCACAAAGTGTCAATTTCAACATTGGGATATTATCTATTATTTTTTATAGAAATTTTCTATCAAACATATTATAAGATAAACTGCATAGATAATACGTCGAGAATCCAAATCACATATGCATATATTTTCAAAAATATTTCAATTATAGTTTAAGAATTGATTAAGCATTAATTAAGCTGATCAATATTCACTATTGAAGATGAGAACATCTCGTAAGAATTATTTATAAATTTATTTTGATTAATAAAAATAGTAACAATCATATCTATTAATATATTACATAATTATAAGTGTAGTGTAATTTTTTGTACCAAAAAAATATACTAGTTAGATTTTATATCTACATGGTCCAAAATTATTGGATCGACCAATCATGCTTATCAGCTTAAATTTATTAAAAATACTATTTTTATTTATTTTATTATTAATTATCTTTATTCTCGTTATAATATTTTATGAGTATAAATAAATTATGTATCTTATTCGTGGTCACACGAATATAAAACTATTATATTAGTTGAGGTCACACGAATATTATTCTACTCGGTATCATACGAGTATAAAATTATTATCTTACTCAAGATTTCATGAGTATAAAACTATTATCTTATTTGGGTCTCATGAATATAAATTTATTACCCTACTCGGGGTCACACGAGTATAAAATTATTACTCGGGGTTGCACGAGTAGAAAATTATTACCCTACTCGGGATCACACGAGTTATATATAATTTACTCAGATAAATGAGTTATAAAAACCTTACTCAGATATATGAGTTATAAAAACCTTACTCAGATATATGAGTGATAAAAACCATCTATCTTATTCAGTGTCACACAAGTAATACATATCTTACTCACATATAAAAGTAAAAAAATCATGGATTAACCTTAATTGGAGTTACGAGTATAAATGAATTATGTCTTACTCAGGATTACAAATATAACAACTATTAAAAAAACACGAGTATAAAAATCATTTTGATAATACGCGTATCGTACTCAAGAAAATGCATATACTACACCTTACTTGGTATATGAGTATAAATAAATTATGTTTTACCCGAGGTTATGAGTATAAATAAATTATGTCGTACTCAGGATTAAAAATATAACAACTACTCAAAATCATGAGTATAAAAAACATTTGTATTAGAGAAACGATTATAAAACTTACGAAATCTGCATAGTAAAAGACAACACATATGTTAAAATAAGTACTAGAAATGTTCAAAGTTATACATCAGTTCAAGATATACAAAAAAGTAAAATACTAATGTCGTTCTTATTAATTATGATCTACTAACTCTCCATCACGAACAACCCTTTCAAAGTCAAAACGAGCAACATCGAGTTCGAGGACGAATAGGACATTAACGCACAGATTTCCCGAAGTCATCCTCATAATTATCTAACATATTATTCTTCAGTTCGATCAACTGGCTCTTATGCTCCTCTTTTAACATAGTAATCTTGTTCACAAGTTTCTTGTTTCGACTCATCTCCATTCGAAAATCATCTTCAGCCTTCAAAGCATGAGAACTAAACTCTTCGTTTTCCTTGGCCTTAGCATAAATGGCATCCTCATAAGCCTTCAGTTGAGTATTTAGTAAGGACACTCTCTACTGGGACTCAGCCAGATCATTTTGAAAAAGTTCT